GTCTGAATAGTAGCTCTAATGTAGATGTCATCTCTGCTAACACTTGCTAATATAGATGAGATTATCTGAATAGTGATAATTAGTGTCAATTCGCAAAGGCTGTTTTTCCAGATGCTTCCGGACTCTTCTGGTACTGTCTAGGACAATCCGTACTACTCCAGAACGGTCTAGACAGGTCTATGCCTTACTCATCTCTTACTCATCCTATGGTGCGATATGTCGCAATTCTTTCACCATCGTATTATTCATCGCACTATGGTACATGTGACTAACCACTCTTTGATTAGTCATGGACACTTCTCTGTAGTATATAAGGACTTCAGATTGCGTCCTCCCTCTTCAGTCTTTCCTTACTGACTGAAGAGTGAGTACTTCGTTACATCTATCTCTAACTTGTAGTTACTTACTTAACCTTTGTAGTCTTGCCTCGACTCTAGGTACAGTTCGTTGCTGCAATATAGTCTTTCCTTACTGACTGAAGATCTTGCCTCGACTCTAGTCGGATCTAATCTTTGTCTTCACAGCCCCGAGTTTATCAGGAATGTAATGGGAATCTGCTAAGAATGCGCTCATCCTGTCCATGTTCCCCTCCTTCCATAATCTGACGCTTCACGCTGTGTCGCGATGAGCGATTAAGGTTTAATGCGTGCAATGTCTATGCCCATCCAGCCCATCCAGCCCAGCCATGCTCGTCGTTGCAGTCATGCGTCCCCATTACTGCACATTGCGCGTTCCCCACTGCCAAGCCCCTCACCGCTGTCTGGTTTGTCCCCGTTCATATCATTACGCACGTTTGCGATTCCCTCGATGGCCTACCTTCCGCCGCTTACCCTCCACGTATGCACGTCAATGATAGCTGGCGATATAATCCTGTAGACCTCGCTCCCGTACCTTGCTGTCGAGCTGTTGTTCTCCTTACCGTATGCCGTGTGCTATATTGTCTTAGTTGATATCCTCTTCACTGTTTGTGCCCTCTTCACTGTTTGTGCCCTCTTCACTGTTTGTGCCCCCATCTTTGTATGTTGCACCATTGTCTGATCTTCATCTATTCATCTAAAATGTTGCCCCGCTCTCTAGCACGCTATTGTCGCTCTTCATCTCTCTTTCAACTCTGGACCTCTGTGATGCGCGCCTGTGCGTGTAGGCATCTTAGGTGGTTCGGTGAGCATAGTCTGAGTACGCGTCCAGGTTCCGGCGCAAAGCTCTTCCCGATAGTATCCTGTATTTTTCTGGCGTTGTAAGACCTGGGTTGCAAGTTGGATGGGGTTCACGTGCCGATGGACATGACGAACGATGACCCAGAGGGTGCAGATTCCTCGGCGATCTGACGCACGGCATACGACGTAACACATGGGTGATAGCCCTTTGACCAGAATACCAAAAATATTTTGTACGTAGTTTATGATGCCTTGCGCCTTCCTCTGCTAGAGAACCTACTTTGTGAGGAACTACGCAGCGGAAGGAGCGCTTGTGGTTAGGAGCCCCGGGTCGAAACTACCAGAACATAGAATCGAAGGGGGAAAATAAGCAACACGCTATTCACATGATATCTCTTGCGCTGTCCTGGTCCGATCGTATGTCATGGCCGAACGCTTAACGGTGACGAGTGTCCTGGTCGAGCGGCGTCGGCACATTAATGGGCGTCTAATGCTGCGACATGCCTAATTTGGACAAGAGTGTTCAACTCAGACGCAACGTGCCGATGGGCACAAACAGCCGAGTGCCACCACCTCCTTTGTCATTGGACATTCTGCGCAAGTATCTTTGTCTTGCTCTGCATCATCGTAAGGCTATCAGTACCTGCCACAGCTGCGGATCAGTGACTGACTCATTGCACACACCAGGCGATCGAGTCGTGGTTGGCCCAAGCTCACGCACTGGCAGTGCCGCTCAGCTTCGCACTCGACTCATTTTGCCCGATAAGAACTACGCGAACTACCGTTTCCCAATTAGTCGCACAAAAACCCCTCGGAGTTTGGAATCTGTGCTCGATCATATAAAACACTCGAGCACCCTTAGCCGTAAGTTCAACCTCTGACCTGATCCATCTCCTCGTTCAACATGTCTGACATCAACCATCCCGCCGTCTCTGCACACAGTGCCGATCATCCACCCTCTGTGCCAAGCGGATACTTGGCCCCTATAGCCAACGACGCTGCCGTTGCTGGAGCTGCCACCGCCGCCAACGATTCAACAACCAGCGGCGTAACCACCGACAACCCCGCCGTTGGTACTTCCAACGGCCCAGCACAAGGATCTCCCGACGCAACCACTACCGAGCCGCCGCCCACTGCTCAACCTCCACTCAACCCTCGTCCGTCGTTCATTCGCTACTGCCCATCGGCGACGAACCGCGACGCGTACACAAAGAAGACCGGCAAGGAGCTCGCATCTCTTCTCATCGACGAGACAGGTATGGGAACGCGCTTCCACCTCCTCAGCAACGAACTGTTCTCTGCCCTGGTTCCCGGGGCTCCCCCCACGGAGGTTGAGCGGAGGAAGTTCAAGTCGCCCAGACTCAGGAAGGACATGCTCGAGAAGAAGATCTACCCGCAACTGGTGAGTGTCCACTTATCCTTGCTTTCTCGCGTAAATGACTGACTATGGACGGCGTCCAGGGTAAGGTCATCCAGTCCGTACTAGACGCGGCTGAATGCAAGGACCTGAAGTTCCTGGACACCGCGAACCACAAGGCAAAGGATGGGAATAGCGGGAGAAAGGACACGTTTAACGACGCAGGTATCTATCTGAACACGCCACTGGCGCAGGAGGCGACGACGTTTACGACGGAGCATTGGAAGAAGAGCAAGATGAGCGAGAAGGAGCTGGAGACCCGGCAGTTGGGGCTGCGGTCATGGCACTGGATGGACGTCCCCATCGAAGTGAAGGGGAAGGAGGAGGGATCCGCGTTCTACTTCAGGTCGAAGCCAAAAGGGGTGTGGCCAGAGGGCGAGATGCACGAGGAGGCCGACGACGGCGAGGACGTTGAGGAGGGTAGTGAGGTGGAAGACGAAGATGCTGACGAGTCTGGGGAAGAAGAAGCAGATGAACAGCACGGAGCTCAGTACGGCATCGACAAACGAGAGGAGCAAGAAGACTCCCAGGCGAAATCCACCGACGCGCCTGAGCCAGAGACCGTGAAGAAGCACGTTCCGCCGTTCATCAAGCTGTCCGATAAAGGCGAGAAAGCCCTGGGTCAGTTCATCGAGTACATTCTCAACGTATTCAAGTACCAGCACCGCACCTTCTGCTACGCCGTCTACGTGTGCTACGACATGGCCCGCCTCCTCTTCTTCGACCGGTCTGGTGCCTACGTCTCGGAGCCGTTCAGCTGGAGGAAGCCGACGTCGCTTCTCCACGAGTTCGTCTGGAAGCTTGCGAAGCTCGCGAAGGCGGGATTGAAAGAATCGATGGGGCGTGACACTACGGCCAAGCTAATGGACGAAGAGACACGGAGGAGGTTCCTCGACGAGGCAACCAACGCGGAACTGCCCTCTCACGTCCGGAAGGGTCTCGAGAAGGCGGCGGAGGGGAACTGTCCATTATACGAGCTCGAGATTGAGTATACGCCTCCGTCGCTCGAGGAGTGGTTCCCCGGCGAACCATTACCTGATGATCCACATCCCTCACCATCTGCACCCCCCGCCCCCTCTTCTTCGACAAGCTCCGCCTCCCCGTCCTCCAGCAAGAGCAAAGCTGATCCTCCGGTCCGCAAGTTCATCGTTGGCCGCCCACACTTTTCCGCGGACGCCCTCGTCGGTCGGTGCACGAAGGGCTTCATGGCCTTCGACGTGACCAATCGGAAGAAGTGGGTCCCTTGCTTCGTGAAGGACTCTTGGCGTCCGTATGTTCCAGGTCGCACACGGCCGGAACACTTGGTCTACGAGCGGCTTCAACGGAAGGGCGTGAAGCCTGAGGATGGGATCGCGACGTTGATCTGCGGCGGCGACGTCGGGGGCAGTAATGCTCAGTGCACTGAGGTTCAAAAGGATCTGCCCTCCAAGAACAGACCGGTTCCCCGCCGTCATTATCGGATTGCTATTGCGGAGATCTGTTTGCCCGTCTCGGAGTTCGAGAGTTTCGGGGAGCTCGCCGGGTTCGTTGCAGACGCTCTCACAGGTATGGATTTTGCCCGGATGGTGTCATTCTGAATTGACTGTGGTGTTTGTAGCTCATTGCAAGGCGTGGGACCTCGCGGGGGTCATTCATCGTGACATCAGCGTGGGCAACATCATGATCCGCGTTGAAGAGAACGGGGAGAGGTTCGGCATCCTGATCGACTGGGATCTGTCCAGACTGCAGTGCGAGCTTGGACAAGGTGCAGTGGAGCCCGACAGGACGGTATGTCCATCGACTATCTCCTGATCTACTATCTCTCATCACTGCGATGTCTATAGGGAACTTGGCAATTCCGGTCAGCCATGTCTCTCAAATACCCAAGGAAGCCTTATCGTCGGTCGGATGACATCGAGTCCTTCATCCACTGCTACATCTATCTCGTCCTTCGCTACCACCCCACAAACATTGGACTTCGGGAGAAGATCGAGACCCTCTTCGAAGGTTGCTTCATAGTTGGTGGCGTGCAGATTGGCGGGGATGCCAAACATGCAATGCTCCGCAGCGGTTCGGTAGGCTTCCAGCTCACGGCGAATCCCCATCTCCAGGCACTTCTAGATGAAATTGTGCTCTGTTGCAAGTGGGCCTACGACGTGATTGATGACCACGAGATGGATCGTTTATACGGCCCTATCGACGTCGTCGCTCAATCACAACCTCCCGCACAGCCACACGCTCCGACAAAGGTTGCCCATGCGCCTCGGAGGCGTCGATTTGGATTTGCCAGCGACCAACTGCAACTCGCCGTCAATCGCCTAGCAGCCCGTGTCAATATGGGGAGCTCGAGGCCGCCAGATTCTCGTGCAGAACCGTTCCAGATGGGGTCGTTCCTGTCCGACCCCAACGAATTGATCCAGTTACTTTACGCACACTCCGAGACATCAATCGACTTCGCCGACAAGGCTCCCGACCAGTTCTCCATTAGGCAGCATCAGGATGTCTACCGAGCACCAGACCCTCCGGCCTTGCGCGGTATCGGTAAGATGTCTACTGGTGGAACCGCCCTCTCGGATCGCACGTCCCAGGACATTCGTATCGCCTTGTCTCATGAAAAGGTCACGACGGCTCGTCGACTGGATATTGTCGGCATCCCATCGTCCTCCAGCTCATCGAAGAAACGAGCGCACGTCGAAGATCTGACGGACAACCTGGCAGACGACGAAGAAGATGATGACGAAGAAGGTGGTTCTTCCGCTGTACGTCGTAGCAAGCGTATCAAGGCCGCTAAGGGGAAAGCGCCCTCAGTACAAAGCGGCACGGCCAAACGTCGCTGATCCTGCCTTCGGCCTCTCGTGCTGTCGAGTGGGACCGTCGTTCTCCGCTTTATCATCTCCTTGTCTTCTATTGGTCTCAATTTCTGTCCGCCATCTCGCTATTTCATCCGTCTTCCATCCGATTCTGTATTGTGTATCGTTTAGTTTCACCATGTTTCACTATCTATTAGAATACACACCATAATGTCGGGAATGTTCAGATGTCTTGTATGAGGCTGTCTAGAACTTCGCAATAGATCCTTGAACGATAACGGCCCGATGCATGCTAACAATATGTGGCATTGAATGTAGTGGTACGTGTACGTGTGGTGGTATGGAATGCGACGCAAATTGTCGACTGTGTGATATGCCATGGATGGGAGAGGTAAAGTACACGAGAAGAAAATCACGAACGATGGAACACTTGGCATGAGCGAACACACCAAAGACGATGCATATCCATCCATTCAGGGTCATGACACATCCGGTGCACCGTCCGATTCCAGCACCAGCGCAGATGAGTGCAGGCGCAGGCCCGAATGCGGAGCGGGATACTGTCCGTTGGGTGTCATTCATAGTCGAGCCAGACTTCAGGACGAAGCAGGATTCCATATGGGAAGGGGAGAGCGGCTGCGAGAATGCAGGCGATGGCGAGTTGGGGTACTCCGACTCGGTCACGAGCTCCGTCGCCTTTAGCTGAGGCTCGTACGCGGATTTTTTCCACTTCCGCGACGGGCGAGTCCTCGACGACCTCGCTGAGAACAGAGTTCCCTATCCGAAACAGGGCTGGGAGGTAAGGTCGTCCTGTCCTCTTTCCCCGCCTCTCGCACCCTATCGCCGGTATCCCGCTTCGCCTCGCTGCCGTTGGTCATCACGTCCGGAAATGCACGGATCCAGTAGTTGCCGCCCGCCTAGTGTGCCTCGCCCTACTCCGAGTGAGCTTGCAATCGCAACAACAGTGTCATCCTTGTATGCGTACCACGATGGAGTACTAACGCTGGCTAGCGAAGATGTGGCTCTGGTCAACGGTGCCAGTGTACGGCTCCGTGTCCTGCGCATCGTCCTCGATGATCTTCGTCCAGTGTCCGGCGATCGTGGAGCTTATAGTCGGGGTCGCTGGAGATGTTGCCGAGGCGGAACCAATGGCCAGCGAGGCTGTCAACGTCAGCGCCCGGATGTAGAACATTTCTCGCAAATCACCCGCCGCTTCCTGAGGATGACCTTGGCGACTGCGAGGTTCGCAGAGCCGTTGATCAAGTATTGCAGTCGTACAAGAACGAGTTCCCAGATGCAATAGGTCACAAATGCCGCACCGACCGCACGATTGGACATGTGCAGAAGCAGACCGTGCGAATGCTGTTGCGATCCCGTCAACCAGCATTCGCAGACATGAGTTGCATTCGTTACACCGGCAAGCAAGGATGCTCACGATGCTCGGAGCTATCGCCATACTCTCATTGGAAAGCTCTTTCATCCCGTTGATCTGGAAACGATCTCCCTGCGAGAGTGCCAGGAAGAACACAATGACTACAGGGATGAGACGTACTATGTTCCCCCTGATGAGGGGTCCGGGGAACGGTCTCCCGGCGAGGGCAGCATCACGCGTAACGCCGTCGAGCGACACTGCCCTGTTCACGATTTCTAAGTCAGTCGCGGGGACTCATTGAATGCGAGAAGCACAAAGCGGCGGCAGAAAGGTTGAAAACGGCTGAACGATGAGCATTGTCATCAGGAAAACGCGCGGGTGGATGGTGCTGGTCCGACAAACGGTCGTCGTCCACCCTTGAGAGCTTGACCGAGCGGAAGGCGTCACCATGGGTAAGTACCGGGGACGTTTCAGCTCAGGATAGTATTGAAGCTAAGGACCCGCAAAACGAAACAGCCTGCGGAGATACTTGTTCATGAATAGAGAACAGAGGAGAGCGGCCTGGCATGGGGCGATTATAACCAGGGTCGTCTCGTGTCTGGACACTCGTGCCTTACCCAAACCATGAGTATAGCAGCATCTGAGCGCATACAACGATGGGTTGGTCGGATTTGGGCACACACGCAGTAGAGGAAAACCGCTCCTACCGGGAGACGAGTGCCATGAAACGCCCTCGCAATGAGTGTATAACGAGGACAGCAGTATGAGACGAAGTACTCATCCCACTGTCGGCTTCTGGCATCAGCAGTGGTATGAGCGCCGATGCAGGCAGGGACGCTGTCTGTAGGAAACCGTAGGCATCCACACTGATATAAGCCAAGGACGATGCAGGAAGACGTGTGTGAGGTGGTTGCGAGGAAGCAGTGGCGGTGCTCGAGTCGAGGCACGCAGCGACACCATTCCCACGACCCGTCCGGAGCACGCAAGATCGTTCTCTGCCTGTGCCTGCTTGCCTTCTGCTCATCTCTGTCCCCAACTCCTGAAGGTGACGACAACAATAATCCTCCTCATCTCTCCAACTTCATCTGTTCAATCCGTTCTTCTCGAGACTGCTTCAACCACCGCCGCGTGAATTCGCCCACGTTCCCGGGCTCACTTGGTCGACCCCCGGAGGCGGGGGATGCTGCGAAGACTCTGTGAGGAGTATGGACGCCGTCGCGCCGTCCAAGTCGTGCTCGTGTTCATGGTTCTCCTTGCCATATGACAACGTCAGTCCAAGCCCCAAGCTAGCGTCTGCTGACTGCCCATTCGGCAACCCAGGCCCTCCTTCGTCCTCTCGCAGTCCGAGTCGCGCTTCAGCTCCGGATTGTTGGTTGACGCCTCCCCGGCGTCCTCATCCGCTAGAGTGTCAGTTGCGGTAGGGCGAGGATGTCGCGCAGACGTTCCCAGCTGCACTCACGCTCCCTCGGTGCGGACCGGGCTCTTTTCGAGGGCAGTCGGATGCCGGACGCTCCAGGAACTTTGATGTGTCGACGGGCCCACATGAGCGAGCGGGTTACGCAGTGCCTGCACATCCCCGTCAACATGCTTCCGCCCGTCGTCCAGCGCGGACGGAGCCGCTATCCTGCTTTGATCGGCGTGAACGAGGCGAGGTCTACGAGCGATTGCGCGGTGCACTCGTGACGGAGTGGAGACGACTTCCGCTCGTGCCCTTTGATGTGGCCAATTCCCTTGCCGTTGGACGTGGAGTGATCCTCGCGGGGCGACGTCAGGGGGCTCGTATGCGGCTTCTTCGTGTTGCTGGACGCGTCGAAGACGCGTTGGAAAAGAGCGAGACAGTGGACTGACGTCCTCCTAGTACGGTCCGCACTTCCCTAGAGCGCAGCGCGAGCAGATGTGAACATGTGTACGTCAGGCACGCGGTGCAGGATGGGCGGCGATCACGAATACTTCGCCATACGAACCAACGTCAGGCGCGAACAGAATAGAGGATCGGAGAGAGCAGTGGAGAGAGTAGTGAAACGAGACAGCCATCTCGCTCAGGACACCGAACGTCTCCAGCTCTGGTGCCACCCAACGGTTCATATGATGCGGCGCCCAGATGCCAGGGATGTAGTACAGCGGGCCTCCAATGGTGAGCATGCACAACCCGATGATGGCTACGATGAATCCGCCGGTGATGCAGCCCGGACAGTTCAATGGAATGGTGACAGCCGCAATGCATTAGGTATTCCTGCACGTTGCGCAAGGTCGATCGTGGACTGACCGGCACTCACAAGTCTCCAACGATGCAGCAGCACATGATGCCTGGAGGTAGCGCGTCTCCCGTTGCAGACGGACATGGCGGCCAGGGATGATACAAGAACTATGGCTCCTCCGCCCGCTTCACCCGCGACGCCCTCGCGTGCTCAGAAGTAGGAAGAGGGGGTCAACTCGTGGCCGTAGAACGCATCTGGGACTTGGCAAATGGCCGCATCATCGCCGTCGCAGGTCGTCCAGCTGGTCGATGCCGTAGATGTCGAACCATCACCGCCACGGCCGCGACCAACGGAAACGGCCCTGGCGGATGCGGTGGATCTGAACACGCTCAAAGTCGATTTTCCGTTCGACGATGTAACAAGTAGGCTCATGGGGATGCGAGCCTGAACTTCGAGCGCGACTTTGCGGCCCGGTTCGACTCCGAGAACGCGTGAACTCGCAGGCGGTGCGGAGAGCGCCGGCAATGCGGCGCCGCGTTGCCGGCGTCTCGGCTCACAGTACTTACTTGCTGATCATCCACCTCCTGTGGCGAGGGAGTATCCTCTCAATCCTTTGCCAGCTTCAGGCCGAAAACGCTGCCGTGACTGGAGCTGCCATCACACATTCACCAACAAACCGGTGCTCCTAGCGGCCCAAATCAAGGATCTCCCGACGTAACCACCACCGACCTTCGACCGACCGCTCAACCACTCAACCCCCGTCCGTCGTTCGTTTGCCACTACCCGTCTGCAACGAACCGGGACGGATACACAAAGAAACAGCTCGCACCCCTTCCCATCGACGAGTCAGGAATGGGAACGTGCTGGCATCTCCTCAGCAACGAACTGTTCTCTTCCCGGATTCCCGGGGCTCCCCCCACGGAGGCTGAGCGGAGCGACTTCAAGTCGCCCAGACTCAGGAAGGGCATGCTCGAGAAGGAGATCTACCCGGAATTGGTGAGTACCCACGCATCTTTGCTTTGTTGTGGAGATGACTCACCATGGGCCGTACGCAGGGGAAGGTCATCGAGTCGGTACTGGACGCAGCTGGATGCGAGGACCTGCTTTTCCTGGCGACCACGAACCACAAGGCGAACGACGGGAATAGCGGGCGGAAGGAGACGTTCAACGACGCAGGTATCTACCTGAACACATCACTTGCGCGCAATGCGACGACGTTCACGGCGGAGCACCGGAAGGGAAGCAAGATGAGCGAGAAGGAGTTGGAGACTCGACTGCTGGGACTGCGGTCGTGGCACTGGATGGACGTCCCGATAGAAGTGAAAGGGACGGAGAGCGAGTCCGCGTTTTACTTCAGGTCGAAGGCGAGAGGGATGCGGCCCGAAGGCGTGAAGGAAGCAAGGGAGGTTGTAGAGAAGGCGGAGGAGGAGGCCGACGATGAGGTCAAGACTGGCGACGGCAATAGGGACGGGGTGGAGGACGTCGGAGACGGGATCGATGCCGACGAAGATGAGGATGAGGAGGACATCGAAGATCATAGTGAGGTGGAAGTCGACGAAGAAGACGGCGACGACGACGATGACGACGACGACGAAGATGCTGACGACTCCCAGGCAAGGGATGCGGACTCAAGCATGACTCAGGCGGAATCCACCGACGCGCCTCAGCCAGAGACCGTGAAGAAGCACGTGCCGCCGTTCATCAAGCTGTCCGGTAACGGCGGGAAAGCCTTGGGTCGGTTCATCGAGTACATGCTTAACGTATTCAAGTACCAGCACCGCACCTTCTGCTACGCCGTCTACGTGTGCTACGACATGGCCCGCCTCCTCTTCTTCGACCGGTCTGGTGTCCACGTCTCGGAGCCATTCAGCTGGGTGGAAACGACATCGCTTCTGCATGAGTTCGTCTGGAAGCTTGCGAAGCTCGCAAATGCGAAATCCTTCGAAGATTTGGGGCGCGACACCACAGCCAATGTGGTCGACGAAGAGACACGGAGGAGATTCCTCGACGAGGCAACCAACGCCGAACTGCCCTCTTACGTCCGGGAGGGTCTCGAGAAAGCGGCGAAGGGGAACTGTCCATTATATGAGCTCGAGATCGAGTATATGCCTCCGTCGCCCGAGGAGTGGTTCCCCGATGAACCATTCCCTGATGAGCCACTTCCCTCACCATCTGCACGGACCGCTCCCTCCTCGTCGACGAGCTCCGCCTCCCCGTCCTCCAGCAAGAGCAAAGCTGATCCTCCGATCCGCAAGTTCATCGTTGGTCGCCCACACTTTTCCGCGGACGCCCTCGTCGGTCGGTGCACGAAGGGCTTCATGGCCTTCGACGTCACTGATAAGAATAACTGGGTCCCTTGCTTCGTGAAGGACTCTTGGCGTCCGTATGTTCCCGGTCGCACACGGCCGGAACACTTGGTCTACGAGCGGCTTCGACGAAAGGGCGTGAAGCCTAAGGACGGGATCGCGACGTTGATCTGCGGCGGCGACGTCGGGGGCAGTAATGCTCAGTGCACTCAGGTTCAAGAGGATCTGCCCTCTGGGAACAGACCGGCTCCCCGCCGTCATTATCGGGTTGCTATTGCGGAGATATGTTTGCCCGTCTCGAAGTTCCGGACTTTCGGAGAACTCTCCGGGATTTTTGCGGATACGCTGAGAGGTATGGATCTTTATTATGTTTAAGACTTTCAGTGCTGACGGAGGGGTCGTAGCTCATCGCAAAGCGTGGGATCGCTCGGGCGTCCTTCACCGTGACATCAGCGTGGGCAACATCATGATTCGCGTTGAAAGCAACGGGGGGTGGACCGGGATTCTCATCGACTGGGATCTGTCCAAATTACAATGCGAGCTTGGGCTAGGTGCAGTGGAGCCTAGCAGGACGGTGCGTCTTACCAGTTGTATCTCCCCGATTCCTATCTCATTAGTTATTTATGTTCTAGGGGACTTGGCAGTTCATGTCGGCCATGTCTCTTAGATACCCTAGGAAACCATACCGTCGGTCGGATGACATTGAGTCCTTCATCCACTGCTACATTTATCTCGTGTTCCGCTATCACCCTACGGACGTTGGCCTTCGGGAGAAGATCGAGAGCCTCTTCGAAGGTTGCCTCATAGTTGGTGGCGTCATGATTGGCGGAAACGCCAAGCGCGCAATGCTCCGCAGTGGTCACTTAGGCGCTGTGGTCAAACGCAACCCACGACTTCAACGACTCCTGGACGACATTCTGTGGCACTGCAAGTCATGCTACGATATGATCGATTACGTGGAGATGGACCGTTTGTACGGTCCTATCGAGGACACTGAACAAAGTCAACCCGAAACAGAGGAAGATGTTCTTACGTCGGCTGACCAAGGACCAAGGCGCACGACGGCTCTCCGACACTCTAGCGACGAAGGGTCATCTGCCGAAGATTTAGATGAGGACCCTATCCGCACCATGTCGCGTCAGCGGCAAGAAGCCCGGGCGTTGTCCCACGAACTATTCGAGATGGGACCATTCCTATCCAACCCGAAGATGCTCATGAATCTGCTACTCAAACACGCTGAGACGACGTTTAGCCACCGCGATAAGGCGCCTGATCAGTTCTCCCTTAGGCAGCATCAGGAAGTCTATCGAGCCCCAGACCCTCCGGCCTTGCGCGGTATCGGTAGCATGTCTGCTGGTGGAACAACTCTGTCGGGACGCATGTCCCAGGACAATCGTTATGCGTTGTCTCATGACAAGCTCACGACGACTCGTCGACCGGGAATCGTCGGGATACCATCGTCCTACAGCTCATCAAGGAAACGAGCACACGTTGAGAAACAGGATGACAACCTGGCAGACGACGAAGGAGATGGTTCTCCCGCTGTGCGTCGTAGCAAGCGTTTCAAGACCGCTAAGGGGAAAGCGCCCTCAGTACAAAGTGGCACGGCCAAACGTCGTTGATTCTGCCTTCCGCCTCTCGTGCTGTTGAGTAGGACCGTCGTTCTCCGCTCCCTCGTCTACTCGTCTTCTCTTGTCGTTTTTCGCCGTCCGCCGTCTCCCTACCTCACCCATCTGCCATGCAATGCTGTATCGCGTACCGCTTAGCTTTGCCATGTATCATAACGCACCATAATCTCGGGGATGTTCAGATGTCTTGTATGAGGCTGTCCAGAGCTTGACAAATGTGGGGCGCTGACATTGTCGCATGGCGGGGCGGGCGACGACATCGGGGACGAAGATTTGGCTCTATCAATTCTAACCGGGGCTAGTCGCTCTGGAGTGCAGCCGGGACTCGGGACAGATGAGAGGACGAATCTTCCGTCAACACCAGGAAAGGCTGTCGTAAAGCTCTTCTCGAAGTCTTGAGGTTACTCAGATCATCTTGCATCTAGGCAGATCACTCGACTTCTATGGACCGTGTGTGCAAGGCGATATAGTTTGAATTCCCAACCGACATAAGGAGGAGCTTGCAGCTGCGCTTTCTTGCTGTAGACAGGAAACCAGCCAGCAGGGTAAAATCTATCAACTACTGGACGTGACAGACCTTCAGCAGATCCTTGAACGTTAACGTTAACGGCCGAATGCATGCTAACAATATGTGGCATTGAATGTAGTGGTACGGGTACGTGTAGTGGTATGCGAATGCGATGCAGGTTGTGGACTGTAGTGATAATATCCATGGGAGAGGTAAAGTAAACGGGAGGAAAATTACGAACGATGTAACACTGGACATGAGCAAACCATACGACGCGGAAGCGAATAGAGAGGAAAGAAGGAAGCGAAGCAGCAACACTGAAGAAGATAGCATATCTATCCGTCTAGGGTCATGACGCATCCGGCGCACCGTCCGCTTCCAGCACCAGCGCGGGTGTGAGTGTAGGCGTGGGCACGAATGCGGAGTGGGACACTGTCCGTTAGGTATCTTCCATAGTCAAGCCAGACTCCAGGACGAAGCAGGACTCCACATGCGAAGGAGGGAGCGGCTGCGAGAACGCAGGCGATGGCGAGTCGAGGTACGCCAATTCCGACTCGTTCACAAAATCCGTCGCCTCTGGCTGAGGCTCGTATGCGATTTCTTCCACTTCCACGACGGGCGATTCCTCAATGACCTCGATGGAAACAGAGGTTTCCCTCTCCGGAACCGGGATGGAATGTAAGGTCGTCCTGTCCTCCTTCCCCGTCTCTTGCTTCCCGTCGCCTATCTCCCGCCTCTCCTCCAATCCTCCCTCCCACTCAGACCCTGGCTCCCGCCGTACCTGTTGCGACATCTTCCTCTTCCTCTCTCCCACTTTCCAGATCACGTCCTTCAGTTCCTGCACGACCTCCCCTCCGGGCCCCCACCTCTCCCTCCCAGGTCTCTCCATCGGCAACTCTAAGTCAGGCGACGCGAGTGACGAAGACGACGTGGACAGCAGCCGCCCGCTCGACCTCTTCGCCTTCATCAGCTGAATCCGCTCCTCCCGAGACAGCTTCGACCGCGGCCGCGCGAACGCGCCCACGTTCCCGGACTCAGCCTCGAACACCTGGTCGACCCCCGGGGGCGGGAGGTGCTGCGACGACGCCGAGAGGAGTAGGTGCGCCGTCGCGTCGTCCAGATCGTGCTCATGCTCGTTGTCTTCCCTGCCATACGACAGCGTGAGCCCAAGGCCCGAGTCCGAGTCCGCCCCTTGCGCATTTGGCGAAGCGGGGCCCTTTTCGGACGTCTCGCTCTCCCAATCATGCTTCAACCCCGGGGTGTTGGGCGACGCCTCCTCGTCGTCCGCTTCCGCGAGCGCAAGTGACGGTGGTACGAGGATGTCGAGCAGCCGCTCCCGGCCGCGCTCGCACTCCCTCAGAGCGAACCCGAGCTCCTTCCGGAGCCGGTCGTACGCCTGGAACGCCGGGTGCTCCTGGACGTTCGACGCATCCACGGGTCGTCGATGGGTGAGCGGATCCCGCAGCGCCTTGACACATTCGTGAATGTGATCCCGCGCGTCATCCAGCGCGGATGAGATTGTCTCAATATGGCTCGCGAGTCGAGCCATACTGCTTGGCATCGGCGCAAACGTGGTGAGTTCCAAGAGCGAGCGAGCGTTTAACTCGTGGCGGAGCGGAGATACCTTCCGCTCGTGCCCTTTGGTATGGCCGAGCTCTTTGTCGTTGGGGGTCGGGGTGTTCCCGCGGGGCGGCGTCGGGTGTTCGTCTTTGACACGCCGTTTCTCCGCCTCGTTGAGCGCATCGATGAGCCGCGCGGAGGCGTCCGAGAACGTGCTGGAGAGGAGTGACATGATGGACCGGACATCCTCCCAGTATGAGTCGTCCTCGTCCTCGGAGAAGCGCAGAGCGAGCAAATGTGAGCACGCATAGCGCTTGGCAGAGAGCGCACCTTGTAACGCAAGGTGCAGCCCTGACAGTGATAGCGGATGCCTCGTCGTGTGCACCGAGGTTAGGCGTGATGATGAAGAGATCGTCGGTGAGAGGAGAGAAAGCGGACGGCTGCCGCGGGAAGGGGACTTCGAAGGTGTATAGCTTGGAGGTGGGACACCGAAAGTCTCCTGCGCCACTGACCTCCGCTTACGCTGCAGGTCCAACGCAGCAGCACCGAAGTATCCCTTACCCGCCAGCTCATCCCCCTCGTGCTCTTCCTCCACAACATCCATCAACCGGCCGCTGCTATCCTCTGGGCTGGGAGGCTGCGGGCTCACGGGGGCGCTTTGGGTCGTGTACGTGGCCTCGGGACCGAGAGGCTGGAACAGTGACGTGACGTGGGACCGCCGGTTCTGCTTCTTACGGTTGAGCAGATGAGCGGTCGGGCTACCAGCGCCAGCAAGTGCGGCGTAGGACCCGTTCCAGGTCGCTCGCTTGTCTACCTTGCTGTTCGGCAGCGAAATCGTCCGTTGGCGCGAAGAGCTGGCCGAAGGATGGGAGAAGGGCCTCATCGTGCTAGACGCTGACAATGGCGACCGCGAATTGTCGCTTAAACTGGACGAAGGCCGGATGGGCGAGGAAGGCGCGTACATTTCCGTCAGCTGGGAGAGCGACGCTGGATCGGTGAGGGCCGAGAGGAGCTGCCGCACGTTGTCGCACTGCGTCTGCGTCGTGTGCAGCGAAGACTGCAGAGCCATCCGGAGCGCAGATGACGGCGCTTGCTGACTGGTGGGTCCGTAGAAAATACTGCCGTTATGGGTTAGCCACGGTAATCTCCCTGAGAATGACGGGTGGGTTCTCGTCATACCTCCTCTCCTCGTTTTCGATGAGCATGATCGCCTCGTTTACAGCCGAGTCCCAGACGTTTCCGGACGAGATGAGCTCGTTTAACTCATGAAGTGTCTATTGAATGTGAGCGTATATATACGACGAAAATGATAGCGCAACTTACTTGTGCAGTAGAACTGTGTGTGTTCTGATCTGCCTGCACAACGTGTCTAGCATAGAAACCAGCAGCAAGGAATACGGCAGCAAAGACATAGGAACCAGCCGAGAGAAAGAATATAGCGATAGATAGAAGTGCAATCGGCAATTCCTGTCCATGTCCAGAAAGGTTGAGATCTCCTGATGTTGAGTCCAGAGATCGGTCATGGGCCTTGCTATCCGAAGGCGAGGTCCCGTCTTCAGTCCCACCGCCACCGTCATCCAGCTTTCCAGGAAACTCCGGCGCAAACGCAAATGTGCGGTGGATAGCGCTTGCTGGCGCGGCAAGGGATGATGAGAGAAGCGAGGAAGAAATGACGTCGTACTTGAATCGCTCTTCGAAGCTGTTTTCGCGCGATGTACATGACGAGGTTTGTAGTAGGTCGTTCACGGTCTGAAGAAGCGAAATCAAGGTTAACATGATTGCTGGGCGACACACGTCCTATGGAAATGGATAACATATTTTCCATTCGTTGAATATTATATGCGCTCATCGCCACAGGCCGCACGCAGACTGTCTCGTGACTACTATGACAGAAGAGTATATCCCGAACAGCAACCGCGCCAGGTCACTGTCTGCATTCCAGCATGACCGGCCTTATTATCCCGGCTATGTGTGAATGGAAGCGAAGATTCGATACCTAACCGCACTCGTATACACCTGCAGGGCCAGAGCAGCCAGAGCACAAATTTGACAGCATGGAGACGTCGAGTACTGAATTTGGCAAGATTCCCGTTGTCCAGATGACTAGGATCTGGGATTACGCTGCGATTGCCCGCCAAATCCCTTCGTAGCCCGTCAAACCCCATTTATGGGCGGCTACGGCCGATTTGGGCGGGCAAGCTCATTCCCATCCCCAGCCTAACAGAACTCGGCACGCACACGGCGCGTCGGAAAGCGGACAGACGCGTGCTCACCTGCATTGCCCTTATTACAATCTCAGGGAGCTGAATATCTGTATGTGGCGAGGGAGAGTCGTCGTAGTCTGAGTCGTCTCCAGCGAGAGCCGCGAAGTCCGGGGAACCACCAGGCATCGGTTCCGCTGTCTCTCCTGTATCTAGACCGTGCGGTACGTCAACATCCCGCGTAGCTAGCGTCTGCATATATTTGGACGCACTGCGGAAGTACTGCTCAAGGGGATGTTGGTCGAAGAGAGGTTGCGCCATAGAGACAATGTAAAGTGAGAGTTTGAGAAGTTCCAAGGTCCAGATCGTTAAGGGGATCGTTATGGTGCAAACAAGGAGCGGCGGCAGTGAGACGAATTAGACAAGAAGGCGGCGAAGGCGCGAGCGCAGCGGTGACGGGGACAGGGGCGGAGGCGGAGGCGGAGGCGGAGGCGGAGGCGGGGATGGTGGAGGGCAGGGACAGCGACGAGAAGCGGGGCCATGTGAACCTGCGTCACGCGCCTCCCGACGGTGATGTGTCACAGCACGTAACGCAAGGCTCGACCCGACCGGACGCTCCTGCTGAGAGCCGGCTAAGAAAATGATATGGCCTACTAATCATGGCTCGGCTCTACTTAGCGGTCTCAGTCTTCCTCCACTGGCACGACTGTTGACATGGCGGCACAAACGAACAATTCGTCCCTGCGCACGGTCCACTCCCCGGATGGCCCATTGACCCACGGCCAGATGGAGTCCAGCGACATCATCTCTGCGGATCCAGTGCCACCAAGCATGGCTCATTGACATCAATGCTTACTGGCAGAACCACCTCACACATCCTCTTTCGATGATAGTCTATCTCGGCCTAGTTTCTCTCCCCGGCCAGGCTATCGGATTTGTCTCCGTCATACCTCGAACCACCGAACCGTCCCTGAAGAATGGCGCGACCCAGTCCCCATCTATGCACGCTATACTCGGGCAGGACGGAAAACGATGGTATTGGGCGCGCGCTACGGAAGCTGCGCGGGACCACCGAGTCCGTGTCGCCACCGCTCTCTCGCGCGACCGGTGGGCCGAGCTCAAGCCGGCGGAAGGCGAATGTACCTGATACATGAGACGTAGCTAAGCGAGACCAAAAATGGGGCAGCGGAAGGGTGGGTGCAAAAACGAAAGCTCGAGGAGCGCGAGCTCCCGAAGGGCGAAGGGACGAGGATCCTGGGCTGCGAGCCCTTAACCTATATACTACTAGAGACAAAGCAGATGTAAAGCGGCGAGGGGGTGGCACGAGTTACGCTGTCATAGACCCTGGACAATAATCATTGTCCAAAACATATATCTGGCCTGCAGCCGTCCTGCCGCAGTGGAGGAAGGCCGGCTGTCTTACCAAGTTGATGCATAGGAGCCTCGGAATGCGGACCAGCTCACTATCTGTACATACCCATCTCGGTTTCCGAGCATGTGGAAGTGGTTGAACGGTAGAGGTTGGATCTAGAGTTCGAACACGGCAACATGCTCCTTTTCTGAGCTCGGCCTCTATGCAGGCGAGTTTGCCCACGTTCTCGATCGAATCTCATCCAGACTTGAAAGAGGAATCCCAGTCTAGGTGACACATTCTGGCTGGTTGAACGTATTGTCATCGTGCACGCTCACCCTTTGCAAATCTCTGGTAAGTCTTGGGCAAACCATCGTACTCAGGGGTGTCTACAGGTCCGGTAAGAAATAACCTCTTGCTCTGTAACAGTCTGAACTATGCTTTGTGTTATGCAGTGCTTGCGTCACCGTTTAGAGTGCTTCTATCGCCATAGGGAGTGACCCAATCCACTATCGTTTTCATCTGTCAACTGTTCTATCACGGAGGACGTTCGGCATCTCGTAACCTCTAACCTCCTCTCGCGCCCGGTCACCAGCCTGTACACCGTGAGTAGGCGGAGGTTATTCCCGCACATTGCATCCGCCCAACAATGTAACGCACCTCAGTTATGCCTGGCCTCCTGCTACGTTGACGTAGGTGCCCATCCTATCCCCGGTGACTTCTGACAAATCAGAGCGACTCGTGCCATCCGACAGGGTGTGCATAGCAAGTGCGGGACAGTCTTCTCGGCCCTCTACTTACTTTGCTGACGACGATCCTCAGCCAGGTCCAAACACCACACGCCCCCCGCACCCGCATATATTGGCTCTGGCCTGACAAAAACCGCCAGTGTCAGCATGTCGCACAATGCCATGATTTTCGGCACCCGACTCGGACACGACGCCGGAAGGTACATGCGCATTCATGTCAGACCCTCACCCCCGCGCTCAATCTACGCACCCCAGATTTCAGCGGCATCTCAAAACAAACACGATTCGATCCATCCTGGGCGGTCTCGCACGGTCATTGAAAGAACCGTGCTCCCAATGATGCAGCGCGCAGCAGCCTGTCCCCCTAAAGAGCGGCTTCGCGCAGAAGATCGTCGTGCGGGTTGCATTCGCACGTCGGCATGGTCTGTTACGACATTTCCTTCCTTCCCGGAGCAGCATAACAAACTAAACCAATGTCTCCGGCCACAATCTGCGGACGTGATCCCGCACGCCGGCTAGTGGCTTGCAAGAGTGCGCTGATCTCATCATTGCCGATGTCGGAAGCTGTCATTCAACAGCCGCGCCCCGAGTTTAATCGTGCAATCGTCCGCACTACATTCTCTCTACTGCGGCATATAGAGCGCGGTTCGATGTACTTATGGTTTCAGGGCTTCCTATCATGGTGCCATTTCTAGGCACCCAAATCTTCGTTTTGGCGTCATCACGGCGATTGCGCGCAGGTAAGCCCCACACCTACTCACCGCGGTCAGCAAATTTTCATCCCGACTGCGTCCACAGTGCCTGCGTAGGCTGACATCAATCTCGCTGGTGGCGCTCCCGGGGGCGTATAACGCCATGGTTCATCAGTTCCATTCCTATCCTGATGCTTACCACACTCGCCGCCGGCAATGTCAAACGAAACACATCAGATGGACCATTGCTTGGGATCCCATATACCCCCCAACCACGAGGTGCGCCGACAGAGCGAAGAGCCCGGCAACTCTCCATTCTGATCTCGAGACTCCTTCCCAGTGGACGTAGTACGATGGTGGTAGAAATCAGGACGCGCAACGTGCGCATCACCAGGTCAGCCCGCGCCCGCATCTGACAGAAGTCTACCATAACGTCTAAACGTTCCGACTTCCAAGATGCGAGACCCTTGCCTTGCCCGAATGGTCCATGTTACATGACAGCTAACCCTGGCAACTTACAACTACTGTCGGCGTGGACTGGCGCACAGTCGAAAACATAACCAATGGGGCCATACGTTTGGAAACAGCGCCTCCAGACAAGACATGGAAGATCGGCACGTTGCGCGTAGTACCGCGGACCATCTCGCTGTGGACTCTCTGGCTCACATCTAGTATCTCCGAGGACCACCGATGCGCGCTCTAGTGTTGAGATACAGGTCTGACGAAGCCTGCACACGGCGCCAGGACCGAAGACAACAAATGTCTCACGTCAATGGCCGTCGGCAGTGCAGGTCCCGCGTAGCGAGCGCTTGAGAAGATGGTAAGGAAGAGGGATGACCTTCATTCGATGCAAAATTCTCAGGCGCGTCGCGAGGCGGGGGAGGCTGCACGGTAGCCTGTCTTACCTGCTCCGCTGAGTGGACTCCGCAGAGCCCCGCACTCAAAACTCACAAGTAAGCACAATCTTACGAGCAACTCGGGAACGCGTGATTTACTAACGTGATCGCCAGGCGTAGATCGACCACACGGGTAGTCACCAAAGGCGTATCGATGAACAACGTGTACGTCCGCTATGATTCCGGTCGTACAACTCCCGAGTCTAGGTGACACTAGGCAACCACTTGGTATTGCAACATGCCTTCTAGGGTGCCCGTATGTCTGTCAGCAGACGCACCCCGCCCGCTTCGCTTGTCGGCATCGCTCGAGTTACCTCATCGTCGGGTTCACTTCAGGAGCGCCCATTTCTCTTTCAGGAGGTCGATGTTCCTGATCTGACCCATCCGTCCTTTGTACGCGACCGCCTGGGGAGGTGCGGCTGCTGTGATTATGTGTATTTGATCTACCGGGGCGCTCAGCAGACATCGAGGTTGGCTAGCCTTGCAAACTAGATTCTCGTTGAGTCGTGTCCCCAATCTCTCACTGGCACTCCAACGCATTGGGATGATTGAACGCAGAACATCACGTATACGTGAGCATCACCTGCTCAAAGGATCCCACCATAATCTCCTCCGGTCTGTATGTCTCGCACCCACCTGTTTTTGCAGCCTAGGCCATACAGCGCCTCGCATCTCGGATGTCTCGGACAAACGCCATTAAGTTGTTATATATTGCCGGTATTTGTTCGGAGGATGACGTACGCTTTACCTCATACACTCTGTACGGCGCCGCGGCAGCTAAGTAGTGCTGCCTCGTGTGTACTCACCCTCCGCCCAGGTACGTAAGGCTCGCGGGAATTCCATTGTACCTCTTTCGCCTCTCGCTCGGAAGGGCTGCACATCCGGGGATATCCGATGACTCCTTGTTCTCTCTATGGTATGTTGGACAAGCTCTCTGCGCGCGAAGCTCAGCGTGATTGAGTATCTCACCTCCCTTCATCTAGGCTCGTACATACGCTTGCTGCATGCTAGTCTGACAAACGTATTCGCCTCTTTCCGTCAAGCTAGCTGGAAGATCGTGTCCTCATGGGCCTATGGTCCGGCTAATCGGTACCCTGTGCAGCATGAAAAGACGGAGTCTCGTGCCAGGATCTAACGAGCTAGTCACGGTTGATGCTGATAAGGAAAGGACTCAAGACGAGACGAGGCAGCGAGTGTGCTCGATGAGAACGCAGAAGCTCACGGAACCATCTGACCGCGGGAAGGAAGGATTAGTGATAGACTAAGACAGCTCCCCAGCTCGCGATCGCACGCAGCCAAACAGAGATTGCAGCCGATCTGCACTCTCTGCAGCTCCGCTTCCCTGCTGCCATCTGCAGCATGCTCTCCTCCCAGCACCGGCCGCCTTCGGTGAGTTCTATTCCCCTTCATATCCGTGTGTGTTTTCCCCATTGGGCCGTCGGAGCCCTCTTCGGCGTCCTCTGCATGCTTCTGTCTCGAACCCTGTAATCAAAGCGGATCGAGGGGCAGGTACATCACCGTCGGGATCGCACATCGAATGCACGGTTCGCAAGCGTGGTGTGCTCGACGTCTTCGTTCTCCCATCTGCATGTTCCTGGTGCTGCTCGCGCTCGGAGAAACCCGCATCAAAATCAAGCGGAAGGGAAGGACGAACTTCCGAAGCATACCGCAGAGGAGGTCACGCAGGACGACTGTGGGACAGCGCGCCTGCTTGAAGCAGTTTATCGTCACCTTGCCATTCGTCCACCATCGCGACTGTCAGGGTCGGGGAGGCGTGGTGCCCGACCCATGTAATCTGTAGACGCGCAAGCAGGGATGCCTTGCCATGCGGAGCCGGCATGAATGCAAATGAATGAACGTTCTGCACTAATAGGTCTAGATCGTTCACGGGACGCTGGAGGATCGTCGCTGGAGGATTGTGGCGGCTGGCCACACCGTGTATCGGCATACTGAACGCTCGGCTCTTCACGGGCTCTTGTTGTTCTTCACCCGCATCAGCGTGCTAGCGGGATCTTCGCACAGGTCAAGCCCCTCATTCAAGACTCGTGCTGACATTGTCGAATGCTTTACCATTGGTTCGGCTGCCAGCATCAATCCATCCATTGATCGCACCCCCAGTCCCAGTCAGCATCGATGATGCCACTGGACCACAGTGGAAGCGTGTAATATGCCACAACACGCGTGTCCCGTTCCAGATCAGACATTCTTCGCAGGAGTCCCGACCGACCTTTGGACCCACACTTTTGCAGCACACGTGTTTCCCAACAGTCTCTCTCCGCACATCATGAGACGCATCTGCACCCTAGTCTGGCACCGCGTAGCGGCGACCTTCCATAACGGGCGCGTCTCTCCGCTGGCCTCATGATCCTCATTGATCTCTTCTGTCTGATGTTTGCAATCTCCTCTCCGTCGGCGGAAGAGCTGTAGCTTCCACTTCATAGCTTGGGCCGACCTTACTCTGTTACTAAAAGGATCTGTACAACCGGCATTGCCTACATGTCAGCACAAGCATCATATTCGGCCCAGATAATTTCCTCACTCACGGACTGTATACACATAGAAAACAATCCGGCTCGGTCCCGTCATGCTGAATGTTGTTTGGCGCTATCACGATCGACCTTGCACTTCCTTGCACGCATCATTCGGTCTCGACATCAGAGTTGCCAAATGATGCCGGGTCACGGCGGGTACACTTTGATCCTCTATTGGTCTGCGACAATCCAGCAATGTATGTAGCCATTACACATACTTAGATGATGAATGCGCCTGTAATCGGTGTCTTCAGACATTCCCTCGCAGGATTCATATTGGTGGGCAGGTTCAAACCATGTAGATAGCATCGAATTCCAGTCAGTGCTCAATACTTGAAGTGCTATTCGCCACTTCGCATGTCTCCATACCCTTGCTGAGTACATATGACGCAAGCACGCAACACGTCAGGCCGCGTGGGTCTCAGTCTAGCCCGCCGAGGGTCGGGCGGGGTGGCGCATCAAACGCCTCGAAGCTAACGCGAACGTTGTTCCTCGCGAATGATTCCAGCGTCGAACCTCGAAGGCCCTTAGCCGCGCGTGCATCTCAATGGTTATCTCTCGCTAGCCCAAAGCAGCAAAGCAACGAACGTCGAAGCTCGACGCCGCATCACAGCATGATGCTTCGGTAATTATGAGCTTGAGATCCTACCCTAAAATCACTCATTGAGATGGGGAGCTCAGCACAACGCTTCAGAGGTCGAACGTTCTGCCTTGTCGAAATGTTGCGATGCGGCCCCCTCTTGCACCCCAGGGAGGCAATATTCCCCGGGTCGGGCCTGTCGCTCGACGACCTCGTGAGCGTGGAATATGCTGTAAAGCGTACGCTGATGGACCTTTGGCTGTCACTGTTCGCAGCCGCAGTTGGCATTCACACCGTGCCGAGGACACGGTCATGCGGTCAAAACTTTCCGGGCGCTCGTGTGTTTGTGTGCGTATATGTTTGCTGATGACATGTTTCGTAGGCGTCTTCGCCGTCGATAGCGGAACGTGCCCGACAGTATTCAGTACCATGGCTGCATGCAGTACGGAAGCAATCAGAGGAGCGTGATACACGCTGAGCTGTCTTGCATGGAACAAACAGGGCATTCACTTGTCGGCGGAGGTTCTCTTGTGCAGTCAAGTCGGCTTTCTCACGCGTCAATGCATCAACCAGCAGCATCCTCATCGGAGCTGGACATTGCACCCAGCAAGATGCGACTGGTGCACGACCCCTCGGCCTGTCACCGCGACGCCCGCTGCTGGTTTCACGAGGCGCCGACCACCCCAACCAACTAACCAAACCCGTGGCCGCGGGCCGCGCCGAAACCAGCATAGCGGCCGCTGTGGCTATCGCGCTGGCGTCGGCCGCGTCTCCTCGCAACAACGCCACGACTTCTCCGCTGCCGTTCGCGGTTAGCCCGACAAGTTTAGGCTCGCAGAGCCACCGATCCCCCCACCCGAAGCGACGGTGAGACAGGCCTTGCGACCGTTCTCGTGACGATACGCGCGCGTGGCATGCCGACGTTGTCCTCTCGTCGCGACCGCCGTCGCTCGCGCTCGGCCGTTGCGAGACGACGCTCGGAGCCTGAGCGGCTCGCCCCTCGTCGCCCGGGCCCTCGCCTGCAGCCTTCGCGCGCCTGCGATAAAGTCTAATCAGCCGCCTGCACCCACGCAATATGGGCAGAAGCGGCGAAGCCGCGATGCTCAGCGGATGGACGAGCGCTCCGGCTCCGGTGTTGCAGATGTGGCTGCAAGCTCAAGGACGGGTGCAGTCAAACCGCTTTGCGCTTCCGTCCCTGGGTGACCCGTTCTCCGAACCTGGCGTTCGGAGCTCCTGATGCCCTACTCGAAGCGAACGCTGCAGATCACCAGGGCCACCCGCTCGGACGACGAGGATGCAAGTGGGCTGAATTGGCCGAGTACGAGAGACAGCGAGGAGTTCGCGGGAATGGACTGGGATGCGATGTGCACGCTGGGGGTGCGGACGCCAGCTACGCGCGCAATAAGCAAGGGCGATCATGAGCGGCGGAAGATCTGGACGTCCGCGCGAGCTGAGCGTCGACGCGCCGTCAGGCCGTCGACGGCCTGTAACGTCGGAGGAGACAAGGCCCGGTCTCAGGCAGTTCGTTCGACTCGTGAACGCGCGCAGATGTACATGTAGATGCAGATGTCGGCCGCTTGCGAGCGCGGTCGAATGGCGAGCGTGGGCGAGCCCGAGCGGACGGTCGGAGGCGCACATCTTTAGCAGGTGCCCTGTCACCCGCCCCCGCACAACGTCACGAGTGCCGCCTGCGAGGCCTTCCACCGTCAGCTTCCGCCGGGCGCGAGGGAAAGTTGCGGACTTGGGGGGTTGGCAGCGAAGACGTGCCCGCGGGGCCAGGTCGAGTGATTGTATCGTGCGCGGGCGGAGATTTCTGGGTGCACGACTCCGGGCGCGTAGCTGCCGCCGGCCGGTGAGAAGGTTTGGCGCGATATGTCGTCTCTTGCGCAGAGATCTCGGGGGATCAAAGCAAAAGCCGAGGGCCGGGTATCCCCGTGCAGCGCGCCAAGGATCCAGATAGCCCAGATACGTACGTACAGGGTCCCAGTGCTCGCTCAAATCCAAACACACGGCCGGGGCTCGTTTCGTCGAGGATGGAGTGCGGCACCCGGCTTTTATGCGACGGCCATCTCGCGGATCGCTGCCGCCGACGCGCTTGAGAGGCCACAATATTGAGGGTGTGGACGAGGATGGACGGACGCCGGGCGGGTGGGGTCCGAGGCGGCAAGATGGGGCATCACGAGGAGAGCAGACTTGGGATCTGTCATCGCTGATTCGAGGGAGACTTGGCAGCAGGCGTGTGGGCAGGGCGTGTGGGCAGGGCGTGCGTGCACGCCGGGATGGTGAGGACGAGGGATGGGCCGGGCTCGGAGGGGCGTGTCTCAATCAGTTGATGGGGCGATGGTCTGTATAGCCGGGGGCACTGTGAGAACATACGGTGCGACATATGGGTGTAAGTAAAGGTAAGTATCAGGGGACTCTATACGGTAGATAAACGAGCAGTGTCGGGCGGCATGGGGGCTGCGGTGCTTGCCGCGGGGATGGGGTGAGGGACTGGGACTGGTGATTGGAGATGTGGTATTTGGCTGGAGTGTGAGAAAGGGGACGGTGCTTCCGTCCACGGGCGGGGTGACCCACGGGCGGGGTGACAGAGAAGGGCCGTGCTAGAACCGAGCTCGTCGGTGCGATGGCTGGCTATCGGACGGCGGACGAGCGACGGAAGAAGGGCTCGCATGCGGGGAATGTGGGAGGCGGCCTGCGGAGAGAGGGTATGTTTTACGGGCGAATAACATAACAGGAGGGGCTGAGCAGGTGGATGGTCGCGGCCGTGGGCTGCAGTTGATGGCGCATACTTACTTATGGCAGTCAGACTCGGACACCCTCAAATCTAGATTTATGTCCATCCGACGCGCTCGCTCCCGCATCCTCCTCTCCCTCTTCTCTGGCCAGCTCTCCCCGGCTCAGCCCTGCCCTCGCTGTCCTCGCCCCGCCCCCCGTCGCCCGCCGCTCCCGCCCACCGTCCTCGCGAGCGGCCCAGCGTCGTCGCATGTCCCCCGTCTGACTCCTCTGCGCGCCTCTCCCACACCGTCCTCCTCCCGCCTGGTTCGCGGCTGCTTGCTGATCGCCTGATTGCCCCCTCTCATTCTCATGGACAGCACCCCCTCGCACTTCTCGCACACCATGTCCTCTGCAGACGGTCCCTACTCCCAGCAGCAGCCGTCCCAGAACCAGCAATGGTCCCAGCAGTCCCCCTCCCATCTCCTCCCCCCTCCCCAGAACCAGTCGTCCTTCCCTTCGCCCTCCTCGCCCGCGTCTTCCCTCAACGACCAGTCCTATCCGTCCTACTTCCCCCCTCCCTCGTCCCAGTCAGGTCAGTCTAGCATGTCTGAACAACTCAGCGATAGGCCCGGCGACAAGACCGCGCTCTCCCTCAACCTCTCTTCGCTCTCCGTCACCTCCCCCACCAATCTCTCTCCGATCAACCCCTCGCCCCACCCCTCCACGCACGCGAGCTCGCACGTATCCCCGATCACGCCCATTAGCCCGTCCGGAAACAGCCTCGTCGCGCATCACCACCCGCACCACGCCCACCATCCCCACATCCAGCAGCCGTTCCAGTTCGCCGCGCCCGACCACGGCGTGCGCTACGACGAGCACTACGACGGCTACGGCAAGCGCCTCACCAGCTCGCGCTCCTCCTCCTCGTCCGAGAAGTCCGTCCCGCGCAAGCGCAGCTACACCACCCTCGCCCCGCTCGCGACCTCCGTCGAGGAGACCCAGTACGACATGGGCGACAACCCGAACAGCGCGATGTACGACGAGGTAGACATGTCCTACCAGATGGACGCGGAGGGCAGCCCGATCGACGGGAGCAACTCGGGCGGCGAGCAGGACGAGCAGATGAAGCCGATGGAGGGTCAGCTGCCCGCGCCCGCCACCACGCTGCACACAGGCGGACCACCCTCCCTGGGCGTCCTCAACAAGCCGCTCGGCACCAACAACTTCGTCACGAAGCTCTACCAGTGAGTACACCGCCCGCTCCTCCCGTCCTTCCCGCTGCTTCTTCGTGATGTTCCGTGCGACTGTGTGTGATACGCGCTGGGCGGCGCGGGCCTCGCTCCGCGAGCGCGATGGGCGCGCCGTTGGAGCTGAGCGCGAGTGCCCGCTGGTGACGCGGGACGGCGCGCGAGTGGCGACGCGATCGCCTGCGTGGGCGCCAATAGAAGCGCTGGCTTCCTATTCGCTTCCGACGGAGCTGCAACCGTCTTCTTCCCGCGGCCACGATGCTGCCTGACCAGCACTCCGCCTTGGGCGCGGCCTTCATAGAGTGCCTGGATGCCGTAGGGCCATGGGTAAGGAACTCCGGATTGGTAAATGAATCGTTGCAATCCGCTGCGTTGCATTGCGGCGCAGGTCATGGGAGAGGTCGGACACTCGTGGTTGCGTTGCCTGTGTCAGCCGCCGAGCGGGGAAGGCGTCTCCGTCGCGTCGTGTGGGGGTGCACGTAGCAGCTGTTCTGAGCGAAGCGGCTATTTCTTCTTCGCCTAGGAAGCTCGCGGATGGAAGCCTTCGTGCCCTGTATGGCATCTCGATTCTAGCTACTCCCGTCGATCGCGTTGCAGGAGATTTGAGGCATGCTCGTTGGAAGTTCCAGATCGCTGTCGGACCTGTGTTCCGTCGTCTTGGAACCTATTCAGCCACGATCGGCCTAGTTCTTAGTTATACATAACTTCGGCGCCTTCGGTCCATGCGTTCACGAGCTAACTCTGATGACGTATGTGCATAGGATGATCAACGACCCAAAATCCTCCCAGTTCATCAACTGGACAGAACACGGGACCAGGTACCTTCCGAGAATTTCCTCGTGTGTTGTGAACGAATTCAAACGGTCTTGGTAGTTTCGTCGTCTCCAATGTTGGCGAATTCAGCCGTACGATCCTCGGCTCGCACTTCAAACACAACAACGTGAGCAAAGCCCTCCTAACAGCGCCGGGATCCGACTAACCATACATGTAGTTCTCCAGCTTTGTGCGACAGTTGAACATGTACGGCTTCCACAAGATTAACCGCGTAAGGGTCATTTTGCTTGATGCGACAATGACCTAAACTCAATCGGGGCCTCGCAGACTCCTCGCGCACAACGCACGTCGGCCGAGGTGCAGACATGGGAGTTCTCTCATCACAAGTTCCTGCGCGGACGCCCCGACCTCCTCGAGGAGATCAAGCGTAAGGCACTCGAGCCTGATCCGTCTCTGAAGCATCGCGTCGAGCTTCCCGGCGAGGTGGCTGCGCAGCTCTCGCAGATGCGGGAGGACAACCGTCGGCTGGTATTAGCCTTCCAGCAAGAGCGCCAGAAGGTTGACCGTCTCGCCTCCGTCACGAAGGCGATGTACGATGTCATGGTCAAAACATGCGGCAGTGAGTGTCACAACACTACAGTCTATGAGGGATTAGGTTCGCTGATTGGTCGTGTGAACGCAGTGCCAGTGCCGTTCCCCACCGACATTCTAGACCCGGGCGAGAGTCCGAACATTTACGTGACGTCCCCACAGAGCTCAGCCCCGCCGCCTTCGCATTTCTCATCGCTGTCGTCGCTCCAGACGGGCAGCCTGCACTCGCTCCACTCGATCAGCCCAGGCTCGAGCCCGACGGCCCCCGAGTTCCCCTCGCACACGCACACGCCTCACACGCTGTCGCGGCAGCACTCGTACCAGCACATACCGTCCTACGACGGCATGCACCACGCCCACTCCCACCACCCGCACCACCAGCAGCCGCACCACCAGCACAGCCAGCACCACGGCATCCACGGCGTCAGCACAGCGCGGTACGACAACCCGATGGGGACCCCGCTCCCCCCCTCGCCGAGCCCGATGGACTACGACGAGCGCGTCGGCACGAAGCGCCAGCGCACCGCCCCCGGGTCCGGCTCGATCTCGATGCCGCAGAGCTCGATCGACGGCGGGCCGTCCGGGTCGTCGACGATGAAGAAGACGAGCCGCGCGCGGAGCGACAGCGCGCCGCTGGGCTACGGGCTCACCAGCTGGCCGCAGACGCGCCCGCGCAGCGGGAGCGGGCTCGCCCCGCGCGGTGTAGGGGGCGCGTCGGGCTCGGGCTTGGTCGGGGGCGCCGCGCTCAACGGGCGCAGGGAGGACGTGCCGAACATCGGCTCGCTGTCGCGCGGGCAGCTGCCGATGCTGTCGATCCCGTCCATGACGAAGCAGCCGTCGAACTGATCGTCGCGCGCCCCTCGTCGGTCGACGACGGCTGGCGTGGATGGTCGGGACTGCCCGACGGGCCAAAAAACGGCGCGCTAGAGCGCGCGCACGAGACCTCATCGACTCGCCTTTCCTCTCCTTTGCTTCGGTTTTGTTCCGTTCGCCTGTTCATATGTGTTCTGCGCCAGTGCTTTCTTGGACCATTGACCGTCTGCGTCTGTGTACTACCTCCCTTGTCTCCTTTTGCGATACGAACGTTCACATGAACATCATCAGATCCAACTGCTATCTCTCCTTTTCGTCTTGCTCCCTACGCCCTTGGTCCGTTCATCATGCGCTTTTACACTCCCGCCGAACCAGGACACAATGCTTCCCGTCGTAACCTCCGCACAATCTCCCATCCCATCCCACCCCCGGCGTCCATCCATCCGTTCCCCAATGACTCCATCCGCCCATCTACCTATGTGTCCATCATCTCCCCTATCGCGCTCTCATCTCCATCTCGTGTATCGTCTACTTCCCACCTCCTGCTATCGTCGCGACTCCGGTGGCGGGCGCGCACTCGCATCTGTGCGCGGTCGCCTCCGAGAGCCCGCGTGCGACCGGGCAAGCACCACGCTCGTTCCCGGCCCCGGCGAACTTTGGGTATTTGGTTGGTTTGGCTCGCTCGTCCTGTCCGTTGTCCGTTCTGGGCCCCCGACTGGCCCTTCCCTGTCCTTCCTCCCGTTCCTTCGCGCTGCGTCCCGTTCTTCGCCCTCGCCCCATCTGTCGTCTTTCTGCCCGTCCGCTTGTTCATCTCATATCTCGTGTCTCTCCGCCTGGAATTGTGAACTCGAATATCCCTCGCGTCTCTTTTACCCCGTCGTCTGATCGCTTTTCTTTTATCCCTTTGTTTTTGCTGCGACCTACGGCATCTTCCATCTGCCACTTCAGCTTCGTTGACCATCATCATGCTCATCTTCATGTTCGTTGCCGCTTCGTGCTCGTCGCTTCTCATTTGCTGCTGTTGCTCATCGAGACCGCCCCCGATCTATAGACGTGTATCATCACCCTGCCGCTGTGCCAAGAACCCGTGCTCGTATACAAAGAAACCTGTGTTTGTCTGCCCGAGTGTCGTTTCCAAGTCGTATTGGTGACGGATAAGCGCGATCCGGTGATACAACGAACGAGACCGTCAGGACCCGGTACCCATCGAGCACTCGTGATATACTAGGTACGGGGCCGGTACGTACTAATAAATCGCTATAGCGGAGGGCTTGCGTAATCCCACAACCTGCCACCCTGTTAGGTCATGCGCTTTAGGCGCCGACGTTCGGATTCGCTCGACGTAGTACATACTGTCCCTTATCTACTCACTCTATCCCCTCGCGTGCTAGCCGTCCCCCTCTGGGGTTTTGAGACACTACACACCCCCAGACGTATAGTATGTCCGAGCATATCTAGCCTCACTCTCCGCCAGGTGCTTATCCTCAGCTAGCATCGTCTTGTAGATCCCTCGGTAAGCCCAAGCCTTTCGGTCGTGTGCGCTCGAGTGGTTCTGACCGTCTTAACGACATGATGTGCGACAATATTCACAATCATGGATTCGATAGCTGGCCTTCCCTCTCCGCGGGAACATAGATATACCGCCGTCGTCAACATATCGAATGACCAACATCCTGGTGCGTCCGACCGTGCGTTGAAACGTGCTGCAACCTCCGTTGATTACTGCCGAGTCTCAGATCACCCGCTATGTGGTTGCTCAAGACTGCCTGTGCCGAACTAGAGTTCTTCCCTACACCCGAGAGTGTGCCCGGGGGATACGCGATCCTCTCTCACGTCTGGGACGAACACGAGAATACCTTCCAGGACATCCAGGCATTTCGTGCAAAGTGCGCCGAAGCCCCCGCTGAGCCCAGTGCCGGGTCCCCCGCCAACCTTGATACCACTTCCCACCCCACTACTCCTATCACGCCTCGCGATCTCGTCTCGCATAAGATCCGCAACTTCTGTATCCTTGCAGAGAAAGAAGGATACGAGTATGGATGGGCCGACACATGCTGCATCGACAAGACCAGCAGCGCAGAACTCACCGAAACGATCAACTCGATGTATCGCTATTACTCCCTCGCTGACATTTGCTTCGCGTACCTGTTCGACGTCCCGACCGGCCCGATCGACGTCCTCGAACAGCCTAAATCCGCATTCCAGGAGAGCAAGTGGCACCGACGTGGATGGACACTGCAGGAGCTCATTGCACCTGAGTCCGTCATGCTCCTGTCGCAGAGCTGGGAACTGTTGGGGTCGAAAGCAGACCTAGCTCCTTTGCTGGAGAGCATCACTAAGGTCCCAGCCCCTCTCTTGAGGATGAACACGAAGCCGAGTGACTACTGCGTCGCTGCTCGCATGGCGTGGGCGGCAAATCGGGAGACGACGCGACCCGAGGACGAGGCGTACTCCTTGATGGGGATCTTCGGGATCTTCATGCCTGCGCTCTACGGCGAGGGAAGGAATGCGTTCTTAAGGCTCCAAGAAGAAATCATGAAACGCTCGCAAGATTTTTCGATCTTCGCCTGGGGTGATCTGAGGACCCTTGAACCTCATGAGGCCGAGCCGCTCTACTCAGTGGGACTGAGCCCCTCACCCCCAGCCAGTGACGGCATCTTCGCCCACTCCCCCTCGGACTTTCTCATGGGACATGACGTCGGGCTCGCAGCCGCCACCTCACGGACGTCGTGGCATGATGTTGCAGTGAGTCCTCTTTGCACGTGACGTCAGGATAGTGCTGTGACTCACTGAATATCCTTAGCCTGAGCGTCGTCTTCGTCGCGCAGCAGGATCAAGGAGGCGGCCCACATTTCATCTTACGCCCTACGGCCTCTCTGCCGACGTACTGCTCTTCCACCTCGCGGTTGGTCCTAGTGTTGCCATTCTGTCAGGCGTCCAATTGAAAGGCCCAACTCGGCGCAATATCGGTCTCCTCCTCCAGCGCTCTGAAGAGACTCTGGATTCAAAGCGCCATCTGTACACAGTGCTTGACATCCCCTTCCGCACGCATGAACGTGGTATTTGGACGGGACACCTGGTTCCGCTAGATGCAGACAATCGGGTTCTTTGGAAGGGATACCTGGATGAAGACGCACTGGTTCTTCACAAGAACAACTGGATGCAAAGTCCCGTCCTGTGGGAGTCCATCTGCATTTCCACCGACGGCACACATTCTGCGTCGCTCAAGCCTTTAATCGAGCTTAGTTCGAGCCTACGCCACACGCCGTTCCGTGTTCCCCCATCTCACGTTCGGGAATTACAGAACAGTCTCAGTACGCGCAACCTTATTGACCGGTTGTCAGTTATCCCTTATCCCCTTACGGGGAACCCACATCCCGTACCAGTCGCGATTATGATCAACGCCACTCGACACAAACTGGGAAGGGTTGTGCAGTGCAACATCGTCTATCTGGGTATCTGCTCCGCTACAACGCCCGGCTGTCACTGGGCTCTTGTTGCGGAAGAACAGGGCCCACCGTTAGTGCCAGCATCGCACGACTGCTCCGAGCACCACATCGACGACTGGCACGATCAAACGCGTGCCTTCACTATCACATCATTCTCATCGCACTGGCGCCCGGGCTTGCCTCGAGACTCTCATCAGGATGAGATCAGATTGACTTTCAGGCGCTCTCACCTGGACCCTGCAACCCGGATAATGCATATCAAATTCGTAGTGGCACCCGAACTCGAGGATTCGGGGCGGTTGCGCACCACCGCCTCCATGGATCTAAGCGAATGGAACAGGATACATGATCCAGGAGAGGTTACCGAAAGCGATGAAGAGCGTCGCGATGCGTGAGTATGAGGATGAACCAGGAGCATGGAACCCAATTCGTAGGCAGTGACGATCAGTGTATGAACCTAGTAGCACCTTCTGACGATCCATGGTGGTGCGGCTTGTACAATGGGAGTCAAACCAGGTCTGAAAACGATTAGGGTGGTCAGCTCTGGACGTTATCGCTGTGACGACCACGCTTCACAGGGACAATCTTGAGTGACCTATGGCGCTTAATAAGAAGCGTCTAGTAGCCTCGTGTTATGCACAAGGTCCATATGCGGAAATGGGCGAATAGTCTGGGGCGCCGCACGAATCCGCCTCTCTAACATTGTTCATTGCTATCACCATCTCTCGCATATACCCTATCGACATGCCTCACAAACGCGCCAAACGCTCCATGACGAGAGGAAAAGTGGACCGAATCGAATGTAAGCTGCCACTATTATCAGGACGTCCCCCTATTGAGAAAAGTCCAATCATATTCCTGCCCCTCTTCCTAAGAGCGCGGCGCGCGCGTTGAATGCGGCGAAGGTCCAGCAGGAGTCCGCAGAACGGAAGAGGAAGGGCCTGGACAGCGATGAGGGGAGCGCGGGGTCGTCGCGAAAGATGCGGAAACGGGACGGGAGTGCGGGGAAGAGCAGTGAGGGGGGAGAAGGAGAGGGGAGGAAGAAGACGCAGTTGCGGATCATGCCTGGGGAGTCGATGGCGCACTTTGCAATCGGTACGTCTGCGCGGAATCCTACCGCATTCGTACCGTCTTGTGCCTTTGCTGTGTCTGACATATCGTTTGACGCATGCGCTGCACACGGGTGGAAGACTCTATGCGTCGTTTGGTGAAGGAAGCGATGCAGACGTCGTCCGCGCGTGTGCGGCAGGCCAAGAAGGAGGATCTCACCAGCCAAGGGAGCAAGAAGGTAGCAGCGGCCGCGAACGCATCGTCGAAGTCGCGCGCACAATCGGGCCCGGCGAGGGCCGATTCAGACTCGGAGGAGGGTGGCCCTCTCATCTCCATCTCGTGTATCGTCTGCTTCCCACCTCCTGCTATCGTCGCGACTCCGGTGGCGGGCGCGCACTCGCATCGGTGCGCGGTCGCCTCCGAGAGCCCGCGTGCGACCGGGCAAGCACCACGCTCGTTTATGGCCCCGGCGAACTTTGGGTATTTGGTTGGTTTGGCTCGCTCGTCCTGTCCGTTGTCCGTTCTGGGCCCTCGACTGGCCCTTCCCTGTCCTTCCTCCCGTTCCTTCGCGCTGCGTCCCGTTCTTCGCCCTCGCCTCATCTGTCGTCATATGTCGTGTCTCTCCGCCTGGAATTGTGAACTCGAATATCCCTCGCTTCTCTTTTACCCCCATCGTCTGATCGCTTTTTTTACCCTTTGTTTCTGCTGCGACCTACGACATCTTCCATCTGCCACTTCAGCTTCGTTGACCATCATCATGCTCATCTTCATGTTCGTTGCCGCTTCGTGCTCGTCGCTTCTCATTTGCTGCTGTTGCTCATCGAGACCGCCCCCGATCTATAGACGTGTATCATCACCCTGCCGCTGTGCCAAGAAGTCGTGCCAGTATACAAAGAAACCTGTTCGTTTGCCCGAAGCTTATCATCTTCCAAGCTGCGTCTGTGACAGATTAGCGCGTTGCGGCGACTCGCCGAGCGAGCGGCAATAGCATCCGAGAGTTACGGGACGCCGTCGTATGTTCTATACCGTGCCGAAGTTCAAGTTTAATCAAACGCGCACCCAAGCTCAAGGACACGCGCGACCTCGCGTCTCGCAATCTCTGCGGAATGTAGCTGATAAGCGAGCACGAGACGACTGTTGTCAATCTTGCTAGCGGGAACTCACGCACAACGCATATCAACGAAGGCACTTTGGGCATGGCTCCACAATACCTCCAAATCCGCTTCTGTTCGGATGGTCACGGCATCCTCAAGTTCTATAAATTGAACAAGGTGAGAGGGATCGTCGTACCACAAGAATGGTGACTGCGACATGCGGCGCAGCTAAGAGTATGGGTCGGCGTTCTGCTGATGAACCTTCTGGCACACATATGTATAGGCTTCCTTCGTGGAGTTCATCCCTCGGCCCCACCATTGTGAGCTGAGTCCAGTCCACCACCCATGTCTTCGTCGCAAGCTGCTCAGTTTGTCGCGGTATTCACAAGCATGCGAGTTCAGCCATTCTCATACCTGGAGGACGCATACTGAACTCTGTTCCACAACCACAGTGTCACAAACAATTACTGCACTAATGCCACATCAGGTATAGTGAGCTCGTCCTGTGGCACCGGAGTATAGTTTATAATCATATACTTCTACGGCGATCTCTAGTTCTCTTTCTGCGGGATGCAATCCTCTCGACCAAGGACGACGTACATTTCTTCTGGCGCAAAAAGCCGACGGGTGCGGCGGTGCTGTTCTGGCTCAACAAGTACCTCGCTGTGATCTACTTTTCCTACGCACTTGCATCGGAGATGTTTGAGTTATCTGCGGAGGTATGTGCACTCTTTGATACAATGCTACTGATGTATGCACTCAGACAATCCTAGACGTAAGCTAGTCAGTTGCTCTATTGCTCGGCTCTTTCAATCCATTTGCATAGATGCAAACTCGGGGCTAGAACACAGCTCGCTTTCGAGAACATGTTATACTTGGTCTGGGCTGGTACGTGCATTCACTTGCGTCGATCCAAACCAAGCACGGTCTAATGACGCATGTTTCCGTAGTTTTCACGGGCATGCGTGTACATGCCATCCGTAGAGTATGGTATCTCTCAGTGCTAACTACACTGTTGTGCGCAGTGACTGTCGGACTGAATTTGGTACAGTCATATCGCTACCCCAGATGACTACCTTGCTAAAGTTTCCATCGCATCAGTGTCGGTACGGGTTTGGGCTAACTGGCCAAATTATGCCTCCTTTTGGATGTGTGATACAAGATTCCACTCCGATTCACCTAGTGAAAGCGTGAGAAGTTTTCCACTTGTTTACTGGCGTTCAACTGAAGGGTACTCGCCTTGATTCTGATCAGGTGTAGGTCCCGACTTATCACACAATTGCCACGTCCGTCTCATCCCGATCGACGTCATAGTCACTATAGCATCTCGCGGCTGCCAGATTGTGGCGGATCTCATCGCTGTTGTCGTGGCATGGCTAACATTATCGCGACGCTACAACTCCTATGACAGGAGCCATTGGAAGGGCACGTTGTCTGGTGTGCTCTTACTAGATGGTGAGCATAGCATCACTAGTTATAGGCGATACTGACCATCCAGTGCCCAGGGACCATTTATTTTCTGTCAGTAACGTTTACGCAGCCATTTTCAGCGAGTCTCGTCGAGCATGATATAGCACTTTAGCCGTTCTCAACTCTTTGCATTTGTCGTTCACTCTGCTCTCGGTAGTATCGTTCTGATGCTCTCGATCCTCAGTCACTGACATATAAGCTACTAGATGGAGGTATTTAGCCTACAGAACAGCAGTTACTTCACCGCCTTCACAACCCCGTATGTCCGCGCATATTCTTTCTAACAGCGACCACCTGCCCATACTGACACCCACATGTGGCGACCTCTCGGGATGCGAAATCGTAGGGTGTCCACCGTCCTCGTCTCCCGTTTTATCATCCACCTGCAGATGGCCAACCAAAGAACTGTCGACATGGCCTCTTCCCAAGCTATGACGACGTCCCATGCCAGCTCCGTAGTATTCGACAGAGCGATAGGATCTATCGGAGCACGCATCACGCCTGACCAGTACTTTGGTGGAGGAGAGGAGAGCTATGACGAGGGAGATGGAGACTCCGAGCACGTCATGTCGCAGGTTCCACACGTCGAGGGAGACTAGTTGCCGGAGCTCGCCGGAGACTTTTGCGCACGGCGCTATTGTCAGGCAGCAGCAGGTTGCTTCTGTACAGGCGCAACGGCAGAGAGAAGCTGTATAGGAGTCGATTGTGTGTGTCACTGAGGAATCATTTACAAAGTGAAAGCTCGGATGTTACGTTGTACTTCGTACCAGACGTGCGCGAAATCATGACACATCCTCACCCTCCTCGGGAAGGCTTGAATACGAGGCAGACCCTCGAATACGGCGATCTATCACGTATCCGCGACAGATACACGATACAGTGCCAGACGATGTTGAATCCTGCTCAAAGTTCAACGTTCAACGTTCAACGTTCAGCGTACATCCGGAGAACATAGATCTACCTCCGAACCGCCTTCTTCTGCTGCCGGGACATTATGTGGTTGCTCAAGACCGCGCCTGCTGGCTAACGTTCGTCCTTACACCGGAGAACATGCCCGGGGAACACGCGGTCCTCTCTCATGTCTGGGATAAACACGAGACTAACTTCCAGGACATGCAAGCATCTCGTGTAAGGTGCGCCGAATCGCCCATCGAGCCCCTTGCCGGGTCTCCTACTACCCGGGCCCTGGATGATGCCGCGGCTTCCGCCAATCCACCTTCCACATCCCCTATCATGCCTCACGATATCGTCTCGCGGAGAAAAGAAGGGCACGAGTGTGGACAGGCCGGGACATGCGGCATCGACAAGACTGGTAGCGCAGAACTCACCAGAGTGATCAACTCGATGTATCACCCCACTGCTCCCTCGCCGACATCCGCGTCTCGTGCCTGCGCGACGTCCCGACAAGCCAGACCGACGTCCGTGGACAGCCCAACTCCGTTTTTCGTGAGAGCAGGTGGCACCAACCTGGACGGACGCTGCAGGAGCCGTGTTCCTATTGCTAAGCTGGGAGCTGTTAGGGACGAACGTGAGGAAAATGGAAGAGTGCAGGATATATGATCCAGGAGAGCTCAAAGACAGAGATGACAAGAGTTGTGATGGTTGAGGATGAGGATGCCAGACTGTGAATCGGTTCGAGAACGACTCGGGTTCACAGGGGAGGTTGTCAAAGGCCTGTTGCAATTTTGGCGTGAGTACGCTGTCGGTGAGGGCTACATCGGTTGCAGCCAACGGATGACGGATGCGAGACGGCCTCGAGGCGTGCGTAGGGCTGGCGTAGCCCTAGTGCTGGTGCATCAAGCTGGAGGTAGCGGTGTGCACAGTGAAAGTTGTCATCAGTGGTCCGGTAGCCTCGTGTTACGCAATCCATCTATATGCGGAAACTATGTAGCATGTGGAAATCTGAGGCGCCGAACAGACCTGCTGCATACTACCACCACCTCACTACCACCACAACCACTCGCATATACCCTATCGACATGCCTCACAAACGTGCGAAACGCTCCATGCGAGAGAAACAGCGGACCGAATCGTATGTAAGCTGCCACTATCCTCGGGACGTCTCCCTACTGAGAAAAGTCTGATCGTATCCCTGCCCCTCTTTTCCACACCGTCTTCCATAGCGGGAGCGATCTGGCGCCGGGGGCCAAGAAGGCGATTGAAAACGAAGAGATTCCAAAGAGCGCGGCGCGCGTGTTGAACGCGGCGAAGGTCCAGCAGGAATTCGCGGAGCGGAAGAGGAAAGGCCTGGACAGCGATGAGGGGAGCGCGGGGCCCTCGCGAAAAAAGCGGAAGCGGGACGAGGGGGCGGGGAAGAGTGAGGGCGGGGGAGAAGGAGAGGGGAGGAAGAAGGCGCAGTTGCGGATCATGGCTGGGGAGTCGATGGCGCACTTCAACCGGTACGTCTGCGCGGAATCCTACCGCATTCGTACCTTGCTGGGCCTGACAGATCGTTTGACGCATGCGCTGTAGACGGGTGGAAGACTCGATGCGTCATTTGGTGAAGGAAGCTATTCAGACGTCGTCCGCGCGTGTGCGGCAGGCCAAGAAGGAGGAACTCGCGAGTCAAGGGAGCAAGAAGGCAGCAGCGGCCGCCTCCAAGTCGCGCGCAACATCGGACCAGGCGAGGGACGACGAGGACTCGGAGGACGAGGACGGCCGGCCGGCTGCCCGCGCGAAAGCGAAGGAGACCGGACCGAAGGAGTTCCAGAAAGTGGACACGTCCGCGCCGCGCCGGCTGAACGACGTCGCGCAGGCTCCGCCCGAACTGAAGAAGCTTCCGCGGAAGGCAAAGAAGCTCGCCGCGATGGGAGGCGGGACGAACGCTTCGGGTGCGACCTCGCTCAAGGACGGCGTCCTTTCCATGGCGCAGAAGGCGATGATGGAAGAGGAGCGGGAGCGAGCGATCAGGCTCTACCGGGAGATGAAGAAGGGAAAATCAGTTGTCTAATACTGGACCTGACGTCAGTTCCCATCTTTGGTGAGTTCTGCTCTGTGGGCATGCATCCGAATGCTGATTGACTCCTCAAGTTGTGTTGTAGCGTCATGTATCGTTTTCCTATGTCTTGGGGTCCTGTGACCATGTGTACGATGAAACGAGTCGCGAGCGCTCTGCATGTGAGTGGATCAATGTCGGGATGTCTTGCATTGGCAGATAAGGTGTGCCTGCTATGGGGTTCTGCCTCACTAGCGTCTCCTGCGACGCCGACTGTAATTTCTTCCAGCATCGCTGGACACTCGATGACGATTGTCGAGTTGGACGCTATGGGGAGAACACGGAGCCGCATACCCTCGACCACATCCAGCCCTACTCCATCGTAGTACGCATTCTAGGAGGCAGGCACACTCCTCAGACTGGCCAATCAGTGGTCGGCAACTACTGGATCCGTGCATACCTGGACGCGGTGACCTACAGCAGCGAAGCGGAGTGGGAGACCGGCGGAAGGAAGCAAGAGGCGGGGAAAGAGAACATGACGACCTTACATCCCATCCCGGTTCGGATAGGGAACCCTCTGTTTTCAGCGAGGTCATCGACGAATTGCCCGTCGCGGAAGTGGAAGAATCCGCATACGAGCCTGCCAGAGGCAACGGAGTTCGTGACCAAGTCGGTGTTGGCGTACCTCGACTCGCCATCGCCTGCATTCTCGCAGCCGCTCTCCCCTTCGCATATGGAGTCCTACTTCGTCGCGGAGTCTGGCTCGACTATGGATGATACCCAACGGACGGTGTCCCACTCCGCATTCGTGCCCGCGCCTGCACTCACACCCGCGCTGGTGCCGGAAGCGGACGGCGGATGCGTCATGGCCCTGGATGGATGGTCATGCATCTTCTTCGGTGTGTTGCTTCGGTTCCTTCTTTCGTCACTATCGGGCTGCACTCGCGTCGTATGGTTTGCTTATGTCAAGTGTCACATCGTTCGCAATTTATCTCCCGTTTACTTTACCTCTCCCATGGATATATATCACTTCAGTCTACAACTTGCATCGCATTCGTGTTAGCATGCATCGGGCCTTTAACTCTCAAGGATCTACTCAAGGTCTGTCACGTCCAGCAGTTGATAAGTATACCCTGTTTGCTGGTTTCCTGTTCAAAGCAAGACAAACACGACGGGCATTGGCCAATGCCCGTCGTGAAAGTAGCCGAAGTCACGCCCAAATGGGTGGGGATCCAGGCCATATCGACAACTGGCCTTGGGCAAGTTCCTCATCGGAACTACCTCGGGAATCGTCTGCGCGGATAGCGTCACGACAGCCTGTGACATCCCTACTGATGTTGACGGAAGACGCTTGTGTTCGTCCTCTCATCTGTCCCATGCCCCCGCTGTGCTCCAGAGCGAGTGGTAGAGCCGAATTTTCGTTCGCCCCCGATGTCGTCGCCCGCCCCGCTATGCAAGACGTACGCGACAATGTTCGCGCCCCACAGTTGTCAAGTTCTGGACAGCCTCATACAAGACATCTGATCATTCCCGACATCGTGGTGTGTTACGATACATGGTGAAACATGGCGAAACTATACGGTACCAAATACAAAATCGGATGGAAGACGGATGAAATAGCGAGACGGCGGACAGAAATGAAGAAAAAGAGAAGACAAGGAGACAATAAGGCGGGGAACGACGGTCCCGCTCGACAGCACGAGAGGCCGAAGGCAGATCAGCGACGTTTGGCCGTGCCGCTTTGTACTGAGGGCGCCTTGCCCTTAGCAGCCTTGATACGCTTGCTACGACGTACACCGGAAGAACCATCTTCGTCATCATCATCTCCTTCGTCGTCTGCCAGACACGGTCCGTCAGGTCTTCGACGTGCGCTCGCTTCTTCGATGAGCTGGAGGACGATGGTATTCCGACGATTTCCGGTCGGCGAGTCGTCGTGACCTTGTCATGAGACATCGCAATACGATTGTCCTGGGACGTGCGATCCGAGAGGGCGGTTCCACCAGTAGAAATCTTACCGATACCGCGCAAGGCCGGAGGGTCTGGTGCTCGGTAGACCTCCTGATGCTTCCTAACGGAGAACTGATCAGGGGCCTTATCGCGGTGGTTAAGCGTCGTCTCAGCGTGTTTGACTAGCAGATTGATGAGCATCTTCGGGTTGGATAAGAACGGTCCCATCTCGAACAGTTCGTGGGACGACACCTGCGCTTCTCGCCGCTGACGCAACATGGAGCGGATAGGGTCCTCATCTATATCTTCGGCAGATGACCCTTCGTCGCTAGAGTGTCGGAGAGCCGTCGCGCGCCTTGGTCCTTGGTCAGCCGACGTAAGAACGTCTTCCTCTGCTTCAGGTTGACTTTGGGCAGCAACGACGACAGGGCCGTATAGCCGATTCATCTGGCGGAAATCGATCCTCTCGTAGCACGTCTTGCAGTGCCACAGAATGTTGTCCAGGAGTTGTTGAAGTCGTGGGTTGCCCTCGACCACAGCGTCGAAGTAACCACTGCGGAGCATTGCGCGCTTGGCGTTTCCGCCAATCATAACGCCACCAACTATGAGGCAACCTTCGAAGAGGCTCTCGATCGTCCCCCGAAGGGCAGTGTCCGTAGGGTGGTAGCGTAAGACGAGATAGATGTAGCAGTGGATAAAGGACTCGATGTCATCCGACCGACGGTAGGGTTTCCTGGGGTATCTGAGAGACATGGCCGACATGAACTGCCAAGTCCCCTAGAATATCAACAACCGATGAGATAGGAAATCTGGAAGATACAACTGGTAAGACGCACCGTCCTGCCGGGCTCGACTGCGCCTGGCCCAAGCTCGCATTGTAATCTGGATAGATCCCAGTCGATTAGAATCCCGGTCCACCCCCCGTTGCTTTCAACGCGAATCATGATGTTGCCCACGCTGATGTCACGGTGAAGGACCCCCGCGCGATCCCACGCTTTGCGATGAGCTACGACCCCTCCGTCAGCACTGAAAGTCTTAAACATAACAGAAATTCATACCTCTCAGCGCTTCCGCAAAAATCCCGGATAGTTCTCCGAAAGTCCGGAACTCGGAGATTGACAGACAGATCTCCGCAATAGCAATCCGATAATGACGGCGGGGAACCGGTCTGTTCTTGGATGGCAGATCCTTCTGAACATGAGTGCACTGAGCATTACTGCCCCCGACGTCGCCGCCGCAGATCAACGTCGTGATCCCGTCTTCAGGCTTCACGCCCTTCCGTTGAAGCCGCTCATAGACCAAGTGTTCCGGCCGTGTGCGACCTGGAACATACGGACGCCAAGAGTCCTTCACGAAGCAGGGTACCCAGTTATTCTCATCAGTCACGTCGAAGGCCATGAAGCCCTTCGTGCACCGACCGACGAGGGTGTCCGCTCGATAGTGTGGGCGACCAACGATGAACTTGCGGACCGGAGAATCAGCTTTGCCTTTGCTGGCAGACGGGGAGGCGGAGCTCGCCGACGAAGATGGAGCAGGGGGTGCAGATGGTGAGGGTTGTGGCGCATCAGGTAATGGTTCGTCGGGGAACCACTCCTCGGGCGACGGAGGCATATATTCAATCTCGAGCTCGTATAATGGACATTTCCCCTCCGCCGCTTTCTCGAGACCCTTCCGGACGTGAGCGGGCAGTTCGGCGTTGGTTGCCTTGTCGAGGAATCTCCTCCGTGTCTCTTCGTCGACCACATTGGCTGTGGTGTCGCGCCCCATATCTTCGAAAGATTTCGCATTCGCGAGCTTCGCAAGCTTCCAGACGAACTCATGCAGAAGCGACGTCGGTTCCACCCAGCTGAACGGCTCTGAGACGTGGGCACCAGACCGGTCGAAGAAGAGGAGGCGGGCCATGTCGTAGCACACGTAGACGGCGTAGCAGAAGGTGCGGTGCTGGTACTTGAATACGTTGAGAGTGTACTCGACGAACTGACCCAGGGCTTTCCCGCCATTACCGGACAGCTTGATGAACGGCTCGACGCGCTTCTTTATGGTCTCTGGCTGAGGCGCGCCGGCGGATTCCGCCTCAGTCATGCTGGAGTCCGCATCCCTTGCCTGGGAGCCTCCGTCGTCATCTTCGTTGTCGTCGTTGTCGTCGTCGTTGTCGTCGTCGTTGTCGTCGTCGCCGTCCTCTTCGTCGCCTTCCACCTTACTATCCTCTTCGACGTCCTCCTCATCCTCGTCTTTGTCGGCACCGATCCCGTCTCCGACGACCTCCACCCCGTCCCTATTGCCGTCGCCAGCTTTGACCTCATCGTCTGCCTCCTCCTCCGTCTTCTCTACAACCTCCCCTGCTTCCTTCCCGCCTTCGGACCCCATCCCTCTCGCCTTCGACCTGAAGTAAAACGCGGACTCGCTCTCCGTCCCCTTCACTTCTACCGGGACGTCTATCCAGTGCCACGACCGCAGTCCTAGCAGCCGAGTCTCCGGCTCCTTCTCGCTCATCTTGCTTCCCTTCCGGTGCTGAGCCGTGAACGTCGTCGCATTGCGCGCAAGTGGCGTGTCCAGGTAGATGCCTGCGTCGTTGAACGTCTCCTTCCGCCCGCTATTCCCGTCGCTCGCCTTGTGGTTCGTGGTTTCCAGGAAACGCAGGTCCTCACATCCAGCCGCGTCCAGTACCGACTCGATGACCTTCCCCTGCGTACGGCTCATGGTGAGTGATCTCCACAACAAAGCAAAGATGGGTGGGTACTCACCAATTCCGGGTAGATCTCCTTGTCGAGCATGCCCTTCCTGAGTCTGGGCGACTTGAAGTCGCTCCGCTCAGCCTCCGTGGGGGGAGCCCCGGGAATCCGGGAAGAGAACAGTTCGTTGCTGAGGAGATGCCAGCACGTTCCCATTCCTGACTCGTCGATGGGAAGGGGTGCGAGCTGTTTCTTTGTGTATCCGTCCCGGTTCGTTGCAGACGGGTAGTGGCAAACGAACGACGGACGGGGGTTGAGTGGTTGAGCGGTCGGTCGAAGGTCGGTGGTGGTTACGTCGGGAGATCCTTGATTTGGGCCGCTAGGAGCACCGGATTGTTGGTGATTGGATGGTGACAGCTCCAGTCACGGCAGCGTGTTCGGCCTGAAGAGCTGGCAAAGGATTGATAGGGTACTCTCCCTCGCCACAGGAGGTGGATGATTAGGAAGTAAGTACTGTGAGCCGAGACGCCGGCAATGCGGCGCCGCATTGCCGGCGCTCCCCGCAGCGAGCTCACGCGTTCTCGGAGTCGAACCGGGCCGCAAAGTCGCGCTCGAAGTTCAGGCTCGCATCCCCATGAGCCTACTTGTTACATCGTCGAACGGAAAATCGAGGTTGAGAGCGTTCAGATCCACCGCATCCGCCAGGGCCGTTTCCGTTGGTCGCGGCCGTGGGGTTGATGGTTCGACATCTACGGCATCGACCAGCTGGACGATGATGCAGTCATTTGCCCAGTCCCTGATGCGTCCTACAGCCACGAGTTGACCCCCTCTTCCTACTTCGGACCACGCGAGGGCGTCGCGGATGAAGCGGACGGAGCAGGCATCGTTCTTGTATCATCCCTGGCCGCCTTGTCCGTCTGCAACGGGAGACGCGGTTCCTCCAGACATCATGTGCTGCTGCATCTTTGGAGGCTTGTGAGTGCTGGTCAGTCCACAATCGACCTTATGCAACGTGCAGGAATACCTGATGCATTGCGGCTGTCACCATTCCATCAAACTGTCCGGGCTGCATCCCCGGCGGATTCATCGTAGCCGTCATCGGGTTGTGCATGCCCACCATTGGAGACCCGCTGTGCTACATCCCTGGCATCTGCGCGCCGCATCATATGTACCGTTGAGTGGCACGAGAGCTTGAGACGTAGGTGTATTAAGCGACATGGCTGTCCCGTTTCACTACTCTCTCCACCCTCTCTTCTGTTTGCGCCTGACGTCGATTCGTATGGCGAAGTATTCGAGATCGCTGCCCATCCTGCACCGCGTGCCTTCCGTACACATGTCCACATCCGCTCGCACTGCGCTCTAGGGAAGTACGGACCGTACTAGGAAGACATCGATCCACTGTCTCGCTCTTCTCCAGCGTGTCTTCGAGTTCCCCCACGAAACTCAACGACGCGCCCAGCAACACAAAGAAGCCACATACGAGCCCCCCGACGCTGCCTCGCGAGGATGACTCTACGCCCAACGGCGGAGAATTGGCTACATCAGAGGGCACGAGCGGAAGTCGTCTCCACTCTGTCACAAATGCACCGCGCACTCGCTCGTAGACCTCGCCTCGTTCGCGCCAATCCAAACAGGACAGCGGCCTCGCCCGCGCTGGACGACGCGCGGAAGCATGTTGACGGATGTGCAGGCACTGCGTAACCCGCTCGCTCATGTGGGCCCGTCGACACGTCGAAGTTACGGCATCCGACTGACCTCGAAAGGAGCCCGGGTCAGCACTGAGGGAGCGCGAGCGCGGGTGAGAACGTCTGCGCGACATCCTCGCCCTACCGCAACTGGCACTCTAGCGGATGAGGACGCCGAGTAGGCGTCAACCAACAACCCGGAGCTGAAGCGCGACTCGGACTGCGAGAGGACGAAGAAGGGCCCTGGGTTGCTGAATGGGCAGTCAGCGGACACGAGCTTGGAGCTTGGACTGACGCTGTCATATGACAAGGAGAACCTTGAACACGGGCACAATTTGGACGGCGCGACGGCGCCCCTACTCCTCACAGAGTCTTCGCAGCATCCCCCGCCTTCGAGGGTCGACCGAGTGAGCCCGGGAACGTGGGCGAGTTCACGCGGTGGTGGTCGAAGCAGTCTCAACAAGAGCGGGTTGAACAGATGAGGTTGGAGAGATGAGGAGGATTATTGTTGTTGTCATCTCAGGAGTTGGCGACGGAGATGAGCAGAAGGCAATTGCAGGCAGAGGCAGAGAACGATCTTGCGTCGGCTCCGGACGGGTCGTGGGAATGGTGTCGCCGCACGCCTCGACTCGAGCACCGCCACTGCTTCCTCGCAACCTCACACACGTCTTCCTGCGTCGTTCTTGGGTTAAGAAGTGTGGATGCCTACGGTGCCCTACGGACAGCGTTCCCGCATCGGCGCTCACACAACGCTCTCTTCTGTTCTCTATCCATCAACAAGTATCTCCGCAGGTTTTCGCGGGTCCTCAGCTTCAATACTGTCCTGAGCTGAAACGTCCCCGGTACTCACCCATAGTGACGCCTTCCGCTCGGTCAAGCTCTCAAGGGTGGACGACGACCGTTTGTCGGATCAGCACCATTTACCCGCGCGTCTCCCCGACAACAATGTCTAGGCTTCACTCGTTCAGCCGTCCCAGTCTTCAACCTTTTTGCCGCCGCTTTGTGTTGCTCGCCTTCAATGAGTCCCCGCGACTGACTCTAAACTCGTGAACAGGGTAGTGTCGCTCGACGGCGTCACGCACGATGCTGCCCTCGCTGGGAGGTCGTTCCCTGGACCTCTCCTCAGGGGTGACATAGTATGTCTCATACCTGTAGTCATTGTGTTCGTCCTGACTCATTCTCTCGCAGGGAGATCATTTCCAGATCAACGGGATGGACGAGCTTTGCAATGAGAGTATGGCGACCGCTCTGAGCATTGTGAGAATCCTTGCTTGCCGGTGTGGCGATTGCAACTTATGTCTTCGAATGCTGACAGGACCGCGACAGCATTCGCACGGTCTGCTCCTGCACACGGCGAATCGTGCGGTCGGTGCGGCATTTGTGACCTATGGAATCTGGGAACTCGTTCTTGCACGACTGTAATACCTTATCAACGGATCTGCGGACATCGCATTCGTCAAGGTCATCCCCAGGAAGCGGCGGGTGATTTGCGAGAAATGTTCTACATCCGGGCGCTGACGTTGACCGCCTCGCTGGCCATCGGTTCCGCCTCAGCAACATCTCCAGCGACCCAGACTATAATCTCCACGATCGCCGGACACTGGATGACGATCATCGAGGATGATGCGCAGGACACGGAGCCGTACACCGGCACCGTCGACCAGAGCCAGATCTTCCCTAGCCAGCGTTAGTACTCCATCGTGGTACGCATACAAGGATGGTACTGTTGTCGCGTTTGCAAGCTCACTCGGATTAGGACGAGGCACACTAGGCGGTCGGCAACTACTGGATCCGTGCGTTTCCGGACGCGATAACCAACGGCAGCGAGGCGAGGCGGGAGACCAGCGATAGGGAGCAAGAGGCGGGGAAAGAGAACAGGACGACCTTACCTCCCATCCCGGTTCAGGATAGGGGACCGTCTGTTCTCACCGAAGTCATCGAGGAATCGCCCGTCGCAGAAGTGGAAGAATCCGCGTACGAGCCTCAGCCAGAGGCGATGGAGTTCGTGACCGATTCGGAGTACCTCGACTCCATCGCCCAGTGCGTTCTCGGGGCCGCTCCCTCCTTCGCATATGGAGTTCCGCTTCGTCACGGAGTCTGGCTCGACTATGGATGATACCCAACGGACAATGTCCCACTCCGCATTCGTGCTCGCGCCTGCACTCACAGCTGCGCTGTTGCTGGAAGCGGACGGTACGCCGGATGCGTCACGACCCTAGATGTATGGAGGTGCTATCTTTTTGGTGTTGCTTCGGTTACTTCTTTCCTCGCTATCCGCATCAGTGTCGTATGGTTTGCTCATGTTAAGTGTTACATCGTTCTAAATCTGTTTGCCATTTACTTTACCTCTCCCATGGATTCATATCACTACAGTCTACAACTTACATTGCATTCGCATACCACCACACGTACTCGTACCACTACATTCACTGCCACATATTGTTGGCATGCATCGGGCTGTTATCGTTCAGGTCTGTCACGTCCAGCAGTTGATAGTTATACCCTGCTAGCCGGTTTCCTGTTCACAGCAAGAAAGTGTAGCTGAAATCTCGCCCTTACTATGGGTCGGGATCCATATCATATCGAAAAACTCGCCTTGCACACAAGTTCCCATCGAATTCGAGTGGTTTGCGCACTTACAAGCCAATCCGAGACCACCATCCCAGGACCCGTCTTCGCGACCAGTTAACAAGTCGCCCGGGGGGTCCTCATTGGTGCTAACGGGAGAGTCTTGTGTTATGTTTCCTCACATCTATCCCGTGCCCCCACGGCACTCCAGTGCGACTAGTAGACCCGAGTTTCCGCTCACTCCAGAGGTCTTCGCCTACTTCGACATGCATGACGTGCGCAACAATGTTCACGCCCCATAATTGTCAAGTTCTGGAAAGCTTCATACAAGACATCTGAACAATGCAGAAATGATGGTGTGTTATGGTACATGGTGAAGCTGAGCGGTACACAAAACCAGCGTTGGATGGTTTCGGATGAGAATGGGTTACGGTGGATAGTAGAATAGAAGAGGGAAGGAGGGAGACGAGGAAACGAAGAGCGACGGCCCCGCCGGATACCATGAGAGGAGAAGGCAGGATCAGCCCCGCTTGGCCATGCGGCTCTGTCCTCGGGGTGCCTTACCCTTGATAGCCTTGATGCGCTTGCTACGACGCACAGCCAGAGAACCATCGCCGTCTGCCACGACGTCCTTGGGGTCCTCAGCAAGCGGTCGCTTCTTCGACGAGCTAGAAGACGACGAAGCTTTCGTGAGGTCCGGTCCCCAAAATATCCCGAATCCATCGTGAGAGGAAGCGGAACGATTGTCGTGAGATACGTGACCAGAGGGACCGGTTCCATTGGTGGACAGGGTTCCGATATTGCGTGTGCTTGGACCGTCCGGCATTCGTAGAACGTCCTGATGGCTCCTGGTGGTGAACTGGTCGGGCGCCTTATTGTCTATGTCGATTGTTTCCTCTGCGTGCTCGTACAGTAAGGTCATCAGATAGTTGGAGTTAGACAGGAACGGCCCCATGTCGAACAACTCGGTAGCAGACTGTGGCTGGGCAGGGGAATGAGGTCGGTTGCCGGCGCCAAGGGTGGGGAGTCGCTCAAACTCGCTGCGAATTCCAAATCCATGCCTTCCAGGCCGTTGCGCAACCTTCGTCAGTGCACGCCGCTGTGTGGAAGCTTGAGTTTGAGCAACGACATCGATAGGGCCGTACAAACGGTCCATCTCTATGTAGTCGATACTGTCGTAAGATGTCTTGCAGTGCGCCAAGATAGTGTTCAGGAGTTCTTGGAGGTCTGGGCTGTCCTCAATCACGAAGTCTAGCTGACCACTGCGGAGCAATGCGCGCTTGGCGTCTCCGCCAACCTTGACACCGCCAATCATGGAGCAACCTTCGAACAGGGTCTCGATCTTCTCCCGGAGGTCTCTGACGTTGATGGGGTGGTAGCGAAGGACGAGGTATGTGTATGCGTAGATAAAGGACTCGATGTCATCCGACCGACGATAGGGTTTCCTCGGGTAGAGAAGAGACATTGCCGACCGGAACTGCCAAGTTCCCTATAGACATCGCACTAGTGAGAGATAGTAGATCAGGATATAGTCGATGGACATACCGTCCTGTCGGGCTCCACTGCACCTAGTCCAAGCTCGCACTGAAGTCGGGACAGATCCCAGTCGATGAGAAAGCCGGCCCTCTTCCCGTCGAGTCCGACCCGAATCATGATGTTCCCCACGCTGATATCACGGTGAAGGACGCCGGCACGATCCCACGCTATACGATGGGCTACAAAATCCACGGTCAATTCAGAACGGCTTCATCAGCGGGAAACTTCGCACCTCTCAGCGCATCCGCAAAAATTCCGGATAGTTCTCCGAAAGTCACGAACTCGGAGACTGACAAACCAATCTCCGCAATAGCGACCCGATAATGCAGGCGGCGGACGGGTCTGTTCTCGTCCGGCAGATCGTCTTGGACTCGAGTGTACTGAGCTTTACTGCCCCCGACGTCGCCGCCGCAGATCAACGTCGCGATCCCATCCTCAGGAGTGACGCCCTTCCGTTGAAGCCGCTCGTAGACCAAGTGTTCCGGCCGTGTGCGACCGGGAACATACGGACGCCAAGAGTCCTTCACGAAGCAAGGGACCCACTTCTTCCGATTAGTCACGTCGAAGGCCATGAAGCCCTTCGTGCACCGACCGACGAGGGCGTCCGCCGAAAAGTGTGGGCGACCGACAATGAACTTGCGGACCGGAGAATCAGCTTTGCTCTTGCCAGGAGGCGGGGAGCCGGAGCTCGTCGATGAAGCGGGAGCGGGGGTTGCAGATGGCGAGGGACGTGGCTTATCAGGTAATGGTTCGTCGGGGAACCACTCCTCGGGAGACGGAGGCGTATACTCAATCTCGAGCTTGTACAGCGGACAGTTGCCATCGGCCGCCTTCTTGAGTCCCTCCCGGACGTGAGAGGGCAGTTCGGCTCTCCTTGCCTCCCTAAGGAATTTCCTTCGTGTCCTCTTGTTGACAACATTGGCCGTAGTGTCGCGCCCCATCGATTCTCTCAATCCCGCCTTCGCGAGCTGAGCAAGCTTCCAGACGAACTCGTGGAGAAGCGATGTCGGCTTCCTCCAGCTGAACGGCTCCGAGACGTAGGCACCAGAGCGGTCAAAGAAGAGGAGGCGGGCCATGTCGAAGCACACGTAGACGGCGTAGCAGAAGGTGCGGTGCTGGTGCTTGAATACGTTGAGCATGTACTCAACGAACTGACCCAGGGCTTTCTCGCCTTTATCGGACAGCTTGATGAACGGCGGTACGTGCCTCTTCACGGTCTCTGGCTGGGGCACATCGGTGGATTTCGCTTGGGAGTCTTCTTGCTCCTCTCCTTCATCGACGCCGTGCTGTTCATTTGCTTCTTCTTCGTCAGCCCCGTCAGCATCTTCGTCGTCATCAACCTCGCTGTACTCTTCGCCGTCGTCTTCGCCGTAGTCCGAGCCCATTTCGCTGCCATCTTCGTCGTCTTCGATCTCGCTGCCTTGTTCGTCATCTTCCACCTCACCATCCTCTTCGACGTCCTCCTCATCCTCCTCATCCTCGGCATCGGTCCCGTCTCCGATGACCTCCGCCCCATCCCTATCGCCGTCCTCGGCCTCTCCCTCTGTCTTCTCCATGACGTCCGCCGCTTCCATCTCCCCCTGGGGCCATACACCCCTCGGCTTCGACCTGAAGTAGAACGCGGACTCCTTCTCGTTCCCCTTGACCTCTATCGGCACGTCCATCCAGTGCCATGACCGCAGCCCCAGAAGCCGAGTCTCCAGCTCCTTCTCGCTCATCTTGCTCCTCTTCCGGTGCTTCGCTGTGAACGTCGTCGCATCGCGCGCAAGTCGGGTGTTCAGGTAGAAACCTGCGTCGTTGAACGTCTCCTTCCGCCCGCTATTCCCGTCGTTCGCCTTGTGGTTCGCGGTGTCCAGGAACCGCAGGTTCTTGCATCCAGCCGCCTTCAGTACGGACTGTATGACCTTACCCTGGACGCAGTCCATAGTCAGTCATTTACTCGAGAAAGCAAGGATACGTGGACACTCACCAGTTGTGGATAGATTTCCTTCTCGAGCATGCCCTTCCAGAGTCTGGGCGACTTGAACTTGCTTCGCTCAGCCTCCGTGGGGGGAGCCCCAGGAATCCGGGAAGAGAATAGCTCGTTGCTGAGGAGGTGGAAGCGCGGTCCCATACCTGACTCGTCGATGAGAAGGGGTGCGAGCTTCTTGCCGGTCTTTTTCGTGTACGCGTGGCGGTTCGTTGCCGACGGGCAGTGGCGGATGAACGATGGACGAGGATTGAGTGTCTGTTGAGCAGTTTGCAGGGACTCTGTAGTGGTTGCGTCGGGAGATCCTTGATCTGGGCCGTTGGAAGTACCGGCGGCGGGGTTGTCGGTGGTTAGGCCGCTGGTTGTTGAATCGTTGGCGGCGATGGCAGCTCCAGCAACGGCAGCGTCGTCGGCTACAGGGGCCGAGTATCCGCTTGGCGCAGAGGGTGGATGATCGGCACTGTGTGCAGAGACGGCGGGGTGGTTGATGTCAGACATGTTGAACGAGGAGATGGATCAGGTCAGAGGTTGAACTCACGGCTAAGGGTGCTCGAGTATTTTATATGATCGAGCACAGATTCCAAACTCCGAGGGGTTTTTGTGCGACTATTTGGGAAACGATAGTTCGCGTAGTTCTTATCGGGGCAAAATGAGTCGAGTGCGAAGCTGAGCGGCACTGCCAGTGCGTGAGCTTGGGCCAACCACGAGATCGCCTGGTGTTTGTAATGAGTCAGTCACTGATCCACAGCTGTGGTAGGCACGGATAGGCTTACGATGATACAGAGCAAGACAAAGATACTTGCCCAGAATGTCTAATGACAAAGGAGGTGGTGGCACTCGGCTGTTTGTGTCCATCGGCACGTTGCGTCTGAGTTGAACACTCTTGTCCAAATAAGGCATGTCGCAGCATTAGACGCCAACGCCGCTCGACCAGGATACTCGTCACCGTGAAGCGTTCGACCATGATATAATGTCGGGTCCGGACAGCGCAAGAGATATCATGTGAATTGGCTGTGTGAGATTTTAGTGCTCATTGTTCCCTTTCGACTCTATGTTCTCGTAGTTTCGACGGGCTGGGGCTCCTAACCACAAGCGCTCCTTACGCTGCGTAGTTCCTCACAAAGTAGGTTCTCTAGCAGAGGAAGGACCCAGGTATCATACACTACGTAAAAAATATTTTTGGTATTCTGGTCAAAGGGCTATCACTCATGTGTTACGTCGAATGCCTTGCGTCAGATCGCCGAGGAATCTGCACCCTCTGGGTCATCGTTCGTCAAGTGCATCAGCACGCAAATCCAAATCAACTTTGAGCTCCACACCAGAAAAATAGAGGATACTACTGGAAAGAGCTTTGCGTCGGAAGCTGGATGTGTACTCAGACTATGCTCACCGAACCACCTAGACTACTTACACGCACAGGCACGCATCACACAGATGTCAAGAGTTGAAAGAGACACGAAGAGCAACAATTGCGTGCTATAGAGCGGGGCAACATATTAGATGAATATAAGACAATGGTGCGATATATAGAGACGGGAGCACAAACGGTGAAGAGGAAATCTACCAAGACAATATAGCACACTACATACGGTAAGGAGAACAACAGCTAAACGGGAGGTGCGGGAGCGAGGTTTACAGGACGACATCACGAGCTGCGAAACACCCATCTCCCAGCGCATCATCGACGTGCATACGTTGAGGGTAAGCGGCGGAAGGTAGGCCGTCGAGGAGCTTGTAAACGTGCGCAGAAAATATGAACAGCAACAAACCAGACAGCGGTGAGGGACTTGGCAGTGGGGAACGCGCATGGGCAATGTGCAGTAACGGGGACACATCACTGCAACGACGAGCATGGCTGAGCTGAATGGGCGCAGATATCACACGCAACACACCTGAATCATAGCTTCCACCGCTGGCGCGTTGGGGAACAGACCCATCAGTTCACTACGATCGAAGTCACTCGGCTCATCGAGGCGCCACCACAATGCTGGCGATGCTCTCGCATCCTGACTCCGCAACCACACGCACCCCTCACGCACACATCACGTCTTTGGGGTCGAACCACTCTGCGAGGTCGCGCTCGAAGTGTAGGGTCGAATCGCCCATGAGCCCTTCCGTCACGTCGAGCTCTCCGAACGGGAAGATCACGTTGAACGCGCTCCTATTCAGCGCTTCCGCCGGGTTCGGTGGCGGCGGGGGATGATAGTTCTACATCTGCGGCGTCGACGAGTTCAAAATCTGCGAGGGCGATGACGCACTGATCTGCCCAGTCCCTGATACGCTCGGCGTACTAGGCGAATGTGCGCCCACAGCGGCGTTCTGCAACGACGAGTCGACGCGATCGTTCTGCGGTGCGCTGTCTTCCTGCTTCGGACCACCGGGCAGGGTCTTTGCGTCCGCCGCGGGCGAAGCAGGCGGAGGAGGCATCGTGTCCATTGGCTTGCCGTACATCATCCGAATGTTTGGCTGGCCGCCTTGGCCGTCTACAGCGGGCGACGCGGCACCTGCAGGCATCATATGCTGTTTTATGTTCGGACGCTTATGAATGCTCTGTATGGCTTGTCGGTTCTGCCTGCTGGTTAGTGCACGATCGACCTTACGCAATGTGCGGAGGTACCTGATGCTTGGTGGGATTCATGACACCACCAGATTGTCTGGGCTGCATCATCGGCGGGGGCTGCATCATGGTCATAATCGGATTGTCCATATTCACCATCGGAGACCTGTTTTACCACATTCCTGGGATCTGGACGCTGCATTGTAAGTACTGTTGGGTGGCATTGGAACTTGAGACGTTCGGTGTCCTACCTCCAAAGTCTCCTGAGCGAGATGACTGCTGTCTCCGACCCTCTCTTCGTTTTGCGCCTGACGTCGGTTGGCACGGCGAGCATTCATTACCGCCGTCTGTACTGCACCACGCGCTACACGGTGTCCTCGCGGTACACATGCTCACATCTGCTCGCGCTGCGCTCTAGCGAAGACGAGTACGGACCGTACTAGAAAGCGACGTCGGTCCACTGTCTCGCCCGTCTCCAGCGCGTTTCCCGATGCCCCCACGAAGTTCAACGACGCGCCGAGCAACACGAAGAAGCCGCATACGAGCAGCCTCGACGCCGCCCCGGGATGATTACTCCACGCCCAACGGCAAATCACATTAAAGGGCACGAGCGAAGGTGTCTCCACTCCGTCACGAGTTCACCGCGCGCTCGCTTCCAGGACCTCACCTCGTTCGTGCCGATCCAAACAGCATGATGCGAGCCACTAGAGACGGTCTTGTCCGCGCTTGATAACACGCGAGTGTATCGACGGGTGTGTTAAAATACTGCACAATCCGTTCGCTCATCGTCAGTACGCCGTAACGGCTAAGGTGCAGGAGCATCCGGCGTTCCAGGCGTGCGATGGGCTTCGGAAGGAGCTAGGGTTCACCTTAAAGGAATGCGAGCGCGGCCGGGAGCGGCTGCTCGACATCCCATTACCTCACCGCAACTAGCACTCGTAGATGAGGACAAGGAGGAGGCGTCGCCCAATAACCCGGGGCTGAAGCACAACTCGGCCGAAGAAGGGCCCTGCATTGCCGAATGCGCAGGGGGCGGACGCGAGTGGGGGGCTTGGGCTGCTGTACGGCAGCACACCTCACGCACCCAGGCGTCGACTAGGTGTTTGAGGCTGAGTCCGGCTGCGGTTGAAGCTGTCTCGAGAGGAGCAGGCGTAGCTGATGCAGGAGACATCGAGAGGGCGGTTGTTTGTTGGCTCCATCTTTATCGCTCCCGTCGCCCCACTTTGAAGATGCCATCTGGGAGACCTGGACAGGCTAGAGGTCGTGGTCTGAAGGAGGGGTCGTGCAGGAGCTGGAGGATTTGATTTAATTGAAGGGAGGGGAGGGGAAGAAGCAGATGTTGCAGTAGGTGCCAGCTCGTCGTGTTAAGGAGTTGGAGCTAGAGCCTGAGCAGACAAGCAAACAACAGAGGCAGGAGAGGACAAGACGGTCTCGCGTTACCGGAGACATATACTTACCTCATCGAGGTTAAACAGGGCTCGCCAGTCGTGGGAAAGCAGAATTCGGCGTGCGCGTCCGAGACCGAGCAGCTGGTGTCGCCGCTTACCTCGACCCGCCACTGCTGCTCCCTCGCAATCGTTTCCTTCCTCACATGCGTCTTGTTCCGGTCGAGTGTGTATGCCGACGATTTCTAACGTACAGCGTTCCGCTCCGTATCTATTCGCCGCTTGAAGCGGTGAAGCAGACAGAAAGACACAGAGAGACGGAAAGGCAAGAGAGAATCGAGTTAGGACAACATAGCGCACGGAGTACGCCGGTAAGGACAACAAAGGCTCGATAGAGGCGCAGAGGGGGATGCGAGAGGGACGTCGACAGGATCAGATTAGGAAGATGATTACGGTACTCCATGCTGCATAACACCCAACCCCGAGCGTATCGTCGACGTGCATACATATACATGGAGCTAAGTGGAGGGTAGGGCATCAAGGGACTTGTAAACGTGCGTAGAGGATACTCAGACAGGGAAGAGGGGCATGGCAGTGGGGGACGCGCATGGGCAATGTACAGCAGATAGCACGGTAGCGGGGACGCAAGATTGGAACGACGTGCATGGCTGGGTTGGATGGGCACATCCACGCGGTAACAACTGGGCTGTGCCTTCGGACATTAATGCGCTCATTTAGGATCCGTGGTAGCAGAGGGGTATAGGGAGCGGGGGATGAGGGCAGGAGAGTTGCAGGGAGAAGTCAGGCGAGACGAGCGACAACCAGGGCAGGCGAAGACGAGAAGGTGTTCGACGCACGCTGACTCCCAACAGACCAAACGACGCACGGAGAAGTGAAGTTTGAAGGAAAGATCGACAGCAAGTGAATAGCAGCAGAAGCAACAGCAGTCCTCCGAAATCCGTATGATATGTAAGTTCCAGATATTGCACGCGTAGCACCTTAAACGCCCACCGCGACACCACCAAGCTACCCCGCACCGCGCGCGCACTCACGCCGCGTTCTCGGGGTCGAACCGCACCGCGAAGTCGCGCTCACTTGCCAAGCTCGACTCGTGCATATGATCCACCACCAACTTGAAGTCCTCGAACGGGAAGTCCACATCGAACGCGATGGCGTCGGGTGAGTCGTCCGAAATCCGCAGCGTCGAAAAATCTGGTACATGCAAATCCAACGAAGCGGTGATTAGTCCAGTGCTTGCGACTGATGCGTTGGGCACGGCGGGGCGGACGTAGTCGTCAGGGGAGGCATTCTGTCCATTGGCTTGACCTGCACCGTCAAGTTGCCAGGCTGGCTGTCCTGGTCGTCTGCAGCGTGCGAGGTAACACCTCCAGGTTACTTATTTGGATTCCCGTAGATGTTCTCCATGACTTTCCGGCACTGTAAGACCTACTGGTCACTTCACAGTCGACCATGCGGAATGTGCGGACATACCTAATGTACCGCGGGATGTACTTACCGTTCCACCACACTGTTCCGGGCTGTAGCATAGGCAGATTCATCGGGGCAGCATCGAGCCAAGTCTCAGGTGGCCCGGTGATTGCTTGGACCCAACACAATCGGCAGATTTATATTACCCCCTCAACGGAACTACATACACCACAAGTACTTCAACTTACTGTCAGTGGGCATCGCAGCCCATCCTGAGCAACGATATACACAACATGTTCTCCGTCATCGTCGTAGAGATATCCATGGTCGGCAGCTCAGCCACGTCAGGTACCTGTCGATGCAAGCCACATGCAACAAAGTAGTAGCATACTCTAGTACAGCATGAGACGAATACATGATGGACGGTACACGGCAACAGATTGGTTTCTACTAGAGCGATATATCACGACGAATAGAGTGGAGTGTATGATAGGAGATCTTCATATCAAATCGCGCCTCTAACTCATGGCCTACTTCCTGCCCCGAGTCAAGAGTTTCTTGAGGCGTTTGAAGCGACGTGCCGGGGGCTCCGACTCCGGTCCTTCTGCTTCGATGGGCCCTGCAACAGGCTCCTCTAGAGACCGTGAACGCTTCCTGGAGTCCGAATGTGCGGCGGATGTCGAGGTATCGGAGACACTGCTCAATCCATGACTGGAGGCAAACATCGAACCAGAGGGAATTCCAAAGAGCTCCAGTGACATGGGAGAGGAGAGGAAGCTCCCCGTCGTAGAAATGGATCCGATACCGCGATTCAATGAACTGATCGGGCCTTCGTAAACGTCCTCGTGTTTCCTCGCCGGGAACTGATCGCTGTCCTTGTCGAGACGTTTGCATGCCGCGTGGGCGAGGAAGAGTTTGACCAGGCCTCCAGGTTCTGATAGAAAACCCTTGACGATGCAAGGATCCTGGTCCGGTCCCGGCTCCACGCCAGCGTCGAGAGTCGTATTGGTTGGGCGGATATCGCTGTCCTCCGCACATGGTATATCGTCGTCGAGCTCGAGACCAGTGAGGTCTGTGGCGTGTGCCATGTCGGGAGGCGTCTCCTCGGATTGTTGGAAGCCATACAACCGCGCCATCGCAACTAAGTCGATTTTGTCGTAAGATTCTGCGCAGCCCATGATCATGTTTTGGAGCAGCTGTTGGAGCTCGGGGTTGGAGATTACCCAGAAACGCATCTTGCCAAAGAGGGACAGCTTCACATCGCCTCCGACCTTGATCCCTTTCCTCAAGGATACACCCTCAAACAGCCCCTTCACCATCCCCCCGAGGGACGTGACACTGGTTTGGTGGTAGCGGAGGATGAGGTATAGATATGCATGGACAAACGATTCGATATCGTCAGAACGCCGGTATGGCTTCCAAGGGTACTGGAGGGACAACGCAGAACGGAACGGCCATGTCCCCTGAAATTAAGAAGAATGAGCAACACGCCCACAGTTCGGAAGTAAGCAAATGGAGCCTCACCGAACGGTCAGGTTCCACTGGACCATTCCCCAGTTCGCATTCTAAGCGTGAAAGATCCCAATCAATAAGGAAACCGGTCCTTCGACTTTTTGGGGAGTTCTCGGGAGCCGGAAGTATCATGATGTTGCCTATGCTGATGTCTCGATGAAGGACTTGGGCCCGACTCCATGCTCTATGGTGAGCTGAGCGAGCCATTAGGAATAGAACATGCGACGTGGAATAGATGAGCTCTCACCTTTAATTACGTCTGCGAATATAGCAGAGAGTTCGGGGAAGCTAGTGAATTTATCGACGGGCAAGCCAATCTCCTTGATGGCGACCCGATAGTGGGCCCGGGGAACAGGCTGGTTCTCAGGTGGGAGGTGGCTCTGCACCTGTGTCAGCTGAGCTCTGTGGCCATCGACGTCTCCTCCGCAGATCAAAGTCCCGATGCCCTCAGTCAGACCGCGACGGCGCAGTCGCTCGTACACAAGATGTTCCGGGCGGGTGCGGTGAGGGACAAACGGGCGCCACGAATCTTTCAGGAAGCAGTGACGCCAGTTCTTCTCGTCGTCATCTGTGACATCGTAGGCGTAGTAGCCTTTCGTACACCGTCCGACCAGCGCATCAGCGGCAAAGTGAGGACGCCCGACGAGAAAACGGCGTGGCACAGGCTTGACGGACGGAAGATGGGCAGGGCCCCTCGACGATGACGATGGCGTGCTTTCAGAAGAAAGACAGCCAGCATCCCCCAGCGATGCGCTAGCTGATTCTCTCGACGGAGGAAACAGCTCGTCGGGAAACCACTCATCTGCCAATGGGGGAAGGGAGTGAATCTGGAGCTCGTAGATAGGACAGTTGTGCGCAATGGCCTTTTCGAACCCTTCCCGGATATGAGCTGGGAGTTTGGGGTCGTCTTTCAGTGCCATGAACTTGTCCCGCGCGAGGCCATCAGTGACGAGCGTGGCAGTAGGGTCGTGGCCCAAGTCCCCGAATTGTCCGGCGTTGGCGAGCTTCGCAACCTTCCACACAAACTGGTGCAGGAGGGAATTCTGATCGGTCCACTCGAACGGCTCTGACACGAACGCGCCAGATCGGTCGAAGTAGAACAGTCGAGCCATATCGTAGCAGACGTAAACGGCGTAGCAGAAGGTGCGGTGCTGGTACTTCTGAACGTTGAGCATGTACTCCATGAACTGTCCGAGAGATTCTTCTCCCTCTTTAGACAACCTGACGAACGGAGGGACTTTGATCTTGATCGGGTCGTTGGGGTTGTCTCCCGCATGAGGGTCGGAGGCGGTACCCGTAGCATTGACCTCGGGGGCAGAACGGGTCCCGCTAGCAGTAGACTTCTCTTGAGCCTGCGTCGAGACACCGTAAGCCTCGCCGTCACCGTCTTCGTCTGCATGTCCAGCTTCCTCTCCGCCCCCAGTCTTGTTCAAACCATCCTCCACGGCGATCTCACGTTCCACCGTGACCTGCTCCGAGCCTTTCGCGCTTTTCATTGGCCGAGATGCGTTTCGAGCGTTGGCTGTGGCCTTATATCCCGGAGGTTTGCCTTTGAAGTAGAAGGCCGCGTTCTCTGCCCTCCCTTTCACTTCGAAGGGAATGTCCATCCAGTGCCAAGAACGTAGCCCGAGATGGCGACGATCGAGATCCTCACGCTTCATGCGGCTTCGGCCACGATGCTCGGAAGTGAAGTCGGTGGCCGCGCGGGCGAGTTCGCTGTCGATATAAATGCCACCGTCGTTGAAGGTGGCCTTGCTGTCATTGTTGCCGTCTGCGGCCTTGTGGTTCGCGGTGTCAAGAAAGCGGAGCTTGGTACATTTTGCCGCATCAAGCACGGATTTCATGACAATGCCCTGAGCACGGTCGGGATCAGATCTGACAGCGTTTGAGAAGGAGTGAGGAAACGTACCAATTCTGGGTAGATAGCATGCTCTGACATCTTCTTGGTGAGACTTGGTGTCTTGAACTTCTTGCATTCCTCATCTGTAGGCGGAGCCCCAGGGACCGACGACAGGAAAAGCTCCTTGCTGAGTAAATGGAAACGCCCACCCATGCAGGAATTGTCGATGAGGAGAGGTGCAAGTTCTCTGCCAGACTTGTGTTGGTAAGCAAACTGATTGGTGGTAGAGGGAGAGTGGCGTATGAACGAGGATTGAGGATTGAGCTTCTTCGCGTCCGCTGGCTTGGTGGTCGAGGCAGGGGCAGCGGTGGTTGGACGGGGTGGGTGGTTCCGGGGGCGACGAGAGGACGCGAGGGACTGTTCGCGACCCTGGGCAGAGCCTCTGAACTGCAGGTAGAGGATTCAAGAGGCTGCGCAGATGCGCTGTTGACAGCGATATCATCGTCAGTCATGTCGAAGGAAGATATGAGAGCGTTGGATGGAAGTCCAACTTACGGATGAGATGTTTATATATGAGCAGCTACGGAGTTCAAAATTCCGATCCTCCTTTGTGCGACCGATATGGATATGGGTGATATGCGCGGCAGCACGGAGATGAGTCAAGGTCAGGATTAAGTGCCACTGGTGATTCCGCCAGAGTACCGCCTGTTGGCAGGCGAGATCAGTCATTTCTCTGTGTGCTGCGCCGAGATATGTCTTACAGTGTTTTTGACAATGATATATTCTCAGAAGCGTTACCAAGGTGGTGAATTACAAAGGAGTGCGGCACGCGTCTTGACCGTTGGCTGTTCGAGTTCAAGTCGCTTAAGTTCGTGATTCGAGCCGGAGCCCGAACTTACCCAGCCAAATAAGGAAGCCAACCAAAATAGGCGCCCAAGGGAGGACTAGAACGAAAACCAGCCACAGACCACTAACTGAAAATTTGTCAGTATCAATCGCATCGTGGCCAGTTCAACCTGATATGTAGGATACAGCCCAGGTGACAGTAAATCACTTCCCGCCTCTTTGTTTCAGTAATGACCGTCTTAGTACGCAATCTAACATGTCTTGACTTTTTTGCCATACTGTAGAAATAAGAGGTCGAACGGCGGACTCCCAGAGAACAAGGTATCAGAGAGTGGATAGGGCTAATATTATGATGGGAGAATGAAGTAATCCTGCGTTCGAGGGTGCATCCCGTCACCAGATAGGGGGGCCCAAGGAGGACACGATTTTCGTGACTCGCCGAGAAACGAGAGGAAAAAGTACACAGCGTGCCTCCTACAAGGCTTCCTTCCAACCCTGATTTACGTCTAACGGATTTCACGCATCCCAAAACGTATCCCAAGCTTGCAATCTTCTAAACTCTATAGGTTGCGTCCCCCGGATGATATCCTGCCCCTGGATCAGCCGCAACTCACGCCCACGCATGCGTCTGATCTTCCGTATCGGCTCCCGCACATCAAGCTCCTCATCCGTTACGGTCCGCTCGTCCTCTGGCAGCGCAGCCGCCGCCTCATGCGTGAGCACAAGCATGGCGTGCGTCTTGCTCACCGCCTGCGATACCGCGCGCGACAGTGACGTCTCTCCCTCTGTCGTGGGCTCATCGGTGAAATGTGCGAGGACGAGCGCGGAGAAAAGGTCGCCGACTCCCGAGAAGTAGCCGGGGAGGCAAGGGAAGCACGTCGCGTAGACGGTGGAGCTGGATCCTTGTCGGGAGGAGGCGATGCAGGCCAGGTACTCTGAGGTAGAGGCGGAGGCGGAGGCGGGGTGGAGGTGCGCGGGGAGGAGGTCAAGGAGCCAAGACTTCAGTGGTATCGAGCTTATCACGACGTGGGGAACGTGGTATGTCTGGTGGAGGACTTGAGTGGCTTGACGGAGGGAGACAGCGTCGGTGATCTTAGTATCTGTCAGGACTCTTTGGGGCGATGAGGCGCTGCTTTCACGAGACTAGTGGGACAGACATACTCGACTTCGAACCAGTTGGGAGTGATGATGGTAGCGAGATGAAGAGCGTTCTTGTATATTGGGACGACATCTGGGGAGACATATAGTCGTCCGGAGTCTCCTAAGACGGCTGTGAAGGATATAATGCTTCAAAATTCCGTAAATTTGGTTGCAGGAATGTGATCTTACGATCCAGTAGGTAGATGAGTTTTGGGCTCCGATGTCGCAGTCTCTGAGCAAGAGCGGTGACTGCTTCCGTCGCCTCTGCCCCTGGCACATAGCCTGAACACCAACGAGATGAGTGATAGCCAGGGGGTTAGGAAGCAGAACGGACCTGTCAACAACCTCTCAGGGTAGAGTAACCCGTTCTGATCCATGATGTCGAAAATCTGCGAGAGCTCCTGTGCGGAAGCTCTTGACCCTCCGAAGCGGCCATATCCTGAGTACTAGTCATGACTTTTGCGGCATTTGCATGCGTGACTGGAGCTCACCGGAGTGGTTGGAGAAGTTGACAGTGTTGATGACCTACTCCAGACATGTCGCGGGTCAGGGAACGAGTCGATCTCTAGCTTCCAGCAAATGATCGCGGTAACGATGAACAAAACCACTCACGTCAACATCGTAGCCGAGGCACTGCAACGGAAACACCGCCGCCTTCCCACCAACATATCCATATGCAACGTGGGACTGAATGCTTAGGATACGGCCGTGGCTTATGTTCCCTGTCGCCATCGCCGGTGTGTGTGGTGTGCTGCGCCCTCCAGAAGCCTTTTCGTCTGTGCTTGGAGATCTTCCATGACTCGATCCAACTTGACGCCGCTGAGATTAAATTTGAACCCCGGACTGGTCGTGTAACGTTATCAGAGGTTATCAGCCAAAGAGACCTCGATAAGTACTCTTTTCTCGATATCCCTAAGAAAGGTGACGCCATGGGCGCTTCCAACTGTTGTCCTCAGCTCAAGTAACTGCGTCGACATCGTGTCCGGCGTACGCCACCTCGCTTGCTCGCTGCTTCCGCTTTCGTGCTCGTCGACCAGTACCACATCCCCACGGCATCGTCGACTTTGAATAGCCGACATACTTCAGCTTTCAACGTGGTCTTGGCCGCGTTGTCCAATACCAATTCACGTGTCCTTCGATCAACCCACGACTTTCATCAAAGACGCTCGTACCATATTAGCCTCCGAGGCCTTATTCCTCACCTCTACCACGACGCTTGACGATCACTACACGACATATCTCTAATATGGATGGGACTAGGTGCGCATATAGCTACTGTTCGATCCTTAATCTTGTCTTGAATGCAGCCCAGGCTAAGACAGTCGTGGTACGCTGCACTCGACAATGCCCAAGCACACTTTCGTCAACTCCTCACCTCGCACTCCTCTTCCGAATGGAAGCGTGTTCCCGTAGCAAACGAAGCCGCCTCTCCAGCAAGCAAAGGGAAAGCGCGCGCGTCGGACGTACTCGAGCTAACCGATGTCATCATCCACCGTCGACCAAGCAAGTCCGGAGACAACACATACCGTGCCGTTCTCGAGGTACCTATCAGTGATGACCCGGTGTCTCTCGCTGCGTGGAAGTCTGTACTCGTTACCCCGGAACTTCGGAAGGAATGGGATCCCGCGGTGGAGAGTGCGCAGTTGCTGGAGATGTTCGACCTGGCGACAAGGATCTCTAAGGTGAACTTCTCGCTAGGATGGCCTGCCAAGTGAGTGTCATTTCATCGTCATATTGTGAGTGTCTATCCATGCGTACCGCCCGCCGCCCTGTTTTATACTGAAGTGACCCGAGGTCTGCCCTATCCATGTCACTTTCATTATGAGTGGAAGGACATACGACGCGTGTTACTATGCGGTGCAGTGGAAATATGTTTCCTATGCCTCTCCTATGTCTCTCTCAGACACTCCAGCACACACCACACATCATGCGGTGGGTGCTTTTGTGAACAGCAGGTTTGACGTACACGAGACGGTGGCTTCGCATAGCGCTTCGGCTAATATCCGGACTTGCTGCTTTAGACTTCAGGTTTGCGGACTTTTACTCAGAACTTGTTGACTGACAACCTGATTCCATTTCTAGTCCGCGAGACGCAGTCACTATTTCCCGCACGTTTAATGATGCCACTACGTTAATCGATATCTCCACGTCTTTACCTCGATCACCGGATGAACCGACATACTTACGACCGTCTCCACCATATGTACGCTCTGATGTTGCACGTAAGTATGTCCCACTCTGTCACAGTCATAGCTGTTCTGAGAAACATCAGTGTTCGGCTGGTGTATCCAGCGCATACAGCCACAATCAATCGATCCGTCCCAACGTTCTGGTATTGCAAGACTGCGCATCACTTGTTTCTGGCAGCACAACTTCCGCTTGGTCTGGGGTTTCACTTCTGGTTCAAGTCTTGTTCAGCAACTTGCTGCGATGACAGTAGGTCTCTACAAGACAGTGCAGCAACGCGGCAAGCGCGTACCTCTCATGACTGGCTATGGCAACGGAGTCTCGATTGAACGAGTACGGTTTGCTGTAGACAGAGAAGCTCTGACGGTGGACTACTCTATCGTCCCAGAAGAGGACGAGCATCCACAGCCCGCAGAACAGAGTGTGGAAGAACTCCACCAGATACGTGAGGCCCGCAGGCTCACCCGTTCTGTCGAGTTCTCTCTTCCCTCTGCGCACGGGTGGGACGTCCAACTGTCGACCAAGGGCTCCTCGGAGCAGGTCTCGCAGCTCCCGTGGACTGCGCATGCGACTCGTGCTCCCGTTTCCTCGCCTACGGCGGAGTTGCCATCTACAGACATTCCCAAGTTCACCCTAGCAGTGAAGCACGCGGAGCTTCCAAACGACCATGTCGTGCTCAAGGTCCGCGTGACCATAGAGCTTTCTGGTCCGTCCACTGCGCTCCGACTGAATGGCATCCCGCAGTCCGTCGAGGAGCTGGAGCCGCGAGACCCTGCGTCTTATTTCGTGTCTCAGCAGATGTTCCAGGACGCGTCGAGTATGGCTGAGCAAAGTCTGCATACGCAGTCTTCGGTCGCTACTATGGCGACAAGCACGTCTAGGGCGTCGACCGTCGGTGAGCGGCCACAGATCGCGCGAACGCCGACGGAGCGCTCGGCTGCGGCGGAGAAGTCAATTCTATCGCGGGTGAAGCGGAATTACATCTACTTTTCCTCGCTCCTGCAAGAGCCGGAAGCGAAGTGGAAGCAAAGTAAGGATTCTGTTTGATTCGCAGTATGCGAGCATATCCTGATTTGCCTTGCAGACGTGGAGGCGCGCGGAGTGTCTGTGTCGCAGCTGGACTCTATCGACCCTACGCTGGTTGTGTACCGAGCGGAGGCAACTTTCGTCGGTATAAGTCTATGGGACTTATATGCTGCTATCACCACGGCCGGTGCGAGGGCGTACTGGGACAAGCAGTACGACGACGCTGTGCTACTTGAAGACGTCAACGAGCTGACGGAGCTATGGCATTACAAGACCAAGCCAGCATGGCCGGTCAAGTAAGTAGCGTTTGGTTGTTGCATAATTCACCTCATGTCATCTATTAACCGATGCTCAGCGGACGCGACATGGTCGTTCTCAAGACGGTCTATAAGTCGCCAACCACCGTGCATGTTTTCGCTTTCTCAGCGGACGACCCAAGCCTCTTCCCGCAGATCCCACCTGTGGATCCAAACGTCATTCGAACCCAAGTAGACTTGCAAGGCTGGGCGATCGAGGCTTTGTCGCCGAACACCACCCTGGTTACTCTCTTAGAGCAGTCGGACCCGAAGGGTTGGTCGAACAAGGCGTCGATTCCTCAACAGATGATCACCGCAGTCGCTGGCGTTGGCGAGTTCGCAATCAAGTGCGGAGGGCCGCCCATTGTAACTCGCCTTGAAAGTGCGAAGGCTAACAAGCTTCGATACGACCACGAACGCGGTAGTTTCCGAATCGAGTACGAGGGTTGCGCCAAGCGTCGGACTGCGGGTGAAGGGGCTCCTGCCGACGGCAGATCCTCATCCAATCTTCCTGTAATCGAATGCGAGATCCGGTGCGACCTCGATACCTGGGCGTCATCACTCGATATCGTCGTCGATCCACCGCCGCAGTCCATTATTGCCCTCCGTCGACATCGATTCTCTTCCGGAGGTGGCGGCCTGTGGCTTACTATCACCCACGACGCGGTCTTCTCGGAACAAGAGCGACTCCAGACTATCATTCGTCGAGGACCGATGAGTGCGCCTAAGGATAAGGGCCTCGTGATGGTGAATGGCGCCAAGGTCGAAGTCGATATGGAAGAGATGCCGGATCGCGACCTGAAGAACCTCACGAAGCAGAAGCGTGTCAAGCCTACTCGTGTTCCTCTAGACCAGCCTCCTGTCATCAGCACGATTCGGAAACGGAGGGCTGAATGGGACGCTCACAAGGATATTCAGGGCGAGAACGGAAATGGCAGATCATCCGTACCCCCTTCGCCTTCTAAGACGTCTTTCACGACCACATCTCCCTCGTTCGCAACTTCGGTCTCCAAGTTCTTCACATTTGCCGTCGAACAGGCAACTACCACGACGCAACAGGCCGTTGCGGCCATATCTCCTGCTATGGCTGGAGGCGAAGACGCCGCACCTCTGTCTTCCAAGCTTCCTATGCAATGTGCACTTGACGCTCTTGCGTTCGTCCAGGATCTTCATGCGTCACCTCATGGGGACGGCTGGACGCTAGTAAGCGACAAGGACTTCCCGGTCCAGCGCAAAATCTTCCCGGATGTCTCGCCCGTCATCCCGGTCCACAAAGGCAAGAAGGTCATCGAGGGCGTTGCCGCGGAGGAGATAGTGTCCGTCCTCACCAGCTATGACTGTCGGAAGCAGTGGGACACGCGTTTCGACTCCGTTAGCGTCCTTGAGGCATACGGGGCTGACGCCCATACGGCGTTTGTCATTATGAAGGGTGGCTTTCCTTTCCGCGACCGCGGGTTCTACTTGGCTTCCTTGATCGCGCGGGGGACCACTTCCACACCAGCCTCAAGGAGGAGCACCGTCGACGTCGAACAGCTCTCCGGCGAACAACATAGTCGTTCGGCCATATTCTGCGTTTCGGCATCGTTCTCCCCCGAGTCCGTCAGCCATTTTGCGTCAACCAAGTATAACGCTCACAATCTCCCGGTCGGGCGTGTTTTCCTTGACGCGTGGGTCTTTGAGACGCTCGATCCATATTCTGCTGAGAACTATGCAATCCCATCCACACGGTGCACGCGGGTCGTCGCTGTGGATTACGCAGGCTCAATACCAGCTGCTGTCAACTCGATGATCAACGGGATGCTACCAAAGTCCATACTTGCTGTCGAGAATTACCTCAAGAATCTGTCGCCCTCTCCATCGATGCGTATGCCTGCGGCGGGCTTTGTCCTGGCACCTTCCCCGGAGGACAAGCTCCGGTCGCAACAGTCATGGACATTACGCCGGCGCGATGCGAGCCGTACGTTCCTCTTGGGCGGCTTCCATCCTGCGAGCCGGATCTATTCGAGCCTGATGATCCTCAACGGCGCCGCCAGTGCCTCTCCTTCGTCGACAAAGGACGACCGCACTCCAAGACCTAGTCGTATCGTAACCAACCCCGCCTCACCGTTAGCCCAGAGCCCCATTTCGCTTTCAACTGACGAAACCAGCGAGACCTTGGAGCCCAGTGCTTCTGAAAGCCGGCTTCGGGCCACACGCTCGCGATCTCCACGGGCGCGTGATGTTCAGCGCTCGCCTTCGATATTCACACCTCGAGGGGAGGTGCGCCTGCCGGTCGATCTCCTCGTCTCGGAGCTCATCGTGGACTCAAAACTCTATCCGGACGGCTACGATGTGCAAATGCGGTCACGAATCGAGAAGAACACAAAGAGCCAGCTAGCCCTTCCCGGACCATCTTCGGATAGCGCGAAGGATGACGCAGGAGCTGATGCCGAAGCTGCGCTCCCGGTAGCTTGTGCGGCGTATACACTCCCCTCTTCCCCGCTGCATTCCGCTGGCTTGAATGTGGATAGGCCGCCACGCCATTTGCTTCGGTTCACCCTCCCGACGGCGCAGTATCAGATGACGACGATCGTCGACCCACTCACCGGCGAGACGAGGAGAGCGCCGCCCAAACCACAATGGCTGCTCGATCTGGAAGAAGGGCGCTCTATCGTTGACGTGCGTGTGACGCCCGCACCCGCTGCCGCCGGCAACGCGTCGTCTTCGGCTAAGAAGACAGTGGCGGTGAGAGTGAATGGTGCATCGGTTCCCGTGCTGAGCGAGAAGGAGTCGCTAACAGCACTCGGGCGAGATGAGCTGCTCGACGGACGAGCGGCAAAGATGGATGTTCTCGCGCGGTACGTGTGCGCCTGTTGATCGTGTCCGGACAATTTCCGAACGCCGCGCAGTGTCCGTGACATACCATATGGTGGCTGATGCATCTGCAGGTCCGTGTCCGCGGAGGAACAGCTCCCGGCCGAGCTGCAAACGCCGCTGGCAGTGGCTCAGCATCTTCTCGAAGCGCCGGTTAAAGCTTCCGAGGGTCCTTCTGGCGCACCAGAAGAGCAGGAGAAGGAGGGCGGGGGAGCGGCGAGCGATGCGACGGACGACGCAGCCGAAAATGTGAGTGCCCCGTCGACGTTGTTATTGATTGGTGTCTATGCGCGTGCGTGCGTGAATCGTGCATTCCGTCTGCCGTGCGCGCACGCCATCTGTCAATTTGTGGACTTTGACTGACGTGGGCTTCTCTGCCATCGCGCGGATGGCGTTTATTCATTTTTTGCTTAACTTTTTTACTGTTCGGTCACAGCAGGCGATGCCGTTGGAGCCTCCTGCGGAGACACATGCACCCGAGAGCGCTGCAACAGGATTCATGCGGTTCCTCAACCTCAACGGGTACACGCAACTCAGGTTTGGCGCCTCAAGACGATCGAGCGCGGTACTCTCCCCGACAGGCGCCAACTCAGAAGGCACGGCGCGAACGCCGTCCGGGTCACAAAACGACGGGTCAGGAACTGCCAGACAGACGTCGGGAGGAGAAGGGCCGGAGAGCGGCGCGATGCTCGCTCGAGCTCAGACAAGGACGATGGCGGGAACGGGAACGACGTACCCGCTCTCGACAGTGGTCATTGTGGCGCTGATCGCGTTCCTGGTGGGATCGCTGCTGAGGTCGCTGCTCTCGCCAGCCGACTTTGTGTACGTGGTGACGGACGAGAAGGAGATGGGGAGTGTGGGTGGGGCGGGATGGCGGGAGATGAAGAGGCTGTTGGAGGTCAAATATCTTGTTGGCGGATGGGATTTCCAGATTGCTGTCGTGCGACGGCATTAGGGGTGTTGGGTGATTGCTGCTGGATGAGCAGCGTCGGGCGATCTTTGCTGGGTAATCCCTGATTGGGGATGACAACGACCGTTGTTGCGTACTCTCTTGTGTATGTAGTACTTGATAGTTGTACGGATGGATTGGATGTGCGCACAGCGGGAGATGCCGAGGTGTTTGTTTGTGCGACTGAGGACGTGTGACCGGATCGGGCACGAGTCGCGTGTAGGCGACGGGCTCTGGTCAGGTCTCGCTCTGCCAAAGCCTCCCTGCTTCTCGCTCTGACCACCCGCTTCCCGTCCCCGCTCCTCCTCTACGCCCGCCCCCGCCTCCCCCCGTCGCCGTCCTCGACATCCCGCCCGACGCCACTGACGTCCCCTAGGACAGCCGACAGCCGACAGCTAACAGCCAACAGCACAGCTTCCCCCAGAGACCGCCCACAGCGATATCTCCTCCCGCCCGCGCCTCGCTCCCAAATCGCTCGTCGCTTCCTTTATCCGGCCTTCCGTATATCGCTGCTGCGCAAGGTCTGTCTCCCTCCTCACCCCTCCCACGCCTCTTCTCATCCACCGACGGCCACCTCAGCCCCGATATTGCCCTACACGCCCCGCCATGGCCACCGATGGCACCGCGGCCCCCGTCGACAACCCCCATCTCCATAACCCGACCCCCATCGACCAGCCCGCGCTGCAGTGGGATGGCGACAGAATGTCTGTCCTCTTCTCTTTTCCCTGAGCGATTCTACTAACTCTCGTCTTCGTATGCATGATCATGTAGGTTCAACATATACATCTACGACTACTGTATCAAGCGTGGCTTTCGCAGGACCGCTTCAGAGCTCCAGCAGGAGGCCTCTATCCCCGCGACAGCCCAGCCGCCGATCAATGCGAAGCAGGGCCTGCTCTTCGAGTGAGTGCTTCCCTTGGGACGCGGCCACTTCGGCCTATTCGTCCCGTTCTGGCGCTGTGTGCGGGTGGCTTAGGTCATGCGTGTCGGATCTTTGTCTTGCAGGTGGTGGAGTGTCTTCTGGGTACTGTTTACGGCCAAGAGCAACGGCGCGGGCCCAGAGGAGGCGCTGTTGTACACTCAGGTGAGTCTCGTCGTCTCTTGATTGGTCGCCGTCCGTATCTCCCATTATCTGCTGCCTGTTCGCGAGCGTATGCTCCGGTCATGTCGGGCGATGTCAATTTTCTTTCCATCCCATGCTGTGTATCTACCATTCATTCACCACTTCATCCTTTCATTCCACTCACCATGATTGTCTGACCTCGTTGTAGCACCAACAGCAGGTGCAAGCCGCCGCACAGAAACCGCAAGCACGTCCTGGACAGCCCGGGGCAGCACACCCCGTACGCTTCCCAAATGGCGTGCAGCGACCGCCAAACCCGACTGTGGCTCCGCCAAACGGCATCGTCGCCCCCTCAGGTCAGCAGCCCGGTCCTCTGCCGAATGGCACTCAGAACGCGGTTCCCTTTCCCGCCAATGGCCCCCAACCGAATGGTGTTCCCGGGTCCTCGGGTGGCCCTGCTCCCCCACAAGGACCAACTATGCCTCAAGCTCCGCCGCCCAACCAGCGCACGGGGCCTCCTCAGCAACGTCTGAACGGCGGCCCCTTCCAGTCTCCACAGATGGCTCATTCACCCCCAAACACCCAACCTGGAGGACCTCCGCCGCACAACCCGATGGCTCCCGTCGGACAGAACCAGCCGCTCACACAGATGCGTGGAACAATGCACCCTCCGAACGGGCCTCCGGGCCCTCAGCAAACACCCCAGCCAGGATATCAAGCATTCGTTGGTCGATCGCCGAACAATCCAGGATCGCCTGCAGTGCATCAGAGTCCGTCGATGGCCCATCGACAGGTACCCGGCATGGCAGGGCTGCAACCCATGTCGCCGGAGATGCTAACACAAGAACTCAATCGGATACCCCCGCCCAGTCTTCACAAGCTCAGGCAGGATCTCGGGATGGGCGATAAAGATATTACTGCGATGACGACGGAGGAGAAGGTGCGCATATCGCCACTAACAAAGATGGGCGGCGACGCTGACTGTCGTGGGCGAACAGCAAGCACTTGTGTCGCAGTTCCGTCGAGGGGGCAACATGAAACCGCCGAATGCTCCAGGTCCGAGCAATGTGCCACCGGGCCATCCAGGACCTGGCCCGATGCAACCCCCATCTGGACTACGGGCCATGTCCCATCCACAGAATGGTCAGCAGTCTGGGCAGCAGCCATTGCAACCGTCACAAGGGCAGAATCAGCAGCAGCGGGGCGCGAAGAGGAACAGCACATCTCCCGGACAAGAGGTGAGCAGCATTGACTCACAATTTGATGGCCTAGACTGACGTCTCGCCTCCCCTTTACACAGGCCGAACAGCTTCCGAGTGCACGGAACGAGTCTTCGCCTCGGGAGAACAAGCGTGTACGCCGATCACCAGCGGAAGGACATGCGCAACCGCCGATGACGCCGATGTATCCCCCTCAGCACCCACCTCAACAGCCCGGGCCACCAGGACAACCCATGCAGCTACCTAACGGTATGATGCAGCGCCCGGCACAGATGCAAGGGATGCAGTACAACGGGCCTCCGATGGCGGGCATGAACAACCCCATGTTGGGCCATGGTTTGGGGACGCCGCAAATGAGCCCGATGCAGACCCCGATGAATCCACCGATGATGCAGCCCGGACAATCGGGAATGGTGAATCCCGCGATGCATCAGGTATTTCCACGCCTTGCGTAAGGTCGATTGTAGACTGACCAGCAGGCCATGCAGTACCGACAACAGATGCAGAACATTCACAAGCCTCCAAACATGCCACAGCATATGATGCCTAGTAATGCTGCGTCGCCGGCTGCAGACGGCCAAGGCGGCCAGCCTGGCAATCGGATGGCGCAAGGCAAGCCGATGGGCATGATGCCTCCTCCCCCTCCTTCACCGGCGATGGCGGCGAAGAACCCACCCGGTGGCTCGAAGCAAGAGGATGGCGCACCACAGAACGGCCGCGTCGACTCGTCGCCACAGAATGCCGCTGCGGGCGTGCCTGGGCAGAACCACTCCGGGGTCCCGCCCCAAACGACGACGCCCGCCCCGCCCACGCCGAACGCATCAGGGTCCGGGCAGATGACTGCGCCGTCGCCCTCGCAGATCCTTAGCTCGTCGACGCCGCAGATGTCGAGCCACCCCCCACCGCAGATGTCGAACCATCATCCCCCACCGCCGCCACCACCGGCAACGAACCCAGCGGACGCACTAGACCCAAGCGCGTTCAACGTCGACTTCCCCTTCGGGGACTTCGACGTGACGGGAGGTCTTATGGGTGATTCTAGCTTGAACTTCGAGCGCGACTTCGCGGCGTGGTTCGACCCCGAGAACGCGGCGTGAGTGCGCGCGCGGTGCGGGGTGGCGGAGTCAATGTAAGAGAAGCGCCGGCCTTGTGGCGTTGCTGCGGTAGCTTGGTGGCGTCGCAATGGGCGTTTAAGGTGCTACGCGTGCAAGATCTGGAACCATCATACGGAATTCGGAGGACTGTTGTTGCTTCTGCTGCTACTTACTTGCTGTGGATCTTTCCTTCTCACCTTACACTTTTGCGCACCGTTTGGTCTGTTCGAGTCGGCGCGCGTTGCATACCTTCTCATCTTTGCCTTCCCTGGTTGTCGCTCGTCTCGCTTGACTTCTGCCTGCAACTCTCCTGCCCTCTTCCCCCACTCCCCCTATCCCCCTCTGCTACCCCGGATCCTGGATGACCGTATTTATGACAAAAAGCACAGCCCAGCTGTTGCCGCGCCCATGCGGATGCGCCCATCCAGCCCAGCCATGCACGTCGTTCCAGTCTTGTTCCTGCTACGTTATTTGCTGTAGAGTGCCCGTGCGCGTCCCCCTCCGCGATGTCCCTCTCCCCTGTCTGGTTTGTCTCCGTTCGTATTCTCTACGCACGTATACAAGGCCTGCCTCCCGCTTGCCCTCCATGTACTGTGCGCGTCGACGATGCGGTGGGGGTGTTCTGCCGTACGGGGCATCGGGTCTATACATACATTCGTAGTCGTAGTGCGTGATGGGATCCCGTCGACCTCCGTCCCTACCCCATGTCTGTTGTCGAGCTGTTGTTTTCCTTACCGTACGCCGTGCGCTCTGTTGTCCTGGGTGATCTCTTCTTCACTGTTCGTGTCCCCGTCTCTCTGTCTATCTCACCACTGTCTCATAGTCATGTATTCTGTTGCCCCGTTCTCTAGTCTACCATCCTCGATTCTTCATCTCTCGTGCAGCTCTTCGCATCTGTGAAATGTGCGTCGCGTTTGTGGCCACGCGAGGAGATTCGGTGAGCATGGTGTGAGACGGCAAGTGTGCGCCCAAGCTAGCGAAGGCTTCTCGGCGGAAAGCTCGTTCGATGGCATTCTTGATAATGATGACACTACGGGGGCATGAGTCATAAGTTGATTGGGACCCGCATGCTTGTAGCACACGACGGAAGGTGGTGTCGGGTTCTCGGCCATCTGAAGCTAGGTATATATGTTCGCATCCACACGTAGCATTTGGCGCATTTGGCGGATAGCTCATCGATAGGAATGCGGAGGTCAGCGTACCCAAAGCATGTTTCTAGGTGTTCAATCTCATGCCTCTATCTGATAGAGCACCTAACTCGCGTGGAAACTCTTGCTTCACGAGACTTCACTCAGTACCTCAGAGCGCTTGCGGTGGTTTTGAAGAACTCTGGGTCGAGATTGCGAAGCAATTGAGACCGCACGAGAGGAGAATAAGCCACACAATCTCATTCGGGGCTGTGCGCATGATATCTCTTGCACTTTATCCGTCATTGTACGGAATTGCATGCCAAGGCCGGGTCGTGCCCTGGTCGAGCGCTGAGCGCTGAGCGGCGGCCTCGGCATAACCGGCGTCTGCGATGGTGGCTTGGCTTATTCGGACAAGTGTTCAACTGGTAGTACACAACCTGCTGGTGGACACACACAACCGAGTGCCAACAACTACATGCCACTCCTTTGTCACCGAATATCCTCAACAGTGCCTCTATACTATTCCAACCCATTGTAAGACTTTGTGCCTGCCGCAGCTGTGGATCTGTGACTGACTCATTGCGGACGCGAGGCCATCACAATTGTGGTCGCACTCGACTCATTTTGCTCCATCAAACACGCGAGTTACCGTATCCTAAATAGTCGTACAAAGGATGCTCGAGGGTTTCCAACTGTGCTCGCTCGTATACAACAATCAAGCACCCCAAGCCGTAAGTTCGACGTGCCACCTGACCAATCTCCTCGTTCAACATGTCTGACAACAACCACCCCGATGTCTCTGCACACAGTGCCGATTATTCACCCCGTCTATCAAGGGCGTCTTTTTATGATCCTTCACCGGCCTCTGTGGTCAACGGCGCTGCCGTTACCGGAGTTGCCACCGCGACCAACGTCTCAACCACCAGCGACCCAACCACCGACAACTCGGCCACTGGTGCTCTCAGCAACCCAGACCAAGGCCCCTTTGATTCAGGTACTGCCGGCCCCTCTCCGAGTCATAGATCACTCGGTGCCCGTCCGTCGTTCGTCCGTCATTGTCCCTCGTCCACGAACTGTGGCGCGTACACGAAGAAGACCGGCAAGCAGCTCGTACTTCTTCTCATCGACAGGTAACGGACCACGCTTCCACCTCCTCGCCAAAGATATTTTCTCTGCCCGGATTCCCGAGGATCTCCTCACCGAGGCTGAGCGGAGCAAGTTCATATTGCTTAGACTCAGGAAGGGCATGCTCGAAAAGGCCATCTATCGGGAACTAGTGAGTGCACACGTCTCTTTGCTTTTTTGCGGGGATGAGTCACTATGGACGATACGCACAGGGTAAGGTCACCCGGATCGCGACGTTGATCTGTCACGGCGACGTCGGGGGCAGCAGAGCTCACCGCACTCGAGTTCAGGAGGATCTGCCCTCCGAGAACAGACCCGTCCCCGCGTTCAAGACCCGTTCCCGTGTTCACGATCGTATTTGCGATTAAGAGATTGGCTCGCCAGTGTCCAAGTTCCGCGATTCTGGAGAACTGTCCGCTTTTCTTGCCGAGGCGCTCAGAGGTATGCCGTCACCCGTCTACGCGCATCTTTGCCCCCTGTTCTCATTACTCCCATTCAGCTCACCACAAGGCCTAGGATCGTGCCAGTGTTTTGACCGGACATGACGTAATGATCTGGCACGGAACATAGCAGACACGAGCCCATGTTGTTCCTACTCTACGCGGTCCTGAGGACCGCTACCTCCAAGGGATTGACTGACTCAAGAGAGCCAGACGACAGAGACTTCAGTATAGAGGTACTTCAATATAGAGGCTAGCCATGAAAATGAAGGTACCTTCCTACGTGACGCTGCTCACGTCTCTTTTCATAGACTCAGATACCGCTTCACATTGTCTTTCCTTTGACTTCACGGTAGGTGCCCGTATCAGGAGATAAGCCGCGGACGTTCGATAGAATAGTGCTTCGTGATCAATGTGGAACAAATGTAAAAGACCACAGTGCATCCATACGCATACAGAGACGGGGACTCCCAAACTAAACTCCTCAATTCGCGGCATGTTTCCCGACGCGACTCAGCCGTCACGAGACGATATCGATGTACGGCCTTCATTCTCTTCGTCACCGTGTTGATCGCTACACTCCGGCACACCTTGATGTAGGAAGTAGTCGTCTAGAGTGATTGATGCCGCCAGTGAACCGATGGCTCGCTCAAAGACCACAGAGCTATTGTGAGACGTCAAAGCTTGCGAAGCTCCCGCACCCATGGCCCCAATGCTGGCAGATTGTAGGTGCAGAAGGAATCGAGAGATGAGGATGGCCGTTATCCTGGACCGTTGTTCCATTACTATATGAGATCATTATAATGAGCATGAATGCCTGCACGTACGAGGGTGTGAAATCGCCGAAGACGCTAGTAACTTGTAGCGAAGGTACAGCAAGCTGCCTGCTGTCAATATTTGAATACTGGAGAGACAGGATGCGCACTCACCGAGATCATGGTGAATGTCAGGTGCAGACAACCAAGAATTGCAAGGATGCTGTACAGGTCAGGTGAGACATTTTGTGCCCCGATAATGAGTAGGCTGTGGCTTACAAGAAATAGACGGTCCCTGAATCCTACTCATCAGCACTAGCACAAGTCTTCAGAATGCCCAAGGTTACTTACCATCTACCAGAAGAACATCTGAGATGGTGCCCTTCAACAGATTTGCATGGCCGAGGCCGCGGCGCCGGGGTAGCGTAAACCATGTTGCCCCGATGGCGATGCAGTCTGCCGCAATCATGCATGAACGGGATATCACAACACCTACAGCCAATGGTTATGGTGATGTCTGAAGGTGGGTTTGATTATGAGGTATACTACCTACCCCTAAAACAAACAACAGCATCAGCAAAGTGATATGTAACTAACATGCGACGGATGACCTTTTCGCGAGTCCCGCAGGGCCAGTGTACACTCCCATACATCCGAATGGGAATATGTTCTCGCCGGTGACTCCAAAGGAGTATTCCGCCTACGTCCATGTCAGCATCCAGTGTACATCAAGGTGTGTAGAGATGTCATCTTACAAAGCTCATTCCAACAGGCACTGCCGAGAGGCAGAAGGTAACGCAGGAGAGAAGTAAGCCTTTCTGAAGCGCATAGACGCGTATGCCAGTGAAAACTAGAGCCAGTCAAGGCGGATGCGTTAGTTAGTAGTCACTAGAGGGACCGGTCGCACTGACGTACCTGCCTGAACAAAGTAGTTCAAGACTTGCACGACTGTTCCTCCCTTCGTGGAGATAGTGCAGCTACATTATCACACACAGAGTCTTTTCAGCAGGTGTCTAGGGGGAGTCCGGCACATACAGCTCACCTCTATCACCAGCAGAGATCATATCGCATCAGGAAAGACTCGTTAAAGGCTGTATTCAGATAAAGGAGCACGTACCTCATCTGATAACTTCAAAAATGTGGCAAGGCCCCAGACCAAGTAGAGCGTATTCATGTACTTATTCAAGTAGAACAGAATGGCTGCCCCGGTAACCTTCCTCCCCCAGAAGCACTGGATCTCGTCACCTGTGGTAATAAGTGAATCATACAGAAAGACAACTGTTATATAGAACAAGCAGCACATTCAGCATGCCAGCATCAACAAACGGCATTGATATCGAGTCACCTGATCCTGCGATAGTGCACAAGTTGTCTGTGAAGCTAGAATTTGAGGCGCCCTTTAGGGTCAGCACCGCAGGTTCGCCGGTGGGGAAAAAGGTAACTTACGTGCTTGAGACCTCGGCAAACAATTGGGCCATCTGCGATGAAGACATCGCTATGAACGAAAGGGGGGCACAAGGTCTGAGAAGAGGAAAGACGGTGTGGGTGGAAGGTGGCGAGTGAAGGGGCCATATCTCTATGAGAAAGCTTTCTATTAATGAGATTGGAAGGCGTCTTGGATTCTATCTTGATCACATCACTGGAGCATATCAGAAGACCTGATCAACCGGTGACAACATTGGTGGTAGCTGTGGTTGATGTGCGCCGAGCCTGAGTCATCTGTTTGGAAGTTATCGGAAGGGCAATTCTGCCAAAGCTAATAGACTTACCACCCTGTGCAAGATAGATGCACTCTCCCACCGTAAGTACGACACCGCTACTGCACCGCCTGAACTCAAGACTCGTCTAAACACGGGGTTACGAACTAAATCAGCTTGCATTTTGAAGGTTTCAGGTCGTAGATAGATAGAGAAAGCAGGACAAGGACGAATTCGGAGCTCTAAGTCGAAGGGCCAATGGAGAGCCGCGCTTGACGCTTTCGAAGTCTTCTATACCGTTCATCGCCGGAGAACAACACTTGAAAGTTCGCTTGTATACTTTGTACGAAGCGCCTCATGATGGGCTGTGATGATTGAGGACAATCTACTCACGATGTACTTCGGGGTGGGAGGAGATTCATCTGATGGTTGAAGCAGCCACTCGAGACTGTCTATTACTCCGAATCACCCGATGGACTGATACATCAAGAGGCGTGCTCGATTCTTGTCGCTCGCTCACTGGCAGTTCCTCGCGCGCCTACCGGGTGCCTGCCTACCTGGATTCAAGGTCAGTCAAGCGCCTGCAGCACAGCGAGCAAAGGTGCGCAGGCAGCGGGTGCAGCGAGATTAGCAGGAGGCTTACAGCCGTGATGCAGCGGGACCCCCAGGTGGACCGTATGTATGTCGTGCCGAATCTGGTTCTGATTTGGGCACATTGCCATGTACGATTACTCTCGATCAACGAGTATATAACGCTCTTCCGATGTCTCCATCCACTTGCCGGACTGGTTTGCCGGGCATAACAAGCTTAGCATAGGACACTGCAATTGGACCCAAAACCTCGCGAGACGACTCCACGTCTCAAGTCATGGAGCCCTCTAGCTTTCGAATCGTCAAGTTTTCGCGTCGTTCCTTGGTCCCAGCTCGGGAGCCTTATGCGGTCATGTTCAATACCCGCCGCCTGCCCCCCTCCGCTGGCTGTGCTACAGGCGCTTGAGCTGACCTTGAATTCAGGTAGGCAGGCGCCCGGTAGGCGCGCAAGGAACTGAGCGACAAGAATTGAGCACGCCTAAGCTCTCAAAAGGATCCGTGATGCACGGCATTCCAACAAATGTAGCTCCCAGAAAGCGAGCTTGGTCTCAATGTATAACCATACTCATCCTCATTCATGTCAGGCGTATTCCACATTCATGAGAACACCTTCGTACCTGGTCATTAGGGGTAGTCAGGGCGCACGATTATGGGGTGATTCTAGGAAAATTCTCAATGACGATTCTGTCGGTTATGCCCGATCGTGCCAACATCGCGATTTTAAGGACATAATCGCCTCCTCTGGAGGAGCTTCTGCCCTCCAAAATCGCGATTCGACTGTCCGCGATTCTGCCTCCTCCAGAATCCTCCCCGGAATCGTGACCAGGATCATTCCCAGAATCTTCCCCCGGTATGGGGCTAGGCCACGATTCTTACAGGTCTCTTTATACCCCTGCGGACGGGTTAGACATTTGTCGCCGATCGCATTGCATCTAGTTTGCTGGAAACCAACTTGGTTTATAGCCCACCCTCCAATTTGTGGTGGGGTTTGATATATCCTGAAGGGGAAGAGGGAAGGAGGAGAAAAATTGAATAGTGGTGGAGGTGCGCCACGCTTCTGAACATTCCGGATTAAGAGAGCAGATTAGATAGACGCTTTGACTGCAATGCCACCGAACTTCTCCCTTACCGCCTCCGAGTTCTCCTCCCTCAGCCATCGTCTGCTTTCTCGTTCCGCGTCAGTTTCGACCCTGCCCCTCCGGCTCCTTACTTCAGCAGACCTTTATTACAGATATATTGCTGAATGCTTTCTTCGCCCTTTGTCCTTGGGGATTCGTCGCCGCTCCTCACTCGCGTTCCCCTTCGTGGGCGCAGTGGCCCCGGAATGTTATACCTCTCAATCATCAAGGTCCTGCGCCTCCGAGAAAGCATTCAGTTCTCGGGCTGATACACTCTGTACAGGATACTTCAATTACCCACCCATCCCAGTTTGGGTATCCCTGTCACTACCTAGGAGGAACGACAACCCGGTCCTCTATAACATCGGACTATGCACTTACGGTTTCTACCTTACGGAGGTAGGAGAAGTGGAGCTACGATACGATGATGGGTGTCTGGTACCAAGGGTGGGTGAGTTGCCTATCTATGACTTGGAGCTAGTGCATGCAATCCCTGGGGTCTGCTTTTCTCCTTATCCGACGTCTGACTTTTGAGCATTCGGTGCAGCCCATGCACTACGTGAACCAGCGTAGTGAACCTTGAGATGGTTGCTTTGAGATGGCGCTATACGCTTTGTTTGGGTCATGCTGGATGCTCATTGAGCCCGAGTCTTCCGTATGTATGTTGGAGTCCGGAGTTTGAAGACCAATTCCTCATGAGGCGCAGCCGTCCACATCGACGTAGATGATTCATGGGAGGTTCATAACACCAGCTATGCATCTTTAGGATGGTGTGCGGATCTGTATCCGCACACGGTCTTCAGGCTGCATTGGGCATAATCGGACGGTCCAGCCGCTCAGCAGGACCCGCAGGGATTGCTCTCCGGGCATTTGACTGTTGTGGTTTCATTGCCGAGACACCTTGCATTTTCCATATCGTCACTGGAACGCACACCACGGCACTGAGAGGCCATCCTTGCTTAATGCGTACAGGCACAGAGTTCTGTCATCGACGCCTCAGGCTACTTCGCATATCGATCTATACCGCCCCCTATCGAGCGTTTTACCTCCAGGCCCTCTACTTATTTCACTATCCTCCACGCAAAATTTGCCTGTCTGTTGCCTTCAAGTATGCAGCTGCACATTACGTTGTGCACGTCAGATTGCTCATGAGGCAGGTGAAGTTGGGTTTGCATCCACATAATAGACCCGATTTTCGACGAGCATTCTCTGTGGTTCGTGCATGTGAGGCCTAGCGTCACTTCTGCAGTGAACGCCTCTCATTTATTTGAATATACTGCATTGCAGACGACGTGCAGGTCGTCTCACAAAGGTTTCAGTGGGATTGCAACAAACAGGCTTCCCTGTCGTCATCGTACGAGGTTGCACGCTAAGTCGAACCCGTCTTTGTTCACCCCGAGGAACCCCCGCGCTTGACGCACTCGTAAGGCACCATCGCTAACATGAATGCAATTGTTGACAGTGTTTAAGCCATTCGCGTAGGGAATCGCCCTTGCAGAAATGAAGTCCTCCTACGTCCCGTTCACATAATCACGTATGCTCAACTGAAAGTAGTGCATCTATCAGTGACTGCTGGCTTTGTTGATGGCATCTACGTCCCTCTAGTGCATCTGCCAGAATCGACCGCGTTGTGCGTGCCCATCTACCGACCGGCGCCAGCCACAGGTCAATGTCAGCTCTCGTAACGCAGAATATAGCTACTCGAAGTAGCGCGCTCACTTCTGGTTGCCGGACTCGGAGGTCGGTTCTCACGAGCTTCCAGACTCGCCACTGCTAGACCGGATGTACATCAACGCGAGAGATGCCATCCGGGTCCGGGTGGAGTCCGATGAGTTTCACGACGACGAGCCCCGCCCACTCAAGGCGCACCAAGGCGTACAGCAAGGGGGAATCACCGGCCGCAGTACACTCACGGTATGTGGAGCCCCCGCTGCCCTCGGAGCGCACCGTACGGGCGCGACTGATACATTGTGATCACTAGTGTGATGTCGGAACGGGGCCCCGCGGCCGCTGAATCATGCCGCCGCAGAGTACCTGGACCGAGGCTTCGTAGCGATGGAGGGGGCTGAGTGACCCAAAGGTGGTATTTGTGACATGTGGGTATGGTGTGAGAACATATGATGAGTTGACTGCCCACCCTCGCCACAAGTCTGGCGCCCTCAGCCCAGGAACGACTTGAGCGATGTGCATTTCACATGTAACATCTATGATTAGAGTTCACCCCTGTGCCACTGGTAACGCTAGTCCATCCATCGGCACCGCGTCGTCACTTCCGTCAGCTCGCAATGATTCGCACCTTCATGCTAACACACCAGTATCAACGTCCCCTAGCGGCGGACTGTCCCAGGTGAGTAATCCACGATTGACATTGGTTGCATAGTTTGCCCGTCTGACCGTCACAGGCTGCATATAGGCATCAAGCAAGGCGCACGAGCTCGGGGAGGGCGGCGGCTCGCTGCGCGCGCGTCATGCACAGCTCAGTGAGACTTGCATGGACATGACGCCAGTGAGGAGGGTGTCCCAACTGCACAATGACCTCAGGTATGTGCTTGACAGACGTTTGTACCTGTCTCCCGCAGCTGCCGATGTGATCCTGCCATACTCACAGACTTACTGTCCGGTGTTATCGGGACAGCTTCATCGTGCAAGCCTCATACCGAGCGTCCGTACCATTTTTTGCGCACTGAATATGTTTACAATAGTTCGATCGTGAGTCGCAGGTATGCTAATTGGGGTGATCTACTCATGTCGCTCGGTGGGCAGGTCATTCAATACGAGGGCATAGCTCAGAATGTAACAAAGTGCGACAAGCAACCTATTCGCCGACAAATGGTAGGGCTTGCATACTTGCAAGGCCACAGCGGTCATCTCGGCAACAGAGCGCTCCTGTTGATGTCTATTCGCTGCTTGAAGCGCATACATTCCTCCGAGGTGACGGGCGCTCCGGAATTGGAGCGCAATCTGTGCATGGCGGGACAAGGCCTGCTGCGTTTGCCTATGCTGTCCCTGGTGCGCCACCCGCCCGCTCATACTTGCGCTAACTTCGTCGGAGCCGAAACCCATAGCCATGACCAATTTGAAATCCCAAACATACTTACCATGGGCGAACGCTGTCGTGCACTAGCGGCGGCGCATTCCCAGAGCGGTCCATCCGCCGTGACACTGCCCTATCCCACTGCAAATGCCGGCTTGTTTCGTCTGTGGTCGTGCTACGCGGCCGCCACTGGGACGAGCGTCGACTCCTTCGTTCCTGTATATATACGGTACAGTAGAACGGGCAGCTTCCTCCCCATCCAACATCCCATTTAATCTTGTTTCCTTCTTCACTTCTTTCCTCGTCCTATAATCTTTTCCTTTTTCGCTCGCCTTGTACCCTTCTCCCTTGCCTTCTGCTTTCATTTCGCCATGTCTCGCATCTTATTTCGTAATATTGCCCTCGTCTTCGCACTCGGCAATGGCGCTTTGGCCTCAATCGGGCCCGTTACCGACTTAATCATCGCAAACAAGGACATTTCGCCCGATGGCTCTACTCGTCCCGCTGTCCTTGCCGGTGGCAGTTTCCCTGGTCCTCTCATCAAGGGAAACAAGGTACGTCTTTGACGGGCATGCAGTCGCCAGCCAAGGTGTGCTCACCCCAATGGCTTCATCTCCAGGGAGACAACTTCCGTATCAACGTTATTGACAAGCTTGAAAACGAGACCATGCTGACTGCGACCAGTATCGTGAGTAGACTTGTTACCTTATGGGGATGTCGGGTAGAGCACGCACTGATATGAGTGTTCGCACTGCACAGCATTGGCACGGTCTATTCCAGCACACGACCAATTGGGCAGACGGTCCCGCATTCGTGACGCAGTGTCCCATCACGAAGGACCATTCATTCCTATATAATTTCAACGTCCCTGACCAAGCCGGTGAGTCAACAAGAGCATACCGCGTCACTGCTTGGATGACGAGACTGACCCGGATCCAGGGACGTTCTGGTATCACAGCCACCTCATGACACAGTACTGCGATGGCCTCCGCGGGCCATTGGTGGTGTACGATCCTCATGATCCCCACAAGCACCTCTACGACGTCGACAATGGTGAGTATTGAGCGTGCACGGTTTAGAGTGCGGCGCTAACACAGCAAAATTATTCGTAGATGATACCGTCATCACCCTGGCCGACTGGTACCATCAAGCTGCCGTTACCGTGCAAACAGGCGTCCCGTATGTCAAATGGCCGTTTGATGGTGGGCCGTGAGACTAATCATTACGTCAGACTTCCGGACTCTACACTCTTCAATGGGCTTGGCCGCTACATCGAGAACCCGACCTCCGAGCTTGCTGTGATCAACGTGGAGCATGGAAAGCGGTTAGTGCATGCTTGTCTTTGCCCTTTCTTAGAACCTAACGGTGCTCCAGATACCGTTTCCGGCTTGTAAACATCGCATGTGATCCCAACTACAACTTCACTATCGACAACCACTCTTTCACCGTCATCGAAGCGGACGGGGAGAACACACAACCCCAGGAGGCTGATTCCTTGGTCATCTTCTCCGCCCAACGTTATTCCATCGTCGTATGTCATTCGCACGATTGAACCTCACCATGCTTTCTCATTTTATATGTAGGTTGATGCTAACCAAGCAATCGATAACTATTGGATTCGTGCGATACCGGACGTATACCATACAGGCGGGAACACCACGGTCAATGGAATCAACTCTGCCATCCTGCGGTACAAGGGCGCGCCCAAGCGGGAGCCCAATACTACTCAGACGCCCAGTCTGCGTCCTCTGGCGGAAACGGATCTTCATCCTTTGTCCAACCCTGCTGCTGTGAGTGTCACTTCTGCATACGTATGAGATAAATCAGCTAACCTAGGGACATGCGTCTAGCCTGGGAAGAACCACACCGGTGGTGTCGATTATGCGCTTAACCTGCACCTGAACTTCACAGGGGTGCGCATATATTGATCTTGATTGCCGTCATTCTGACGTTGACCTTCCCGTCTTTCATCAGACCAACTTCACCATCAACTCCGTGCCGTTTGTCCCCCCTGAGCTACCGGTTCTCCTGCAGATCTTGGACGGTAACAAATCGGCACAATCCCTTCTCCCCAAGGGCAGTGTGTACAATCTGCCGCCGCGCTCTTCTATCGAGCTCTCCTTTACCATCGACGAGCATCTCGTTGGTGACCCGCATCCTTTCCACCTTCACGGTGTGAGTAGCAATATATCATTCCCAGTGTCTATTCTACTCACTAGACCTTCGACACCGCAGCACTCCTTCTCCGTCGTTCGCAGTGCTGGTAATGACACTTACAACTACGCGAACCCCGTCCGCCGCGACGTCGTGAGCACTGGCGGCCCGGGCGACAATGTCACTATCCGTTTCAGGGTACGCTCTGACCCTTCACATATTTACGACAGCCAGAAATATCTGATTGTTATCACTGATGTAGACCGACAACCCGGGCCCTTGGTTCCTCCACTGCCACATTGACTGGCATCTGCAGGCCGGCTTTGCCATTGTGTTTGCCGAAGACTCAGATGATGTTCCTGCAGTCGACCCGGTTCCTGAGGCCTGGCGGGAGCTCTGCCCGACTTTCTACGCTGGAAACGAAACCCACTTTTAAACCCGTATCATTTCTTCAACTTATTGCGTCCTGTCCTGTTTGCTGCCATCGCCTCTCTCTATTTGATGACCTGCTCTCCGAGTCTGTTTAGTTGTACTCGTGAACTCCCACTCCTTTTGCGCACCGTACCCGAAATGTCTAGTATAATCTCATTGTATCCCAGTGTAGTGAATTTGTAGAGTATCATTGCATTAATCGCTATGTTCCTAGCCTCTAATCCTGTTCAATAATACACGTAGTAATCTGTACGAAAGCCTTCTGAATTTCGAGATGTTATTTGCAGGCATCCACATCTGTCCTCCGGCGAGTCACAGTATAGAGCGAGATACACATCAGATCGTTGCTTTCTTCTCCGAGGTTGCGCGTGCGCAATTGCCGTGTAGGCATGTCCAGGTTTTCTCCATTCTCCTAGTCGTAGACCATGGATGGTCATGTCTATCTGGCAGAGACCATGATTCTGGGGCCGCTTCAGGCGATGTCAACGCAGTTGATTGACTCGGTCGTCTCCTCTTGCCCAAGGTAGGGCCCGGGTGCACCTCATCCTCGTGGACTCGGCCGGCGTTGGCATGCGCGATCGAGCCTCGTTGGTACAACATGACCGACCGCATTGTAACTTCCGCCCCTCCTTATCTTCTTCTCATTGCCAACTCTGCAAGCTGTCCGCGCAGAGTCCATGCATACCGTTCGCGATGTATGTGCATTAGTCACACCAGCCAACATGTGCAACAAACATTCGTCATTGCGCATCTTGTTTAGTAGGTGCAAGCACTATCATCGAGCAACAAACAACATAACACAAAACGTGGAAAGTGGTAACATATCTGAAAACCGGGTATCGACGAGTTTGAAGCGGCTCGTTATCCAGTGTGCAGGCGGCCCCTCACAGTCTACTCGGGGACCTGCCATCGTATACATGTCAACATCATGAAGCAACAAACAACACCGCACAATCAACCTGAGAATCTCCGCCCGCAGAAAAGGTGAAGTACAGCAAATGGATGTAAGTCACAAAGGAGCGAACGCGGGTGCGGAGTGCACCGGGAAAAAGCTATACAAGACCTTAAGAAAACCACAGAAAACAGATGGGAGTAGATAGTCGCATTGCTGCGACGCCGGAGGGTGGCTAGTATGTAGGTAAATTCTTGACCTCGTCAAGAGCGGCCAGCAAGAAACGTGTCAACGTCAGCACAGTAGGCGAGCACAAAGCACACGCGGCGATCTGACGCGCCGCAGAGCACAGATGAACGATGACAGAACAGAGAGGCAGCGAGGCGCATGCTCGCGTGTGCCCAGAGAATCCAGTTCTGCCCCGCAGCCACATAATTACGCCCAGTTCAACACAGGCAAAGGAGATATGGAGATGATACGGGAGATGATACAGCGCGTCCGCATCGGCCACAGGATCGTGCACCGAGGGCGCGAAAGGGAGAGGGGTAGAGTGTTGATACAGTGGTGCGCATTCAGCAGCTTAGATGCCGGCGTACGCATCCTCGTCGTCATAGAGCGTATAGACCGTGTCAGGCCGCTTTACCGCTGACTGGCCCGCTCCAATGCGCAAAACCGGGGCTGAAGGAGTTGCAGGCTCGGTCGCATTCTCAGGGAAGTGCACCTTGGGCGGCGAGGACGGGATGTCGGTGAACATCGTTGAAAACGGCGAGGGCGATGGGCGGACGGAGGATGGGGCGATGGGGAAGTCAATCGTCACAGGCGAGAACGGACGGTCCTGGAGTGTGAGTTCGGGGAGCATGGGCGGGATAGACGCGATGCGGGCCTTGGGGGACGGGGCATCCGCGTCGAAGATGGGCTCGGGCGGCTGGAGGATTGAGCCGGTCGAATCGCGCTGGGAGAGCCGCTGCTGCTCGGCCATCTCGGGGTCTGCGAAGGGCGACTCTGGGAAGGCGTTCTCGCGTGGGGTGGGCTGCACGGTCAGGTGCTGCGCGCCATCAAGGCCGAGAGATGAAGGCTGGAATTCGAGGGGCTCAACGTGCTTCTGCGGCAGAACTGGGATCTCCTGGGCCTGCTCAAATTCCTCCTCGACCTCGGTCAAGGGAAGACCCTGTGGCGGCGTCGTGTTTAAGCGGCGCGAGATGTCGGCGTACTGCGCTGCCTGGAAGGGTGTGACACTGGAGCGGTTCATGTCAACGTAATCATCCGCGACTATGTCAGGAAGTGGTTTCCCAGAATTCGACGAATGACGTGAAAGGACGGTGGTCGACGCCATAGATGGTTGACGAGAGACGGTATTGCTCCGAGTAGCATAGGCCTCAGAGGGCGCAGGAGTACCGATAGGCGAGCGATCGTCGTAAGGCGAGAAGAAAGGGTTGGCCGAATTCGTCGTCGTGGGAGTGTAGACCTGGCCAGGCGAGAACGATGACTCATTGTACGCGGCACCGAAAGTGTACGGGTGAGGAGGCACAGGTGGCACGTACGAAACCGGGTTATGAGCCAGCTTCTGTTCAATCATTGTCGGAGGTCGGGCGCCACCACGGCTCCAGGGCGTCGCACGGCTCGCACCTGATATACTATCGGTATCTGGCAGCATCATGGACTGACGACGGAATGCATCAGGATTGAAGTCGTCCTCTTCACTGGATTTACGGGAACGGCGCTGCGCGGCAAAGATGAGAAAGGACCCCACTGGGACTTAACGCAACGCTTACAATGAAGTAGACGACGGCGAAGAGTATGCCAGCCACAGCAACAACGATGGCTATGATGCCACCAATCAAGACGCCGGTACTGACACCGGACTTCGGTGTAGTGGAAGTCGTTGGACTTGCAGCCAACGATGTCGCACTGACAGAAGTCGTCGAGTGTGTCGGGGTAACAGTGATATCGACTTCAGTTGTCGCGTCCTGAACAGTTTGAGGAAGTACAATGGTAGGGGTACTTGTCGTAGGGGCAAGCGTGGCTGTCGGCGAAGTACTTGAGCTGGAGCTGGTGGAGGTGGTACTCGAGAGTGTAGACGAGGAAATAGTAGTAGTAGTGGTAGCTGCTGATGTGGTCACAGCCGTGCTAGATGTCGTAGTGCCAGTCGGGAGGGCTGGCTGGGTGGTCGTGGCCGGGATCGAACTGGAGCTTGGGGGCGGAAAGAGCCCAGTAAACGGGTTGTCTGAAGATTGGGTTGATCAGCCCTCGGTACGCGACAGGCATCGCAAGAAGCACAGCGAAGGGAGACCGTATGAAAGCAAAGTAAGTCGATGGTAAGCGACAATGACGCAACATCGCTAGCTAGAACTGTTTCGGCAGGAAAGTCGCTGAAGGAGGCGATAATGACGACCATTGAGACATCAGAATGCATACACATTCGGTTAGATGACATAGACATTGTCTATGCGTTGAGCGCTGCTGCTGCATGCAACTGCGGCCTGATAGCTCTATTTTTCCTCCGGCCAATCAAAGACATGGTACTCATCCAACCCCACCAACCTCCTTGGACCATACGAGGATAGTTCATTGAAGATGTTGTATGCGCAGTTGTGATGGCGGGCAAACCAACTCCGGACATGTATGAACATCATCAGATCTCAGCAGTCGTGGGTGAATGGGTGGGACGCAAAATAGACTGTATGCGAGGCGGCGGCTAAGGATACAGTCTGAAGACAGCGGATGCCCATTTAACTCATCAGTCTCAATTGACCATCCTCTCTCGCGTCGATTCCCTTCCACGATGAATGGATGTGACGTTGCGGTTGCATTCGCCTTTAACGCGCCTCCGTCCCAGCATTCCGTCCTCAGAGCAAGAAACAAAACATCACGAGTACTCACCGACACTACTCGAAGTCGTCGCAGGACTCTGCGCGGGCGTAAAAATGGCAGTAGGGGTGTAGACCCAACGCTTGTTCAGCCGCTTGACACCCCCTGAGACACGACGATGCAGATCACGCTTGTCGACGGAGAAGTCGTCCAACATGGCGCCGAGAGCCAGAGCGTAAAGAACGTGGAGAAAAGAGAGTGACTGTCCCCAAACGGGGTCCCGAGCAGCCTCAGAAGGATGAGGAACTGAAGTGCTGGAAGACGAAACGATGGAGGATGAGAAGAACGAGCTCGCAACCGTCCACAAAGTCGTTGCCAGTGTCCCGCTCTTGCCGCATTTGGGGACCGGATCTGTCACTGGCTGTCACTCCGGCTCGGCTACGGTAAAATCAATCGATAACAATTGATAATGCGGTTATACTCCACATTTATCCGGGCTGTCAGGAACGCAACCCGCTTATTAGTAGCCCGCGTTGATCAGCGTTGATCCCAGTAAGTAAGTGTGCGCTTGAATGCCTTCCAGAGTCCAGGCTCTTCCTTCTTCTCCGTCGTGCTCCTCCTCCGGTACAAATTTTCCATGCATCGTGCTACCAGCGTCCCTTCAGTCCCCAGAAGACGTCCCAATGACACAGGGGCAAGAGCGCCAGGCAGGAAGGAAGGCCGCAGGAGGGCTCATCCGCACCACAGATCAGTGCATGTCTATAAACGGCGTTAAACCGTATGGTGCTGAATTCACGTTGCCATGGCGGATAGACGCACCTGCTCGCCCGCCACCCTCATCACGCGTACGGTTCACCAGCTTCCCCCTGGCCCCCATGAGTCTGGCGGTCGGCTGCCAGCATGTCCATGCCTCAGCCCAACCAGTGGCGGGGTGCCTGGCCATCGCTTGGCATCGTCCTTAGGCTTCAGCTCATCGCCAGTTTCGTTCTGCTTCACTTGATCTCGAGCGCCCGCGCGGACGTCAACATCACCCTCGCCGATACCGCGAGCCAGATCACTTACAGCCCGCCGGCGTGTGGCTTGACGCTATCTTCGGCTGGCACCGGAAATTGCAACAGCTCGTGGTATGTTGCGTTGCGGACCATTGCATGTTCCACAGCGGACCCTGAGCCCCCGTTGATTATAGGCGCATCGTGACTTCCAATGTGTCTTCTAGCGGGACGCTCACGATAACATCTGGGCCGAACAATGCTAGTGGAGGATTGGTGCCCCAGCTCTTTCTTTCCGTCCGAGGTACGTCTTCCTATAGCAGTGACATCACGTCCGAAGAAGTGCGCGGGGTCAATGGGCGTGGCTGTGACAAGACTTGTCGTGTGCTGGGTCTCTGCGACGATGTCTATATGACAGCAGCACCGCCGGAAGAAGATGTTCCTGCATCTGGCGCGAGGGAATATGTTCAGTGCTGATCCATCTTCCATGTAGCACTCGGTCTGTCAATCAAGACGTCCAACGACTCCACGGCGATTGTCAATATATCAGTCTCCACTAGTACACCCGTCGTGTCTGTCACTTCCCAGATCAACTCGTCAATACAGCCCATCGAGATCATCGGTTTGGTAGAGGACCGTCTGACGACGCTCGCATTGACCTTTGAGCCGTCGCCGAACCAGACCACTGTCCTGAGTATCGACTCCATCGTGGTGACCGTCTCCGATCAAAAGTGCGTAGTCGTTTACTACAGGCTGCTGACCCGTACCCATGAATCACTCTCCAGTACTGCACCCTTCGTCTCTCCTTCAATACCCGCATCTACCTCGCTGCCCACTGTCACTCCATCAATTGTTATACCCTCGCCCTCTTCGTCCTCTCACCATGGACAGAGCTCCGGTGACGTCGCTGCGGAGGCCCTCGGCGCCATTCTTGGCGCAATCCTCGTTGCAACAGGAGCCGTTTTCGTCCTCCTATCCTACCGGAAGCGGAAGCGCAGACGTCTCGCACGACCAGACTCTTCGCATCCTCAGGATCCCCCAGAGCCGTAGCCGATGGTGAACCGTCTTCGTTCTCATATTTCGAGTTTGCTTTGTTTTGCTTCGGTGTTCATTGTCGCTCTCTTGTTTCACCTGTGGAACAATGTGTTATCTCTGGGTCTCGGTGCGCACGTAGCAGTATATACCATGTACTATCACCACCACTATCATTGGATGCTTAGACTTGCTTACTGTACCTCCGCATAATCTCGGGGAGAAGTGAACAAATAATGTGTATATTAGTTCGTCCCTATCCTTCATTTAGTTATGGACAGTGTCCGTGATGGATCAAGCCTTACATGCGTTGTGAGGTGCGTCTTCCATTCCTCTCTCATATCGACCATCAGAAATGATGTCGAGGAGTTGGTAGATCAATCGCTACATCCGGTATGTTCAGTATCCGCATGTCCCGATTGACGATGACGTATAGCACTCCCTACTTTCCAGCTTTGCGTTGTGCAGAAGACGACCTATGGTGCAGTTCACTTAAACGCCTCCACTTTTGTACGCGATTAAGCGCGCGCTTATGTGTCACGTGACTTGGCAGTATGCTCGAATCGGTTGTCGTTACTTACCAGGCTGCACAGATGGAAGTGCAAGCCCAAGGAACCTCCATAGAGCCGTTATCCCACGACACGATAGTGTCTGAACCCTCCCATGCATGGTCCAAGTTCAAGGATGCCGATCCGTACAGGCGATGGTATGGTATTATATAAGCATAAAATTACTCTTTGGGGATATAGACGCCCCGATCACGTGCCGTGGCAGAACTGGTACGGCCATTTTTGCCAGTTCTCACCCTATCGAGAATCCCCTTTGGGGATCGCTTCCTCTGTTCAATTCCTTGCAATTCACACAAAATTGACCGAAATCATGAATATCTGGAGGACTTATGACACGGCGCCTAACGGCGTACAAAAGTGGAGGCGTTTAAGTGAACTGCACCATAGAACGAGACGTTTGCCTTATTTCACTCACAAATTGAATGTGGATAATGGGACCAGGGGCTATCAACATCACGTCAGCACCTAATGGTAAGTCGTCGAACTTTCGCCAGGTCACCGACAAACTGACAAGTCGTGTTCGGTCGCTCTGCCCTATGATGGTACGACTTCGGTCGCAACTGCTCTGCATCGTATCTAAGTTTGGCTGCATCTGTCATAACCCATTTGCTTGACGGATGTACCTCCAACTCATTATTGGAGGGATACATGATCCCTGGCACGCCATACAACGGCGCACATCGATCACGAAGCCATTGTTCTAGTGATTGGTCCTGACTTGTCACAGGCGGTTCTATTCATGGCGAAGCTATGAACAAGACGTATAGAGCTCATTTGTCAACTGTGAGGTGGTCTCTCTTATCCCCTACGTGCTGATCTTCAAAGCTGACTTCTCCGTATAGCGCGTCAACGTCATTTGTTTGCATAGCCCCATGGACAAAGGGTCATGTCTTCTACGGACTTCGCTGTTTATGTGGGTCGGTATCTGGTTGATGTGTACTCCCATCTTCTGCTTCTCGGCGCCTGGAAACCATGATCTCTTGTGTTCTGAGGCTGGACCTTGGGGACGCAGCGATGCCTCGCTTGTCAAGCTATGTCCTTCTGACTCTGATACTGTGTATGGCCTCTGTAGTAAGGGGCGCGTGCGCACCGAAGTTAGACGGCGCATTTACCACGCAGAGGTCACGGCGTAATTGATTCTCTGAGTTCCATCGCGCAATAGCCAGACTAACGGTCTTGTCCACGTCAATAGCTTCTTGTACGCCTGCTGTCTACGACCCACCTCGTTGCTGTGCCACGACTTCTTTTGTACGTACCAGAGTGTACATGGATAAGCGAGCTGACCGTACTGCCTCAGGCTTGATACATCCCCTGATCGACAAGAGTTGCTCTCGACTGATGAGCTTCTGATAGGTACGGCTCCTTTTATGTGCTCTCTACTAACGTCTATCGCCGGGGATTTGCTTGCGCTATCTAACCCCTCGATGAGCCGCTTTTGTGGTAGTGCAGAATGTCCCGGAGTATAATATATAGCCCCCACGATGGGAGGAACAACCAACGCTGACCTTCTGGCGAATCTTTTAATTCAGGTCGTAATTCGAACACGCTTCTCACTTCACATCGTAACCATCTGCCCTTTGGCTGGCTGTTAGGAGCGTTTTTAGGCCGATGGCCGTCTCCGACAGTACGTGCTTTGATAAATCCCATCATATGGAGCATTATTTGACCGACATAGCCCTTTGAATTTGCATGCACGACAGTGATGTGGTGCAACCCTTCAGATAGTTCTGTCTGTGCTCATTATATATGAGCATTGCGGAGCTGCTTTCCTCCTCGCTCTCTACCTCCCGGGACAACTGCACATTCTACGCTTCCTAGAAATGGCCTCTGCAGGCGACCAGGTTGCTCTGATCAATGAATTCAACGGCGTGTACGTCTCAGATTGTCTGCTCACACCCGATTCATATCTGAGTGGGATTCCCAGCATTGTGGCGAGCCACTGCATGAATGCTGCCGCAGGTGAGCTCGCATTTTCCACCGGACTTGTCATTCTGCCCATTCACGCACTTCGACGAAGTCCTCTATCTCTACAATTGGATTATAACTATAGATCAAGAAGTGGAGTATTTCTGGAAAGAGAAGGTGACCGGCGCAGCCATTCTGTTCTACCTGAACAGGTATATCAGTCTGGCGTCCTTCGTAATCAGCTTAGTCGATTGGATGCCCATGACGGACAAGGTACGGAATTTGCCCCTCCCCCCTTTGTCGCGGAGTTAGTTGATTTAGTACATGCCCGGTAGAGGTCAGTTCCGGACCCACTGATACAGGTTGCACGGCCATAATTGATGAATCCATTCTTGGCCCCAGCTGCACCGCATACTCGATATACTCGTTCGCGGTCGAGCTAGTTCCTTACGTTCCGTGGGCAGGTATGTGTCCGAGAACTTGAGGTTATCGCATATCAGAGTTGACATTCACGCGACTAGCTTTCGCAGGGTTGCGCTGCTTCGCATTGACGCATGGGAACTGGTTCTTGGCCACTCTAGTCTTCGTGCTCTCTTTGGTTCCCCTAGGTGTCAACTTGGTGAACACTACTAATGGATCTCAGCATTGCCAATCATTTAAATCACTTGTGCAGGTATATATTGTCTATGGTATCACAGGCGAAAATATACCGCTGCTCGGGTGTTCTTCCGTCGATCTGACACCCGTCGGACTCTCAGACAGGTGTGTGCTGACGACCGTCTTATGTGATACGGCTCTAATACACAAGCGTATAGGCGTACGTGAACATGGTCCCTGTATATTCTCTTTGGCTGACATGCGCAACATCACTAGTCGTCTTGGTGTCGCGTCCCTCCCTGATCATGGCGGACTGCATCCTCATACTTGCGACTTGGCTAGCGCTGGCAAGGCGAGCTACATTCCGTCCACCGTATCGTCAGAAGACCTTCACTTCTGTAATGCTCTGGGATGGTGGGTTTACTGTCGCATCCCTCCATAACGCATTATCTGAGACTACGCCAGGTGCTCTCTACTTCGTGTGCGCGCACGTCAACTCAGGGTTTCGGAACAGATTTTGACATCCATGATCTCAGAGTACTTCTCGCCCTGAACGCACTGCATCTTGGTCTCACATTGACCTCAGTGAGCAGCGAGGCTCGGAACATAACTATTCTGATGCGCACCATGACCTGTCTTATCACAGATTGATGTCACCGATCTTCAGGACACAAGCCTTGTTGGCTTCTTCACCGATCCGTTCGTCTAGCTCAATTTCTTGCTCGATTCTCTGGATGTCGTGTTGACATTCCATTAGCTTGACGTCGATCCTGGTCCAGCACTTTCTGCTCCGTCTTCAGGGGGCCAACAAGACAGCAAACGGTTCGGAAACCGGGGCCCAAGGAGACGAGACTAGTTCCATCGTCTTTGATAGGGTGATCGGGTCCATAGGAGGGTCCCTCCACCCGGGCGACCATGGCTATGCAGACCACTTTACGGACGAGATATCGGCGGGAGACAGCGTTATGGACATGGTCTCTTGATCCGCGAATTCGCCAACCCTACCGCGTTAGAGCTATGTGTATAGTTCGGACAATGTCATAGATGATATTCCAAACGGCGAAGCTGTCTTGTTCGTGGGATCTTCAAGGAGCAACCAACACTGAGACATCATCAGCTCTTATCTTCAAAGAATTTTCGCAAGTCGCCCGAGATCTTCATCCTGGTGAATGCGCCACAGTTTATATTCAGTTGCACCTTCCAGATGAACAATCCGCGACACACGTCCCGTGATCGGGAGAGCGCAGCCTGTAACAATTGAGTTCTAGCGGATCAATCGATACATGTATGCAGATTGGTTTACAGGACTAGCTCAAAATTTACATGGAGAGGACACTATCGATGATGATTCGCGCTTACCTGTCTATATGGCTCTGAAACCTTTGTTGAAGTACTTACCTATGTATGTACTAGCCATGCTATCTACTCACCGACGCGCATACATTCCAAGACGATCTGTGTCCTATTACCACCTCCCACACCCCGACCCAGTAGGTAAGTATCCTGGACTTCAACCCTCGCGCGGGCCCTCAGTCATGAGTTGCTGAAGCTGGCGGATCGTAGACTGCGGCGCGTCGGGATGGATGAACGCGTGTAGGTTGCGCTCCGCCTTGTCGGCGACGCGGCCCGCTAGCGCGCACATCTTCTCCTCGAACGCCGCGACGGCCTTATCGACGGCCTCCAGGTCCGCAAGCTTACCCGCCTTCGCGAGCTCCGCGAGCACAAGGCCAAGCTCGAGCCCGTCGAGCAGCGCGAGGTTCGCGCCCGCCCCGGCGAACGGGCTCATGAGGTGTGCGGCGTCTCCGATGAGTGTCACCCCGCGGACGTGCGGCCAGCTGTGGCCGACAGGGAGGATGTAGAGCGTGCGGGGGTAGATGGCGCTCTCGTCGGCGTAGTCGATCAGGTTGAGCATCCACTGCGGCCAACCGTCGAAGTACCTCTTGAGCACGGCCTTGGCTTCGGCGGGGTCCGAGGGCACGGACCAGTCTGCGGACTCGCGGAGGTAGACGTACGTGCGGATGCGGCCATCGCCGTTCACTTGCGAGCCGAGCATACACGAATCCTGCAGAGCCATCATCATGCCTTTGCCGATGTTCGCGACGGTCTCTTGCAGCTCGGGGAGCTTAGTTGTCTCGGGCGCGAGGGAGATCTCGACGCCGTTGACGCCGGTGTAGATGGGGGTAGCGGGAGACAGAAGGGGGCGGACGCGGGAGTTCGCGCCGTCGGCTCCAACGAGGAAGTCGGAGACCGTGGTGAAGCCGTTCGCGAAGGTGAGCTCGTGCTGGCCGTTGCCGAGAGGGCGCACGGAGGTGAGGGGGTGGTCCCACTTGATGAGGTGAGGGGGGATTGCATCGAGGAGGATCTTGCGGAGGACGGTGCGGTCGATTTCGGGGCGGATGTCCTCGGGACCCTGGGGCGGGGTCAAATCCTGATCGCCCTCGGGACCGCTGGGACCACCCTCGCCGTGGCTGTGATGGAGCTTACCTGCGCCGTCGTAGATTCTCATCTCCTCGCCTTCGGGGCGAGAGTTCTTGTCGAACTCCTCTTGTAGCCCGTTCTCGCGGAGAGCGCATTGGCCGCTCTCCCAACCGAGGTCGAGACTGCCGCCGAGGTGGGCGCGAGCGTTGAAGCCGACGTCCCGTTCGTAAAGGGTGGCGTGGACGCCGCGGCGATGGAGAGTGAGGAGAAGCGCAAGACCGCCGAGGCCGCCGCCAAGGATAGCGATGCACGGGTGAGTGGAGGATTCAGAAGGCATGGTAGGGAATGGCAAGTACTGAGTATTGTGGGAGGGAATGAGTTTGTTGGATCCAACGCCAAACGGCGAGGCGCTTACTAGACGAGAGCTGGGTGGCTGCTGGCCACCGACCTCGAACAACGCCCTACTTATGCTGCCGCCTTTGCCACCGTTCTCGCAAGGTGTCGAGCAGGACCGGCTATGTACACGTCAATAACAAATACGTCAGATGTGGCTTGCACAGCGATCCACCGCGAGGGCGTGCCCAAGCGAGATGCTGTGACTCAGTACCGTCTATCCGCAGCCCATGCTTGCGTAATGTCAAAGAGAGGTTTGTCAGCTGCAGCAAGAGTAGAGATGGCCAAGTGTGTGAGGATAGCGTTGGTCGCAAGAGAGGACGACAGCCGGCGCAAGGACGCGTGCTCCGGCAGAGATACTCTAAGGGAGTCATGGGATCTCATAAGCGCCATAACATCGACTCGCGGCTGAGGCTCCGACGCGCGGTCGCGCCTTGCCGAGTCTCATGCACTGCACGCGTACGCCTGAGCGTGGAATTCAATGACGAGGTGCTGTACAGAGAGTGGCAGCTGTAGGTTCAAGCTGAGGTCCATGCGTGTGAGTATCAGGATTGGTGAGCGCACAAGTACTCAAGATGTACAGCTTTCAATTTCGTGACCAGCATGAACATTCTTTCCTGTCTCAGCTAGGCATGAGTTCCAAGCTAGGTCTGCTGCTTCAGCCTCTTACTCCCTGAGACGACGTGCGAGTCCCTTCCTTGCAGTATCGCCTCATCATCTCTTCGACAGCCACCGTTTTCATGAGACACATCAGCCGTGCTCCGATCTGACGAGTCTTGTACTACCTCAAACAAGTCTCAGAGAGTCAAGAGGGCAGCGGCGCCCCCATAGACTCCGCGACACCACGAAAGGTTACGTTCGCTTGGGGTCCGTAAAGCGCCGTCGTATGAGGTGGACTATGCAGCGTGCCGGTGGCACCATGTCTCATACTTTGCTACATCATGATAGATAATTTGTGCGCATCTACAACATACTCAACGATACCCCCATTCTGCTCGCCTCAGATTTGGCATCTTCGCCGTTGAGCTGGCCCTCTTCGTAGACCTCCTCGACAGATTCTCCTAAGAAACTCTCAGGCGCCAGCGACAAGCCTAGGGAACCAATCACCTGGTCAAAGACGATAGAGCTTGAACGAGACCCGTTCTGCGAGGAAGTGATATCAAGGGCTTCGCGCTCGGCCGATTGGAGGTGCAGTAGGAATCGCTGCACCAGGATCGCCGTCATCCTATTTTCATGATGATTGGCATACATAGACTCAGCAGAATGGAGCGAGAGACACTCACGGTTCCGTGAAGCTGCTGATATCGCTCGCGTTTTGTAACGCTACCACTCCTAACTAAGACTTGACCCAGCCTCGTCCTGAACACTCTCAATGGGTGGGAGGACACTGACCGAGGCTAGGGAGAATCCGAGGTGCAAGGCGTTCAGAAGGACAAGCACACTGTGATTGGTTTACGTTAAGTCACCAGAGCCCGAGTCTATCATCGTGCAACACACATGAAGTAGATAGTCCCTTCTCAATTTGGTGAGATATCCCGTGTGCAAGAGAGCATGGGGACGGATTGTACTCACCATCCCGCAGCAGCACGCCCGCGAACGTCAAGGTACGGGAGCTTGATCTGAGCGAACCCCGTCTGGACAGAGCGTACTAAGTCACGATGGCTAGGGTATTGTCAGCTATGATGATCGCAACACGGGATACGATGATACCTGATGCAGAATTATTCTTAAGGGCCTCGATTTCATCCAATCACGGCTACATACATCTGTAGACTCGCTAAGTATCGGATCACACATCAAAGGAAAGATGGTGGAGACCTTTGCGCAACATTCTGTGGGGTGGAGTCGTCCTCCACGCATCCAGCAAAAGGGATAATTTCACCGGTAGCACTGTAGTGGAAAGGAACCTGCCCAAAGAGATGTGAGATTACTGCATAGTACCGAGCAGATGATCGACATATCACTCATCAGATTGACGAAAACAGGCACAAGAGACAAGGCAAAGACAGATAGTGATACACTCCAGGTGCGGCCGGTTAACGCAAATGTTCTAAAGCCTGTGAACACTGTAGGACCCACTCAGAAATCTTCAGGCAGACAGATTCAGGGAATACTTTCCTGCCCAGATGATATATGGAACAAGCGGGTAGATCAAATAGAAGCGTGCTAACTCTACGCAGCTATATGACACTATGGGTCAGCGGCGGCATGGCGGCTTACAATTCAGAGGCTTACCTCTGAAAAGCCTACTTAGCTAGGTTTGTTCATCACTAGCAACTAGTCCGTGGCTTTCCCCGTCCGACACGCTCGCATAGCTCGCAAATTGTACTACGTACCAACAGAGAGACACATATCGGTTGAGAAAGAATAGCACGGTCGCCCCCGTAGGCTTTCCCTTCCAGAAATACTGCGCCTCGTCGGCGATGGTGATCAAATACTCATATATAAACACCACTGCGGCACCATGACGAAGTTGTCAGCGATTCTGGAAAAAATCGAGTAGATACATACCTGCTGCAGCGTTCGAGCAATAGTTTGCAGTGAAACTAGAAGGAGATTCTGAGCTTGAATGCGCATTGCAGGGTATGATAAGACGTACATGCTGTAGTACTCTGTCGAGAGTTCAGACTCGGAATCTGCGCTCGAGGAGTCCATGACGATGTGGATACCTGGGAATGCAGGCAACGGACGACAGGTGCGCGACCAGCAGATCCTCCTTGGTATATCACGGACGGATAGGCTCAAAGTTCTCTAACCAGGTAGCGAAGACGTTTGAAGGTTCAAAGCGATTGACAGCTGCTGTAGATAGACCGGCGAAGCACTGGCACTATTGCGCCACAGTGCGAATATCAGGTGTTGCGTCAGGTTGGAGCGAAGGGTGGCCTTCCACTGGTCTCCAGGGTGACATGCTACACGGCTTGGTATGTTAGGAGACCTACTGGTTTTTCGTTATCCATCCCGTCATCTGCTGCGGTATGTCACTACGGACTCCGAGCGATCTTCGAGATGTCGGATGCTGATGATGCTCGCAAAAGATGTCTTCCTCTTTCTTTAATAGTGCGGGCGTGGGAAGGAGTCAACAACATAGCAGATAAACCGTGCCACACGGACCTTGACTGAAGCGCGTCGCATGACAGGTACATGAGGAGAAGGATCTTCAATAGCTTCGCGTTGGTCGTAATACAACGGCAACAGGGCACGACTGATTCCCTCAGTAGGCAGCGTCAGCCCAGTGTAGACATGAGGTCTCAAGTGTTCCCTCAGAGATACCGTGAATGCGTGCTTGAGTCATAGTTATCATGGCTGTGATCGTCATGAGTAAATGCAACAACGCTGCCAACCACTCGTGGACCAGGCGCTTGCGGTGGCTACCCGGCAACCTCCGATGCTCCACAAGGAATGCTGAGCGCCTTCCGATTGGCTCTCTACCACCATTGGTCACATACATTGCTTTCTTCAATCTTCTGGCGACAAGCCCCCGGACAATGCATACCATACTGCCTCATGTTTCCCGCATTGGGATCATGGTCATTATTTGATGGACATGCGCTTGCCGAATCCCTCCTATACACTCGGACTTGCGAAGTCTGAGCATGCAGGGTCGGAATGCTTATTCGTTCCGAGTCGCCACTCTTCAATCGCATATCTGTCGGCCCCCAGAAGTGTTTCACGTCGATTGTCAGAATCAGCATCATGCTCTCATGCCATCGCGAATGACCTGCAGTTGATTTCGACAGTTTCCCACCAACCAGCCGAGCCGATGCCCCTGCAGTATGGGCAGGCTGCCTACCGGGCTGTACACTAGCGAAGCTGCGGTCATGCTTTTTCTAATGGTGCAGCACTAACTATCAAGAAGGTCTTGGCTACGTCTGGCTCGACGGGAACGACAGATCTGTCGTTCCCGTCGCAATCTGAATTCTCGGAACGCGACCGTTCGATGAGAGAGGGCGGAGTACATCCATGTGCTTTTAGGTGGGGATCTACGGCATAGTGCGAGGATTTCGGAGAGGTCATATGCTTACTATATACGTACAGAACATGAGAACTGTGCCTGAGACTTTTTCTATCGGCACGCAAGTCTAAGCTGGATATGCATGTGGCGGCTCGAAGCAGCCTCTGCTCACGCACCAAGCTCGTATGCATTGAAAGGGTATGCTGAATTGTGGATTACGACTACTACGTTGGGTGAGTACAGTATAGTATAGTACGTCAATGTTATCAAGGCGTCGGAGGTCGTGGAATACGTTCTCGCATGGAAATCACAAGCAGAACAGCCCGGCGCCACAAAGGGAGGGACGTTACCTCCGGGTTTCTTCGACTCGTAGAACTTCTGAGATGCCCTCAGATGCGTTGCCTAACCCTGGCTTGACGTTTCGCAATTCGTACTCGGACGCGAGCGTCGAGCCTTGTGATGCCTCTGCATCGCCGAACTGTATAGACGTAAACCTAACATTGTTGCCTGGTGTGGTCTCTGAGTCGTACATCAGCGACCTGCGATTTGCCGACTGAAGATGGAGAAGGAACCGATGAAGCAGTATGGAGGTCAAACTGGAAATCCTCGTGAGTCAATAATTCGAATCTAGATCTGTTCCCATCACACTCACGCCTGAATAAACACCACAAAGTCGCTGGAATTCATGCCATACATGATATCCACCTAAACGAGGCATTAGCCGATCCAGATTGTAATGCTTGAAGTAAGAACGCTTACGGAGGTGTAGGTGAATATCAGAAAGAGCAGATTCAGGATCAGCAGTCCGCTGCCCCGAAACAAGGTTAGGACTGAATGCTGGCGGGGACAAGATGACGTACATGAAGTAGATCGTTCCTGAGCTCGACCGTTCAGTACGACAACATTGATTGAGAATGCAGGACTCACCATCCCGTAGAAGAACAGCTGCGAGTGTGCCTTTATAGACATCACGGAGCTCGACTCGTTTGTGAAGTGTTGCCCAAGTCGCAACAATGAGCATCATGTCGGCTGTTATCAAGCAGGTGCGGGTGATGGCTACCTCTGCGATACGACAACAATGTTGCGAGGCGTTGAGTTATTCTCGAATTGTATCTGACACTTGACGCACCGCTGGTACGCCGTGAGACACCGCGTGATATCGAGCACGTTGTAGATGACTTACTGTTTCCCCAAGTTGGTCGGGGTTCGGTCGATAGGCACGCAACCGAGAGGCGAAATAGTCACAGCAGTTATACCAAAATGAAAGGTGATCTGTTACAGCGATCAGCATTGCATATATATACCAGTATCATAGGGTTTGCTATGAGCTCACCAGGTTGACGGGAACAGGAACGATCGACAATATGATTACCATCCATGTAAGAATCCAGTTTTTCCCCGTCAACGCGAACATTCTCATCCCAGAAAACGCTGAAAGAAGAGGGCTGTGAGCTTATCATAGGACAGGACCGAAAATTGCTGACAGACCTGAAATAACGACATAAGGCATGAGACTCAAGATGTACCCGACGACCTCCCCCCTTACACAACTTCAAGCGCGTCCGCCATCAGGGTTCAGCAGCTAGATTCAATAAATGCCGGACTCACAGCTATAATGGATGTCATTAGCGACCATGATACAGTGACTCGTTACGACGAACCTCTATTGAAGCACCAGGTACGGCGATGCCAACGATACCTCCGATATAAGTCACCAGGAAGAGGTACTTGTTGAAGTAGTACACGATGGAGGCTCCAGTCCACCCCGTCTTCCAGACGTAATCCACCTCATTCGCCAGAGTGATGAGGCATTCATAGATTGCCATCGCTACAGTAGAGTAGGTTACGTCTGAGTCCCAAGCCAGAAAGCGGGGGAGACGTACTAGCCACCGCCGGGAGAAAATATCTGGAAGCAGCTCTGAATGCATATCAGCCTCCGACTCTATGCAAAACAGGGAGGGAAAAACACACAAAGTATTCAAGTCCGCCAACGTCGGGGGTGGCAAGGACGCCATTGAGCGAGGGTCCGCATGAGGGGCTGGGAGGGATCGGATAGCATGGCATGACGGTTATAACCTCTTGCGCGCAACGTGTTCCCGGGCGGTAGTCTGTCGGATGCAGAATGGGCAGAGAAGGGTGTTCGCTGTCAAACAGGGTTCTTCGAAGCGTGAGACTGGCTGCGCAAGGCGGACGGATTTAGCATATGTCGACCAAGGCTAGATGCCGTGAAGGCAAATGTCAACTTACGGAAGGCGGCAGTCATGGGCGTGAGAGAGGCCGAAGAATAGAGACTTGGCATGCACATGCATCCGAGTGCATGTGGATTCCTTGTTCTTCTGGCACACTCCTCCTTACGGTCTTTGTGCTAAGTGGCGGAAGTCAACCAACACGGAGAGCGACAAGCAGTACCAAAAACCTGTTGGGACTCTCATGTACAGGGGAAGTGAAATAGTAGCCCCGCTTGAACAGTTCAGTATCCTCATGTTGGAACGTGTGAGCCTGAAGAAACTAGCTTTTCAGACGCGGTGCAGAGGTGGTGGCGTCAAAGATACCGAACGAACCGCCAAGTGGAGCCACCACAATGGAAACGTGAAACAGTATAGGAACATCAAACGATAGCCGAGCTGACGTTGACGTACTAAGATCGCAGACTGATGACGAGATTTTGACCATGTTAGGTACATACGCGCACCTCACATGTTTTCATCGGCCTACACACGGTCACGCCGACTCAACGGAAGCCGTTTGGAGTGAGATTGCCAGCACAGAGGTTGACACCTGAAATTATGCACCCCACAGTCTAGGGCAGGCTGAGCTAGGCCAAATTTGATTCATCGCATTTGTCGGATGACGAGACTCGGAATGACCATGGCTACCACGAAGCAGCCTGCGCAGAGAAGTCAGTACCACCGCCTCAATAGCCACATATGACAGTCTCACCTGATGTGCCTGCGTCTGTCTCAGGCCCAACAATGATATTCAGTCAAGACACCACCATTCAAAGGACAAATGCACAGCAAAATCTAGCTGAATTCTGCGATGTTCGGAGCATGATAAATGAGCGCCTAGTGAAGTCCTAGGGCCGGGACGTGCAGCAGCTGTGGCAAGCGGTCGTGCGGCAATAAAAAAGAGAAGAAGACAATTGGACACTCCTAGAGTCACCTCTTAAAGCCAGGAGACGATCTGCAGTTTCAAGGAAGCTTGTCCACCAGATTAGGGCGGAGATGCGGATCGACATGTTGATAGACGGGGATGCTAAGACTGACATGCATAGCGACTCAAGAATCAGCACTGCGTTCTGACAGTGGGCGTATCACAAAGTTCACAGCAACCATAGGACAGTCGCAGATCCTTAGCTGAATTATAGTGAACTTGGTATGGTTTAGCCATTCATATGAAGGGAAATCAGTGGCGGGTATTCATAATCTTACGCAAGCTGGTGTGCGTCATAGCCCCTCGAGTCTTTGAGGAATTTTCGGAGCTTGCTCACCCGGTACGTAGACTCCCGCCACCTCCAGATCTCGGGCATAACTGATGTTATGGTATAGGTATAAGCTGGGTATACGTTTCAGCAGACATGCGAGACGTGGAAGTGATGAGACGATGGCCACCAAGGGATGTATTCGCCTCTGAGCGGAGGTCGAACCGGATAGTCAGTTGGCACCGGAGTTGGACCAACGGTAGACATCCGTATGTGGGGACGCAAGCAAATCCCAGTAGACCTGAACAGACATACCATATGTCAGCATTACGCCCGCACCTCCTTTTTCTGCATCTTTGCGGGACGATGAGGATAAGAAGATAATTGGATGGTAAGTCACAGGCAGCGAGCTGGGTGGGACCGAAATGAGGGTCGGCCAGAGCACAGCCATCGCACGAGAGCCACGCGGATGCCACCGAGTCATGCCTGCGTTGCCGTCAAGCTGCGAAGTGACCACTGTGACGTTCGCGCAGGGTTGTTTTAACTCGGTAATACCACCGAAAAAGTTATGATTTAAACAAAGTAAACCTGTTGATTTCCACCGAACCGGATGAATTCTACCCTACGACTGGGTTGCACCAGGGGTGTGGACTTAAGACGAACATGAAAAGATCCAGCAGGTTCAAAACCAATGAATTACGGCTGAATATCAAACCTAAATCATTGGTCACTGGTGTGATCGATTCCTCGCTTTCTTGACATATCGGGCATTTTCTCAGTTGACTTAAATTTATTATACTTTGTAGATACGGTACAACAGATATAGTACAGGGGCAGCGAACGCGAGCTACGTGAAGGTGAAGGTAGCGCTATGAACATGGTGTGAATATATGCGCATACATGAAGGACAAGACTGTTGTTCCACCTACCAACAACATAGTGTCTTGGTGTCACCTAACCGGCAGGCACGTCAACTCTGGTAGGCATAGCGAGAAAGGCTCGAAAATGACCACAGGGCCAAAAGCTCACCATATCCTCTGACTGACCCCACAGTGAAGTTACACTACTCACCTTGGAGAACTCGTTGATGCCGCACATGCAAGCCCAGCAAGCTGAGCTCCGGGCTCAGTCAGGGCTCATACTGTAAGGAATAGAAAGAGAAGCCAATATATCGCCCTTGTATCCCAGTAGCAAAAGTCGACGGAAACCTCGGGCAGGCGGTGGTGGCGGATGAGCAGAAAAAACGTCGAGGCACAAGCGCTGTTGCGGGGCCAGGCTGACGCCATATTTGGCGCCGGTACTCATACCCACACAGTACTGTATGAACGCCCTTTACAATTAATGCAGTTTTGCGGGTGGTAAATATGACACCTTATTTCGGTATGACTCGGCATTACCTCGCAAAACTGATGAAAACACAAATTCACCCGCGCGCGTGGTGATTTCAGGTCCCCGCGAACTTCACAGCGCATCTCGTCGGTATGCGTTACAATCCATTGCACTGTACGGCTCCTACCAACTTTCCGCCTTTGCCTCGCTTCTCGACACCGCCGTTGACGCCGAGGACCGCCGCGTCTGCCATCTTTACTTGACGGACCGTCGTCACGTCTGGATGGAGTATCTCCCCGGTCAAGATCACGAGCAGTGACTCAAGGAGTGCATCATAGAGGGCTTTCATGTCAACGATCCCTCTCAGGAACACTCTACCGACGTCATTCTACGCATCCTGAAAGCTGCTACACTCCAGACGCTCGCCCTACTCCTCTTTGACCGGTATGACCAGCCGCCGCTTACCGACGCCATCCGCCTTCCAAACCTTGAAGAGCTCGCCGTGCACAGTTCGAGCTTGTACTCCCATCTCACTCAGCCGCAGCTCCCAGAATGCTTATCTCTGCGGCGCCTCCACGTGATCCAGGACTTCACCTGGCCCACACCGTCGACTGAGGCAGTCTCGCGCCTCTCTCCGCTCCTCACACATCTCAGATTGTCTCGGATCAGAGTCTCGAGAAAAAACACACTCAGAGACATCGTACAGGGTCTTGAGCGGATGCTTCAGCAGGATGACCTCGCATCTACCGGATTCCCGCCCACTCTCAAGCGGGTACTGGTGCAGATGCAGCACCCATTTCTGTACTACTCTACGACGGTTGCGAACGAGGTGTGCTCTCTCTTCCACCCTCGGCTGTCACGTTTACTCACCGCCTAAATTGTAATAGCTGTTGGTGTTGTCATTCGGACAGCAGTTGAACAACATTATGATGCGCGACGTTCGCCGAAGGATCGTGGTCCTCAAGCCTGCCACATTGGAACCTATCGAGCCGTCGACAACACATAACGAGTCTAACGTAGTATTCTACATGGGCATCAGGGCAGCGTGGGAGCGGCGCGGGGCGGACTTGGAAGCGGCAGTGTGGGATATCGACCCGTCTTCCATCCTACATAGGTGCATGGGAATGATGCGCGCGCTCTACCTGATATTGCGATTAGCCTTCCTAATCGTCCATGTCATTGCAGATCCTGACATCAGACTGTATTTCTAAAGGCGAATCATGTGTCCCCCGTAGCCCAATAAACATCATGCAAGCTGCACAGCGCAAGAGGCTCTGTGCATTAGGGCAGCCCCCGGTAGCATATTCGCCCAGGCGTCGCACGGTCTCCCAGTCGGTGGTGATACGATCTCTGGTTAAAAAGCAGGTACCGCCGAGCTCGCTGGTGACTACTAGTGATCCCCTCCAAGACAATAGACCGAGATCTATGTAGCTCAAGCTCGATCACCGCTGTTGCCATCGCGGAGGCAGGCACGGTGTTAGAAGTTAGGCTCCCGGGGCTTTCGGTTGTACTCAACCTGACAGCGATGACCTTGGGGACCTTGAACAGTATTGTACATTTACTGCAGTATTCACCAAATCTGAATTGACATAGCTAGACAGCAGTCTGACTAGCCCGACATCTCATGAGCTGAGTACGTGACAGGTCGTGTACATTCAAGAGGGGCATACTCGATGGTAGGAGTGTACAGGTCGTATGTCGTGGGGGAGACGTAGTGCTACGAGACTCGAAATACAAGCATGCAGAACGCGACTGGTAAGAAGGGTGCATGTGTATTGAGGACATGAATGGACGGCGAAAGGAAGGCGGTGTGAAGCAATTCGTACAGCTGGGTACCATCAAACCCCGAAGGAAACATAACGGTCCGCCAAAGGAAGCAGGTGAAGCTGAGTGGTCGAAAGTCGAAGTTGTAAGTCGAAGTCAGATGTCAATATGCTGATGGTCTATCATGCGTATAGGAGCATGTGAATCAATGTGGTGTCGCAGCGAGCCAAGGATAGGATGCGCTTGAGAAGCTAGTAATGAACAGTCAGCTGTCATTGTAGCTAAAAATTGATTGCAAGATGCGTACGGGTCAGGACATCATGGTGTAGTCGAATGTCTTAGGCCACAATGCAGCCAGAGTGGACGCCAGTGGTACCGATCACCCCAAAGGGTTGATCGTAGTCGATGAATGTCTCGTCGCCGTCGGCGGGTGAGAGCGAGGAGCTCTCGGTGATGATGGGAGTAGCGATGGTGAAGAAAGCGTCCATGGCTGCTGATAATAGTAAGCCGTGCAACGATGAGGATGTCGGGCTGACTGACCTATGATGAGGGAGCTGCTCTCCGTTATATAGGCATGGACTGCTCCTCACGGAGGCAAGAACGCAGACGGACGTTATAACTGCGAACAATAGTAGGAGACCGGATGTAGTGCTCATCAGACACAGAGTCGCATGACGGTAATAACGGGAGCTTAGCTGAGCAAACGGCCAGTATGCTTGGCTTCCTATGCATAGTTTGTGTGACGTTTCAATGAATGACAGTACTGACCGAGTGCCATTGCTAGCTATTGAGGACGTAGGAATGCGAAGCCGGCCGCGGCATTGACCTAGAACTCGCATAGACCTGATCATCACATCTGACCTGTACCTACGTACTCTTTGTTGAAGAAAGTGAGTTTACCCACATGCTGAGGTGTCCAGACACTACGCTATTGTCTAGCAGCAAAATCGCCCACCATGTATGTCAAGAGACGTCCATTTCCAGCGCACCCAAGATAGATATACTCCTATAACTGGATCCCGGCACAGAATCCTGAAAGCATCTTTGACAGTTCGTCCCCTGCGCATACAAAGTGGGATCGGGACTTTGAGCTTAGTGTGACTTGAGTCGAGGATGTCGCGGAAGACAAAAGCGAAAGAAGCGCTCAGGCATGGCGAAGTGCTTTTGCTTCTGAATAGGAGGCTTGATTACCCTCGACTGCGAAAGAGCGGGCGACGAGCGAGTAACTCGGGCACGTTTGGCTCGAGAAAAGGAGATCTCGTTGCGAACGCGTACCGGCGTACAGTACAGTGAGCGCGACGCTTATATACCAAAACCCTATCAACGGCGGGAAAAACTTCACGTCATCGCTCACCGAAGCGCCCACAAGCCAGCATGCGATTCTGACAGACCCAAGCAGCTATCAGTGAATCCACTTACCAGTGTTATATCACGGTAGTGTCTTCGGAAAGCTTTGGTACGATGACAGGGACTCGCAGGAATTCGCAGTCTGCTTAAGTATGGCCCGGGGACACCTCCCCAAACCCCGAAGGTGACGCGCGAAAGTTTGTTCAACGTTAGGATTACTGGGGTTAGTACGCTGGTGAGACAGAAGATTACCATACACCGAATCACGAATGAAGTCTCTGCTAGCAACGCTCGTCCCACACATGACAAAATACATTACACTTCATCCTTTTGCTCCTCTGTATCGAGAGCGTCCGGGACTACCGCCTCACCGATTGACCCAATGACACGATCAAAATATAGCGTCGATGCTTGCTGCGTCACGACAATCGTTGACAGATCCATTGTCTGATATCTGGCCGCCTGAAGGTCCAACATGAAGCGCCAGACGAGGATGGCGTTCATCCTGTCAGCACCATTCCGAGCCCACGGGCGTAATACTCAGTAATGATTCAGACACACTATTGGGGGAACAACGTACGGTTCTGTAACCTGAATAATATCACTGACATTCCCGTTCCCCACGTTGATGAGCACCTGGTACACAGGGATTCAGTGCAATACTTGATGATGATGAAACGCCACACTCACCGAACTTGTCGAGAATGCCAGGTGCATGACGTTCATTGTCAGTAGCACCCTGTGCAGCATGTTCTGTGAGCCGGTAAGTTAAATGTGGTCGATATCGAGAACAGCATTTACAGGAAGTACACCATGCCGTCTCGCAAGAGTAAGACCGACAACGTCATGCGGCTCTGATGCCCAGCCGCACGCGCCAGCTTGGTCGTCTTGTACGTGGCCAACCATGTGACAACGATGACGATGAGGTCAGCGACGATGAGCGAGCTACGGCTTATGACAGTGACTGCAATAGTCACGGTATTAGCATGAAGCCCATGGTAGTGGGTTGGTTGTCGTACACCTGTGAGTGATTGGTCAGTTGCCGTCATATTGGTCTAGCAAGAACGCGCACTGACTTCGTAGAGAGGGCTGGTGACTCGGCATTAGCTTGCTCGCAACCCCATACAGGATCAATTGCAATGGACGACCAGTGAAAATCAGCCTACAGATTCCAATGAATAAGAGCGCGACACCACGAAAGCGCGTATGATTTCGGACTCACGAAATTGATCGCAACAGGGCCCACGGACAATAACAAGACTGTGAGACCGAGGATCCAGTTTCTGTCGGTCAATGCGAACACTCGTAGTGCTGAGAACGCTGAACTGGTATAAGCCTGGAATACACGAGGCGAAACCAAAGGACGCGGCCTCACCTCCCCAGGGAACGTAGCATAAGATCTCCACTGCTCGTGTTCCATTGGCCCATTGAGCACAGCTGTTAAGCATATTTGTAAATAACAGGCCACGACGACTAGCGAAGTGTATACCTCTACAGGCTTGGTCAGCGACAAGAGCCGGTAATGTTGACTAGCAACTTACGTGCAGAGTGAATGGCCATAGGTCCCGTAAGAGAGATAGGTTATATAACAGCACGACATAGCGATTTGTGAAGAAAAGGACAGATGCTCCCGTAATGTCCTTCCTCCAGAATAGCTCGACTTCAGCGCCTACTGTTATAAGATATTCGTATAGAATTAGGGCTAGAACGTGCAGACACCAGTCAGTGAGAGGTACTAGGACCTAGGGCTGGACCAACCGAAGGTGGCATAACCAGTATAATTTGAAGCCGCACTTCGGCCACGCCATCGTCAGCCAAAATCAATACTCAAGATCGACATGTGAGTGCTCACAATGAGTCGTGTTCCAGAATGGTCGCCGCAATGTCCGAGTCCGCCATCCTGCCAGCCCCCAGTATTGTGTGGGGCGAGAGGGGATGGGCCCGGAGGAAACGAATCGTGGTGATCCTGTCCCGACTACATGAGCGGGCCACAGACGCTGAACGTCAACCCTAGGCCTGCTGCCATGGAATCAGGTGAACACGTTTTCCAATAAGGTGCTTGGTGAGGGCGCTGCATTTCATAATGTAGCTATTAGCACTGACGTGTCAAAACAGCCATGGGAACATTGAGGCGATGCGGCGATCTTTGTACATGCGCGCTCCGAGGCGGGACAGAACGCATGAAGTACCATCCAAGCGATCCTAGACTCCTAGTACAAGCAACGCACATAACGGATCCAAGTTCGAAGGTGGTGCTGAACCTCAGCCCTCCATGGTGCACCTAGCTATGAAGAGCAAAGTTCGAGGCTGAGCGCAGTGCGCAGTGCGACAAGTCTATTGGTGCCGTTCCGGATGCCTAGCTAGAAGACCCAACGGGAGACAGCACCCATCACTTGGAGCTTGATAGAGGCTGGGAGGACAGCATTACGGTACTTGCGGTATCTGCTCCGCCTGTTTCCGGATCCAGATCTACCTTGAGAATAACCGTTTGATCCCGTCAAGTCCCAGATGTGCAGTCCATTACGGAAGATGAGTACTCAGAAAGGCAGTCTAACAAAAAGCAAACACCCAAAAAGTGGTTGCATCCACAGAGGTAAGTATCTGTCGTGGAAAACCGGAACAGGAATTCCCACGGGTGTAGGCGCGCGAGCAGAGTTGCGCTCATCGTGTCGGTCGTCCGCCAGCACCTCACCTTCATCGTCCATGGCCTCTAGGATTGCCGTCTCTTCCCTCCGGGCGTCAGGTACACACCATCTTTACAATTTCAACGTGTCTTCGTCTTACATTAGATGGTGCAGCCTCCCGAGTCAGGCCTCAGGCCGTCTCCGCTGTCCCCCGGGTCCTCGCCGCGTGAGTTACGACTGTCACTTTTCCATCCGAGGTTTGTCTCATAGGAGATCTCATATGGCTATTGCCTGGATGCGTATGTAGTCGGGGTATGGCCAGCTCGTCCAAACCCCCACCGGAAGAGCGCGCCGCGGAAATCATCAACACCCTTCCTTCATCCCCCAACCTCATCACGAAAACCGGCTCCGTCGTCCTTGGCACGGGTCTCCTTGCTACCGCCATCTCCCAGGAGCTATACGTCGTGAACGAGGAGACCGTTATTGCTGCTGGTTTCTTTATCCTCATCTCGTTCATCTACAAGGTATGTCTTACATCACGTCACGTCCCGCTTCACCCTCCCCGTACTACAAGGCTGCTCCATGCGGACGCGCTCCTAGAAACGGATTGCCGTTTATGTCGTAACAGGCGTCGCGTAATAGAGGGAACAGGACCGAACATGGGGATCGTGGAATGCTGGTTCGGTTTGTGCAGCCGCCCTTTTCGGACCAATTGAGATCTCCGCATCTTCTCCCATATACTGGTAACGATTGATCAGTTGGCAACACTTGCTGATACCTATTCCTCGACAGGCGGTGAAGGAGCCCTACAAGGATTGGGCTGAGGGCCACATCAAGCGTGTCCGTGACATCCTCTACGCGTCACGCGCTGAGCACACCCAGGTGGTCAAGGACCGTATCCAGTCTGTTGAGCAGATGAAGGATGTTGTCTCCGTCACCGAGGGTCTCTTTGCGCTCTCCAAGGTAAATCTTCTCTCCTCGTCAACCCTCCCATCCTACATGCCGCCCCCGTTGTTCCTGTCCGTTCTTCCATATCTCTTTCCATACTCTTCACCTAATCCTTCTGATCCTCCACGCTACCCATGACACCTAAATCGCGCGTTGATGTATGCTGAAATGGCATCTTACCCCCGGACAGGAGACCGCGCAGCTCGAGTCTGAGGCGTTCGTCCAGCGCCAGAAGGTCGCGCTCGCCGCGGAGGTTAAGGCTGTTCTCGATTCGTGGGTCCGCTTTGAGCAGCAGGCCAAGGAGAGCGAGCAAGCCGAGCTCGTCAAATCTGTCGTCGACTCCGTCCTCAAGAGCCTTAGCAACGAGAAGACGCAAAAGGACATCCTCGCCTCCGCTGTCGTTGAGATCGAGCGTACGTGTCTCATTTCGTTGGGGTTTTCCATCTCTCTCCTTGAATGCCTAACTGCTACAATGCTCCGTTTTGGTCTGACATCTTATGATTTGGCCTCAATGCTGATGAATTATTTCTATCTGCACAGAGCTCGTCAAGAACAAGGCTATTTAGATTATCGCCATTGTTCGGAATGTCATGTAGAGCGGTACATCGGCCCAATGAACCACTTATGCTTACGGTTCCGTCATGGGCCGGTAGCGAATGATAAATATTCTGGTCAAGACGCAGCTACTCTTCATGAGACTACACAAGATCCTCGATGCGAACGCCGGTGTTGACCCGCATGATGGCACGAACGCAATCTGTTGGTTAGGACGATTGAGACCACTCGCCCTCTGCATCAATAGAGGCGCTGTCCTTGTTACAAGCTTGCCCGACCTTGAGAAGGTCCACTGAGTTCTTGGCGAGATTGCAAGTTGGCCAGCTCCGGTTGCCCCAGCTCCGGAAGATGTCCAAAAAGTGTATGATCATGAAGCGTGGGTTAAGGGGTTGTGGCCTGTCAACGACTCAACCACGATGCAGGGACGTCCCGATTCCGCTCGACCGGCTCCAGACGGGATCTTCGAGTAGGCTGCCGCTTCCTGAAGAGCTACAGCGCAGGGGAGACGCTGTGGCGCACTGGGGCCGCATAGCTGGTTGTATTCTTCGGTATCGATGGCAGTGTAGTGCGCAGATGCTTGCAAGCTCTCGCAGCAAAGTCGTCAGTGCCTTGTTGAGCGCTTGTGCCGGCCCTTGAAAGCTTGAACGTCAGCCGGCCGAGGCCTTGCACCTGACCGCCACCGACCCCGTTGGCGCGAGCTGCGGCCTCTTTAGAGCAGAACTATCGGAGCTTGGGATGTTGATCGAGGGCCGAATGTCGAGGCTCTCGCCTCGGTCAGAGCAGACAGACGAAGGACCCGAGCGAAGTAGGGCTCGGCTCGGACAGCGTAACGGGAGTGTCACCGGCTGAGCTGAGGATGTGATATGTAAACCGGTGTGTATTGAGCGAGCCCTTGCGACAGAACTCTTGCCAGGCGTACGAATCGTTAAGTGACATTATGTTATGGAATACTAACTGGCATTCAAAGCCGGCAGATTGTATACATCCTATCATACAGGGAGATATATTAGCCAGAAGACAGCTAGCCTTCATCAGAACGTTCGACGCCTTCCTCGACACTAGTCAGCGGCGTACCGGTGTCGTGCTTGACACATTTATTCAAGCTGCGACGACTCGCTCTGTGACGACTCGAAGGCGTTGTCCTTGCTAGGGGCCAGGCCGACCTTTTTGAAGAGGTCTTGAGAGCTCCTAATGCAGTCGCTGCGTCGCCACTGAATAGTCCCCCATTTGCGAAAAAACCGAAGGAGCTCCATGTAGTCATGCAGGGTCAGACGAGGAGGGACGAGAGGCTCGAAATCAATCAGGGCCTCCGGCACATCGCCGTCCATCTCCAAGTCGCCGCCCGCGGGATCGTACGAGGTAGGTGGTACAGCGGGCGCACGGTCCTGCTGGGGTGCTGTCAAGATCTGAGGAGCAGGGTTATAGCGTCGGTCGTACTCCTCTACATCAATGGTAGCATAATGAGCCGCGGTGATCTTGGCGAGCTCTTGAAGCAGAGCCTGTAGCATTTTGTTGTTGCTCGGCGTGATCATGGAGTGGGGATTACACATCTGTGAAAACTTCATGAATCCGCCGACATACGCGCCGTCCTCGACACGTTTCTCCACTTGTCCGTATGTCATGTTGACGCATTCGACGAGTACACCTGAGTATTGCGTCGCGTGGAAGCGGAGAACACAGTAGTGATAGACATGCACAAACGACTCGATGTCGTCTGACACTGTATAAGGTTTGGTCGGCCACCTCTTGGACACCGCAGAGCGAAAGTACCAGGTACCCTGATGATGATATTGAGCACAAGCTGAAGACCATGAAATTGTAGGGAGCTCACCACGCCGTCTGGCTTCTGCGGACCAGAGCCAGAATCCATGTCCTCCTTGTATTTGGCTAGGTCCCAGTCGGTTAGAAGACCCTTGAGCGTGGCTTGTCCCTCGTCGTTGTGTGTCTCGTAGATGAGAATGTTGTTATAGCTCACGTCCCGGTGAAGGACCCCGGCCTTCACCCAAGCATCGCGGTGCGCTGCATATCCATATCCTATCAGGAAAGAGTAGGCAGGGCATATCGAAATTGACGTACCAGACAATGCGTCACCAAGTATCAACGCGAGGTCCCGGTAGTCTTGAAAATCTGAAAGGGGCCGGCATACTTCCTTCAGGAGGATACGATAATGGCCTCGCAGAGATGGTTCCGACGGCACATATACGCCCGCCCTGGTCTGCTGCCATACGCCCGCCTGGCCCAAGACGTCTTCTCCTCCTAGACACGTAAGAATGTACTCCATGACTCCCTGAGCCGCCAGCCGTGCATACACCTCGTACTCCGGACGGCATTTTGAAAGGACGCGGCGCCAGGAATCTTTCAGATACCGGACGGAATAGATCGTGCTCCCGTCTTCATCAGTCTCCCTTTCGATGGCGACGTAGCCCCGAGTGCAGCGTCCACATGGAGAGCGACTCGTGAAGGCAGCCCTTCCAACATAGAGCATCTTACCCTTGAACGTAACCTCGTACGTCGGCCATTCGGCAGATGACGACGAGTTCGTGGTCGGATCCCAACAGAGCGCTTCGCAGACCAGCTTCCGGAGATACTCCGTAGGCACGGCGGCCGCCCAAGCCCTCAGATCGTCCACCACGCTTTCGTCGGCAAGGACAGCAGTGGGATCGAAGCCTAGCTGTTCGCGGGACATGCCTGCGAGTCGATAGAAGAAGCGCTGGAACGTGGTATCGGCCTTCGTCCCGTAGTGGAAGGGTGTGGATACAACACCGCCAGAGCGATCGAAGAAGCAGATACGGGCTTGATCGCGGTAGACATAGAGCGCGTAGATGTGGGTGCGGTGCTGGTGTGCAAAAATGGTGGCGGCGTCCTCAATGAATTGGTCAAACGCTTTCTGACCATTATCGGCATGATCGCGGACGAAACGCGAGTCTGGATCCTTGTAATCGAAAGCGCAGTGCCGATGCTTGTGCTTGACCTCTATCAGCCCAACGATGGTCGCCCAGGCTGGTTGCCCTACGCAGTGGCCGGCATTCTGGCTGTCAATGCCCATGTCGGAATTTTCCCCTGAGACGTCGGTTTCAGTGTCAGCGACGGTTCGAAGACGACGGTTGTCAATTTCAATCGCGCAACTAGACCCGGATCGCCTCTTGGTATTCTCACGACCCGTTCCTCTATCTTGCCAGCCTGAGATATCGCGAACAACCAACTTCGAAGACATCTGGGCACGAACAATGGTCGCGTTTGCCATGTCACACTTGTACACGATTGAGAATCAACAACAATAAGACACTGAAGAGTTGACTCACGATGATGGAGCTCATATCGCTTTCCTCCGCCGCATTTGCGTTACGTCCGTCATAGTAACAATGCTCCAGATAGGAAGCGCTAGGATCTTCTCCGGGAATCAAGTCCTCGAACATCTTCTCGAGCTTGATTTCTACTACGTCGCCACAGTCCGTCATATCTACAAGACAAAACCGGTACTATAAGTACACGGAATATCTCCAGCTCCCGTTGCATGTCTTACTTACCTGATTTCAATGACGAATCCAGTGTCCACAGACTTGAGTCGTCGTACCCAGGTAGTCTCAGGTAGCGTGTGCACTCACCAGTTTTGCAGCGCACTGAAGGCAAGACGTCGGCGCTCGAGTTGGTTGAACTTCCTCGCGTGCGCCAAATCCCGATCGGTCAGCGGGCCGAGGCCGTGCACCTCCATCGCTGACACAGGCGAAGGTTTCCCCAAGCAGCGTACAGATGTTATGGAACACTAGTTTATTCTGCACTTGAAGTAAAGCCGACAAATACCATACATCCTATCATACAGCGGGAGGCTTCCCCCAACCACGCAGCTATGATTCATCTAGACGCTCGACATTTTCGGACACGCTAGTCAGTGGCGTGCCGGTGTTGTGCTTGCGGCGCTTGACCGCACGAGACTGCGACGACTCGCTCTGTGACGACCCGAAGGCATTGTCCTTGCTAGGGGCCAGGCCAACGTTTTTGAAGAGATCTTCCGAACTCCTGACACAATCTCTGTCTCGCCACTGGATGGTGCCCCATTCCCGGAAGAAATTGAGGAGCTCCGAGTGATCCTGGAGGGTGGGACGAGGCTGAGGAGTGATGCGATGCTGCGCACCGATGAAAATCTCCGGCACATGAACAACATCCGAGTCACCGTCCGCAGGGTCTCCCCTGGTAGTTGACATAGCTGGCCCAGTTCCCTCAGGCACAGGAGTGTACAGCCGGTCAAATTCCTCCGCATCGATGGTGGCGTAGTGGGTGGCGCAAATTCCTGCGAGGAGTTCGAGCAGAGTCCGCAGGGTCTCATTATTGCGAGGACTGATCACGGAGTGGGGAATACGCATCTGTTCAAACTTCACAAATCCGCCGACATACGCGCCATCCTCGGCGCGTCTCTCCACGTATTCGTACGTCGAACGGATGGTATCCATGAGGGTTTTCGATTGAGCCGTTTCATGGAAGCGGAGGACACAGTAGTGATAGACGTGCACAAACGATTCAATGTCGTCCGACACTGCGTAAGGTTTCCTTGGATATCTCTGAGACACCGCAGAACGGAAGTACCAGGTGCCCTATTGAGACATGAGCACAGGTTGAATTCTGCGGCAGAGAAGGATACACACTGTGCGATCTGGCTGCCTCGGGCCGAAACCGGGAATCATATACTCCTTGTACTTCGACAAATCCCAGTCCGCCAACAGTCCCTTGCGGATGATATCCCCGTTGTCGTTCTTCGTCTCGTATATGAGGATGTTGTTATAGCTCACGTCGCGATGAAGGACGTCGGCTTTCTCCCAGGAATCCTGATGCGCTGGATATCCTGTAAGAAAACAGGTATCGCATATTGAAAATGACGTACCAGACAATGCGTGACCAAGTATCATCGCGAGGTCCCGATAGTCTTTGAAATCCGAGAGTGGACGGCATACCTCTTTCAGGAGTATACGATAGTGACCTCGCTGTAGGGGCTTCGACGGCAGAAGCTCGCCGGTCCTGGTCTGCTGCCACGCGCCTGCCACACCCAAGACATCTTCCCCACCTAGACACGTCGGGATGTACTCGACAACTCCCCTAGACCTAAGGCGCTCGTACACCTCATGCTCCGGATGGACGTTCGGGTGATCGTTCCGCCAGGAGTCTTTCAGATAGCGGATCGAATACGTGACGCTGCCGTCTTCTCCAGTCTCCTTTTCGATGGCGACGTAGCCCCGAGTGCAGCGCCCAAACAGAGAGAGGTTCGAAAACGCAGGTTTGCCGACGTAGAGCGTCTTGCCCTTGAACGTAACCTCGTGCGTCGGCCATTCGGCAGATGAAGACGAGTTCGTGGCCGGATCCCAACAGAGCGCTTCGCAGGCCAGCTTCCGGAGATACTCCGTAGGCACGGCGGCCGCCCAAGCCCTCAGATCGTCCACCACGCTTTCGTCGGCAAGGACAGCAGTGGGATCGAAGCCTAGCTGTTCGCGGGACATGCCTGCGAGTCGATAGAAGAAGCGCTGGAAGGTGGTATCGTCGGTCGTCCCGTAGTGGAAGGGTGTGGATACAATACCGCCAGAGCGATCGAAGAAGCAGATACGGGCTTGATCGCGGTAGACATAGAGCGCGTAGACGTGGGTGCGGTGCTGGTGTGCGAGGATGTTGGCGACGTACTCTGCGAATTGGCCGAGGGCTTTCCTGCCACCGTCCGTGTCGTCACGCGTGAAGCGAGTGCCCGGGTTATTGAACTCAAAAGCAGAGCCCTCGTGCTTGTGCTTGGCCTCTACAAACGCAACCATATCTCCCCAGGCCCGTCGCCCTACCCAGTCCTTGCGAGCATTCTTGTCCTCCTCGCTCATCCTGCTCGTCTTCATGAAGTCATCGCGGTCCATGTCGACTATTTTCCGAGTACGCTCGTTGTCAAGGTAGACAGCGCAGTCGGACCGAGTGCCCTTCTGGGTGGACTTGCGATCTTGGCCGCTGACTTGCCAGCATGAGATGTCACGGACGACCAACGTTGGGCATACCCGCGCGTGTGCGATGGCAGAGTGGGCCATGACGCACTTACAATATGGGTAAGCACCAATCCCGAAGCTTCCTGAGATTGTTTACGCACAATTTTAGGGTTCAAGTCGCTTTCCTTCTCTACATCCGCGACGTGCGGGTCGAAATCACAGTGCGTCAGGTAGTCAGCACAGGGATCCTCTCCAGGAATGAACTCCTCAAACATCTTCTCCAGTTCGATCTCTGATAGATTGTCCGCCATTCCTTCGAAGCCGGTGTACAGAGGTCGGAGGTCCTTGTTATGCGGCTTATCGACAGAGTTACGTGTGGCGTTGGCGCTTAGTTTGGACGGTGTATTCTCCGTGTCCCCTAAAAATGGTTGCTGAGAAGGTGCCGGAGGAGGTGTACTACGAGACTGAGGTGGGGGATCCGGCGGGTTGCTGTTGACATTGCGGTCAACGGAGCCGGAGAGCTGTTCGTTAGGCTGGTGGTTGGGCATGAAGGAGATGGCTGCTTACAGAGATCGGATTCCAATCTGCGTTATATATTATATATTAGAATTACTGTGCTTGTCGATCTCTTTGTTCGACAGATCAGGCAATGTGCGGTCAGACCCGAGGTTCAGGCGTGGTCACGGAGGTAGTAGTACGGCCGCTGCCGCGTCCTTCAAGTACCTAATTTGATGAGCCGAGTCATTCTAAAGCAATGCCGTAATAGTCGTCGTAGAGCATACCCTAACGTCTCTTCCACACACTCAGATGAAGGTCGTGCTGGTAGCTCACGGTGGCGGGTTCAAGAGGCAACAGGTTAGCGCTCGAGCTGGTTGAACTTTCAGCGTCTGTCCCTTCCGAATTTGGCGCGCATGAACGGGTTAGTCGATCCGCCAGGGACTCCTCAAGTGTTTTGGACAAATGTTTATTGTCCATGGTCTAGTTGGACAGCGTACCTCGTGCCACACCTCTCACCGCTTTATGCCTACTTTGTCTCTGGCTAGTAGTATATAGGTTGAGGGCTCACAGCCCAGGATCCTTGTCCCCTCGCCCATTGGGAGCTCGCACCTCGAGCTTTCATTTTGCCCGCTGGTTGGTGCATACTACGTCGTTCGCGATGTTGCCCAATGGGGGCCACCAGCTCCTTGCTTCGTCGATCCGCTCGCCACCCCTCCGGGCAGCCGTGCCCTCTTGTCGGTCCACCCGCCCTCTGGGGTATCTTATGCGGTGATCCGCTCACTGCTTTCCCCCAACCCGGCCCCCCGCCCGGCCGCACAGCTTACTCCGTCCTCGGGCTGGCCCGCCCTCCCATGGTGAATCCGCTCGCCATCACTTTGGGCCCAGCGACGGCCCCCATTTGGGTGCAATCACTTCCCTTTGCGCCGATCCTCAAGGCCTCACGCTCAGCCTCCCGAGCCTCCGGCTCTCCGCCTCACTTTCCTTCCTGGCTTGAGCTCGGCCCACCGGTCGCGCGAGAGAGCGGTGGCGACACGGACTCGGTGGTCCCGCGCAGCTTCCGTAGAATACCATTGTTTTCCGTCCCGCCCGAGTATAGCGTGCATAGACTCGCAGAGTCGAGAGCTGGTTGTGACACTATCCCATATGGTGGCCGAATAACTTAACTCACGCATTGACACGATGTCACCGGATTCAGGGCTAGTCATATCTCATATTGAGTTGCATTGAAGCCAGCATCATCCGCCGCTCGCCCAGAGATTCGTTAATTCCTGAGACGTTCGAACAGCCTGGTCACCAGCGCAATACTACCAAACTACGAGAGTGAAGCGAATTCCAATTCAAGGCTGATTGAGTCTGAGCCCGGTTCTGATCACATACGAACCTTGCGGTCGACTGATAGCACAAAGGCAATGCCGGGTTCAGGGCTGACATAGTACAGATCTATCAATACATCACAGGTTGTACCTCCAGCTGGGATGCTCGCCATTTGGCCATCCGCTTTCGCTCCCCACTTCATCATCCCCCGATCCTCCTACCTTCTTTGCCTGATGCAGATCGCGTTTCTTATTCTCCCTGTCCAGCACCCACCACAGCGCGATCGTCACTACGATGTTTGCAGCCAGGTACCCCAAAGCGAAACTGTGTCCGAGGATATACCGCGGGCTCGTCACCGGCCTGTATAGCTGGGTCCCGATGACAGCGCCCAAGTTGCCGATGGATATCTGCATCGCGTTGACCACAGCGCGCTTGGTTTGTCCGTAGACGTTGAGAGCAGGCCACGAAAGCGCAAGTGCGACCGAGGGGTAGATTCCTGCCGCTGCAAAGAACGTCCCGACATAGCTCACTCCGGGACGTCCGGTCGGATCCGAGTTGGCGAGGAGGATGATGTAGCCAATGATGGCAACGAGCGAGGATGCGACAAGGAAGGGCGCCCGACGGTCAACACGTGCGGACCACCACGCGATGAAGCCGGTAAGGATCGTTGCGAGCGCATAGGGCGGTATAGTGAGGAGCTGGGAGTTAGCAGCGGTATAGCCGAGATCGGCGATGATGGTGGGGAGGAAGAGCGAGAATGTGTAGAGGGGGAGGGACAGCGTGTGGAATGCCAAGCAATACAGCCAGGACTTGATGTCCGTGAAGGCGCCCCAAACTGCAGACCAAGCGAATGGCTCATTGTCTGCAGCGTCGCTATCCTCCTTGAGGCGCGCCTGAATGTGCTCACGCTCGTCCTCGGTGAGGAAGCCAGCGGTAGCGGGATAGTTCGAGATGAACCAGTATGCGATCACTGAGACGACCACGGTGAGGAGACCCTCGATGATGAAGATCCAGCGCCAGCCGTTGAGACCGCCGACGCCTCGCATGTGAGCGATGCCCTGCGAAGAACGTTAGCATATGTTCATTGAGAATTCGCATAGTGGATAACGTACCCAGGCGAATATTCCACCGAAAGCACCGGCTAAAGAAGCGGCGCTGAAGAAGAGCGAGACGCGGTACTGGCGTTCACGGCGCTTGTACCACATCGAAAGGTAGAAGACGACGCCGGGGAACAGTCCGCTCTCCGCGACCCCCAGGAAGAAGCGCGCAGCGAAGAACCCTGAGAGTCCTTGCGTGACGCCAGTCAAAGTTGCCACGATACCCCATAACAAGGTCAGCGTCGGGAGCCAGAATTTGGGCGTAGTTCGCTTGAGGATAATGTTGCAAGGAACCTGCTCGCACAAACACATCAGTCGACCAATACCCTAACATCCATTTAGCGACTAACCTCGAAAAGTACATAGCCAATGAAGTACAAGGTCAGAGAGGTGAGGTACTGGTTACCAGTGATATGGAGATCTGCTGCCAGTCCCTCGATGCGAGCATTGGCGACTGTGAAGCCAAGGGAGCCGTAAGCATTTGTGTGTAGTATGCAGTACGGGGAAGAAGCGGCACAACCCACCATTGCTTCTGTCCAAGAACGAAAGAAGATACAATATAATGACGGCAGGTAGCAGGTTTGCGTCAAGTTTCCACAGAAGCTTCTTCTCCTCGACGTCTGAATAGCGCACCACGCTGGATTCGGAAGGAGCAATGAGCTCCTTTCCAGTTTGATCGACCTTCGCTTCTGCCGACATTGATATCGAGGAGTGTGACGTGGTGGCGCCGAGCGAGGCGAGGAAAGGATGCAAGAACCGCAGTGCCTGCTGATATACGAGAAAGGCTGGGAAGATATGTCGAATTACTCAGATGCGACAGAGATGGCGCAAAGCGTATCTGAAGGGCTCACCAGGTTGACATGGGTGCCATCCGCTCACGCTGGGTATCTCGGCAATACGTTGACATCCGGATGCCCGTATCTTCCTGTTAGAACCGTGAGATGGCAGATTTTACGGCACCTTCTCTTGCCAGTTCCCGTGAAGACTGCACTGTGGCGTCGTTGCGCGAGCATACAAGCGACAACCTCGTCCGATCCATGAAGATTTGCTTCTCTTGAAGTTCCTGGTTCGTGCCCTAGATAGGCGGCATCTTCACATGGATCGTGCATGCCTCCAGGTCTCATATCGAGTCGCACCCACACTGGAGAGACCAGAACGCAACAGGATCGAGCGCTTGGAGGCTTGCGACATTGAGTCCATCACTGGCGTGACGTCGCGTGCTTGACTAGAGACGCCCGAAATCAGCGGGCCGCGTCACCAGCAAAGGCGATAGGTGAGTAGTTGACCAGTATGTTTTCTATCGCGAAGGACGGACTGTGCCTGTACTAAGACTACGAAGGTCATCTTTTACCCATGAGTATCTTGTCTGAGCTGGTGAAGCCGAGCCCCGGTGTAACCAGCTGAAGCTAGAGCTGCGATACAATGACAGCAACGCAGTGTACATGAAGCCACAGCGAACACCTCAAGCATGCGTCGAACCAAGTACCAGTCACAGTCACAAGCGTTCTCACTTCTCCAGGAGCGCGAGAGGAGGTACTTTAGGTTAGGTTATGGATTTGGCACTTGTTGCGCCGAGTCTCTTGTGGCGGTGCCGATTGTGGGGCTGTGCAAGGCTTTCGACAATTGCACGAGCTGGATCACTCCGACGAGTTCGCAGGACCACAATATGTAGCAAACCACCAAGTGATGCAAGGAAGCAAGGCTAGAGTCTCGCAAACGGCAGGAACTCCCTCCACAGGCGAGGCACCTCAGCCCACAGAGGACACTAGGCATCGATACGAGATCTCTATCAAACCCAGCTGGACTCCGCTATAAACGGGGGTAAATGGGGCGCGTGTGAATCTTACTCGGATGTCTTCTGAGGACTCGGCTATGTCTATGCAGCGTATACACCGCGCCACCGGTTGTGCATACTTGACACGCACAGAGCCGCACGCTCCCTAGGACGGCGACACCATCTACCACCGCTCATTCTCCTTGCCGCGCTTCACCCATTCTGGCTGGCGTTGTTCTTTGCAACCCCCTTGTCGCACGCTCGGCTACTTCGGCAAAGTGGTTGCACACAACATCTCTTCACTGGCCTCTTGCCGTTCTCCCTCCTTGTAAAGTTGTGCTTCTCCTAGCATAAAAGCTTCCTAGGGTCTCCACTTGATACAGCAGCTCTCATCCCATCCAATTGCTACCGCTCTAAGTAATGTCAGACGGCGTTACTCAACCCACTCAGACAGCCACCCAAACCCAACTTTTGTCTCAACACCAATATGTGGAAGACACCAGTGACTTGTGGGGCTTCCTCATACCTTGCAATGCTAGTAATCCATACATCTCCCGCATCAACTTCCACAAAACGAAGTTGACATACGCAGTCGGACGAGGGCCTCACAACGATATCCATTTTCCGAAATGCCCGATCGTCAGTGAGTACTCGCAAACTGTATCGCATTGAACCGCTAAGCAACTGTGCACCTTGCCAGGCAACAAGCACTGTGTCATACAGTGGGACGGTGTCGATGACCCGTCGACTTCTGCTGTTACTGTAACAGACTACTCCAGTAATGGCACCTTCGTGAGACTACATGAGTCAGCTGTGATATCGGCGACCCGCTGACCCTGTTACAGATCAATTGTGCGAGGATCTCGGAGCCAGGTACACCGCGGAAAGCGATCCTCCACGACGGCAGTGAGATCGCTTTTGGAGCTTACGTCCCACAGGATCCTGAGAAGGCACACGTAGACTATCGTAAGTTAGATCGTACAGCTTCTTGCCTTGAATCTGAACCCACAGCGGTCAGGGTTCATCTTTCGGAAGACGCGTCCCGGCGCACCTGCCGATACGTTGGACGAGTCTTACGACATCCAGCATGTTCTTGGAAGAGGATCGTTCGCGACCGTCGTCAAAGCCCTCCACAGAACGGAGGGTCAGTGGTATGCCGTGAAGATCGTGCAGAAAAGCAGGCTTCGAAAAGGCATCATTGACGATGGACAGGAAACTCGGGAGCAGAGAGCTGTACTGCGCGAGATCGACATCATGAAACGCCTCCACCATGAGTATATTTGCAGGTACAAGGACGTCTTCATCGAGGAGAACAGCATGTGTGGGTATCATGATCTGCGCAGAGTACACTCGCCGGATGTTGACCTGTGGAATGGCACAGCTCTGGTGATGGAATATGTTGAAGGCGGCGATCTCTTAGGTTGGCTACAAGATCACGACCCGGATCGTCCTCCATGTAAGTCATTTACTACCAAAACTCCTCCAGTAACACGCGTACTCATTGCGTCGTAGCGGAGAAGGAAGTGCAATACTTCACGTACCAGATCTGCGAAGCACTTCACGTAAGCTCATATGTGGTCTACTCGTATGTTTTGCGCTGATGGTATGGAATTGCAGTACGTGCATGAACTGGATATCGCGCATCGTGATCTCAAGCTCGAGAACATTTTACTGACGAAAGATGATCCGCCGGTCATCAAGATCGCTGACTTTGGCCTGGCAAAGATGATCGATAGTGTAACATTCCTCCACGTGCGTTTCTTCACCTTGTCTCGCTGAGTGCTACGTTGAAATGATGTATGATACCAGACAATGTGCGGAACGCCGGAGTACCTCGCTCCAGAAGTTGTCACCAATAGTGCATACGACAAGGTCGTCGATAGCTGGAGTGTCGGGGTGATTGTGTTCTCGTTGTACGTGTTCCGTTCAGTGCAACCCTTCGTTCGAGTTCAGTCGGATGATCTCCAACGTCTAACATGTTTCAGGCTCACCATGCGCACACCCTTCATAGAAGTTGAGGGAGCAACTGATGTTGTAACACAAGTGACAAACCGCCAGATCGAATGGTCGTTGCTACAGACGCGCAAGGTTACTGAGCATGGTCGGTACAATGGGGAGCCTGTTTGGTCACCGCTGAACTCACGACGAACTCACATGCAGGTCAAGAATTTATAAGAGAGCTACTGAAGTACAATCCGGAGGAGCGCATGACCCTCACGGATGCGCGCAATCATGCTTGGCTTGCAGATCAAAAAGCTGCATATGAAGCGACTCAAGATCAGCCTGTAGTTTCCCAGCCATCGCAGGATACGTCAGTAGAGTTCCCTCCGGAAACTCAAGAAGACTCACAAGCACTATCCACATCATTCGATGTGTCTATGCGCTCGCTTACCCCCGGTCGCGTCGTGCCGGACGGCACCAGCATAGTCATGAATGCCGAGTCCCAGACCGAATCAATAGAGGAAGCCCGCGCAGCATCGGAAGCCAGTAGTCGCGCTGCGACCCTTGCGCATGTCCTAGCAGAGGACGCATACGATCTCCGAGCGCTCCCTTCCAGCCAGCTTGAAGACGCTGGCGCTGGCGCCGCAGGAGAGGACTTTGGCAGCAGGCCTCATCCTGTGCAGCGCCGAGCGGACATCATACGGCGGGCGCATCACAGGGGCATCAGGCTGCCAGCCCCGTCGCAGGACATGCAGGCGCGCGCCGCTGCTGAGCTCGACACTGTTGCAGGAGACCCTGCGCACGACGCTGCTGAGCCTGAGGGAGTGGAGAACGTTGGGTCATCTAGGATGCTCGTGCCAGCGTCGGCTGCGGTGGTTGCGCGCCCTAGCAAGAGGAAAGCCGTCGAGCTCGATTCCGACCCAGCATCAGCACCGCTCGGAGATAGCAATGGAGGAGACGACGAAGGAGAAGGGGCGCTTGGGAGGAGCACTTCCGGAACGGGAAGTGGAGCGAAAAAGACAAGAAGAGGAACAAGAGCTGCAAAGCGATCACCCTCCACGAAAAAGGCTCGCACCGGTCGCTCATCACCAACACCCTCAGACGATCAAGAGGTGTCGGAACCAACTATAGGCCGGAGGCGGTCGAGTCGTTTAGCTTCTCCGACGAAGCTTAAGTCTGCGCACAAGACTTAGCGCATGCGTCTTCTTGCGCGCATACAGGACATCTGAACGATGGCGTCCTGTATACCTTGCTTTGCCGTTGTTTCGTCCAATGCGCTATATAGTTCTCCCTACTATCTGTTATCTCGCTCTTGATGGAGACTCGGAGGACGGTCACCAATGCCTTCGAACAGCCTCTCAAAGCGTTCTTCTCGCCGAAACATTGCGAACTATTGATGTGCATTATGGATAAATACATAGAAACTACAGACCTCACAAGCTCACTACAGGTTACAAACAAGATTATTCCAAGCAGTTCAGATACGTCGACACACGGCACATCAAGCGACGGAACTGCGATGATAGTAAGCGATAGAGTACGATAACTTAGCAAAAAAAAGGTCGGCTTAGTAGTGGGTTTCATTCCCAGCGTAGAAAATCGGGCAGAGCTCCCGCCAGGCCTCGGGGACCGGATTGACTGCAGGAACATCATCGGTATCCTCGGCGAAGACGATGGCGAAGCCGGCCTGCAGATGCCAGTCGATATGGCAGTGCAGGAACCAAGGACCTGGGTTATCGGTCTACATCGGCGTCACGAATCAGTGATATTTGCTTGTCGTAGACTGATAGGGGGTCAGAGCGTACCTCGAAGCGGATGGTGACGTTGTCGCCGGGCCCCCCAGTGCTCACGACGTCGCGGCGGACGGGGTTCGCGTAGTTGTAGGAGTCACTGCCAGCACTGCGAATGACGGAGAAGGAATGCTGCGGTGTCGAAGATCCAGTGAGCAAGAGAGACAGCGAGAGGGATCTATTGCTACTTACGCCGTGTAGGTGGAAAGGATGCGGGTCACCGACGAGCAGTGGACCGTTGGTGAAGGAAAGCTCGATAGAGGAGTGTGGTGGCAGAGAGTACACGCTCCCATTGGGTAGCAGGGATTGGGCCGACTTATTGCCACTCAAGATCTGGAGGAGGACTGGGAGTTGAGGAGGGATGAATGGGACATTGTTGATCGTGAAGCTGGGCTGATATTACGGGAAGACTCAGAGCCGGCAATATATAGACCCAAAAGAGTAGACGTACAGCTTCGAAGTTCAGGTGCAAGTTGCGTGCATAGTCGACACCACCCGGGTAAGGTTTCCCAGGCTATGCTTATGTCAGCAGGTTACATGCATAGAAAGGAGCGATACTGACAGCAGCGGGGTCGGTCAGAGGATGAAGGTCCGTCTCCGCGAGAGGATGCTGGCTGGGCGTTTGGGTGGTGTTGGGCTCCGTCTGGCACGGCGCGAACCCAATAGTTCCCGACGGTCTGGTTCGCATTGAGCTAGAGAGCGACTGAGCAAATATGATAGTGTGTCACAGACGAGAGACATACGACAATGGAATAACGCTGGCCGGCGTAGATGACCAAGGAATCAACACTAAGGGGCTGCGTGTTCTCCCCATCTGCTTCGATGACCGAAAAGGAGTGGTTATCGATGGTAAAGTTGTAGTAGGGGTCGCATGCGATGTTCACCAGCCGGAAACGGTACCTAAGATGACATTCAGTACCAGTCATGTACAAGGCAAAGCATGTACTAACCGCTTTCCGTGCTCCACGGTTATGACAGCAAGCTCAGAGGTCGGGCTCCCGATGTAGCGACCCAACCCATTGATGAGGGTGGAATCCGGGGTCCTGTAGAAGCGATTAGGCTCATGAATGACTCAGGATATAGTATGACATACGGTTTCGTCGTCTGTACGGTAACAGCAGCTTGATGGTACCAATCAGCCAGAGTGATGACGGTGTCCTCTATGAGATACCGTTCCGAATTAGCGTCATGCTCTCAAAATGATCACCCGACAGCGACTGACCATTGTCGACGTCGTACAGGTGCTTGTGGGGATCATGAGGATCGTACACCACCAATGGCCCGCGAAGGCCATCGCAGTACTGTGTCATGAGGTGGCTGTGATACCAGAACGTCCCTGGATTCGAGTTAGTCTCGTCATTCAAACAGTGACGCCGTATGCGCTTGTTTACTCACCTGCTTGGTCCGGAACGTGGAAGTTGTACAGGAACGAATGGTCCTTCGTGATGGGACACTGCGTCACGGACGCGCTTCCGTCCGCCCAATTAGTCGTGTGCTGGAATAGACCGTGCCAATGCTAAGCAGTGTCAGAGCGTGCTCTACCCGACAAATCCCTAAGGTTCAAGTTATAATTCTACTCACGATACTGGTCGCAGTCAGCATGGTCTCGTTCTCAAGCTTGTCGATGACGTTAATACGGAAGTTATCTCCCTGGAGATGAAGGCATTGAAGTGAGTGCACCTTGGCTGGCGATCACATGCGCGTCGAAGACGTACCTTGTTTCCCTTGATGAGAGGGCCAGGGAAGGTGCCACCGGCCAGGACAGCGGGGCGAATCGAGCCATCGGGCGAAATGTCCTTGTTTGCGATGACTAGGTCAGTGACGGGCCCAATTGAGGCCAAAGCGCCACTGCCGAGTGCGAATAGAAATGCAATATTACGAAAGAGTATACGAGACATGACTACAGGAGAAGAATGGAAGGTGAAGGAAAGTGAAAGGGAAGATTGTTGGATGGGGAGGAAGCTGCTCACCTTCCCACTTTTATACTGGGAATCAAGCACCCGATGTTTGTTTCAGTAGATGCGAGCGCAATACGCCAGGGTCTGCAGTGAGATAGGGCGGTGTCACGGCAGTCGACACGCTCTCGGAAGTGTGCCGCTTGTGCATCACAGTGTCCGCCGATAATCTGCATAGTTTCGGATTCCGATTTGGTCCGGGGATATTCTCGGGTCCGAAGAGGTAAGTTCGAGTATGAACGGGGCTGCTCGCCGAGGACAGCACGGACAGACACAGCAAGCTTTGTCCCGTCATGCACAGATTGTGCTCCAATTTCATTGGCGCGCGTCACTTCGGAGGGGTGAGCCCTCCAAGCTGCGGTTGAACGATGGCTATATTCCCCACGTAACCGTCGTGACTTCGTAATTATGCGTATTCCGCCACCCATCGGCGTATGGTCGTTTGTTGCACATCGAGACACCCTGAATCGACCCACGAATCTGATGATCTGCCAAGTGAGCACCATAAGTACACCATGCTCACTTTCGCGCACCTTCGATGTGCGAAAAATATCGTGTAAGCGTAGTGCGCAATGAATAGTGCCGAGTTCAGTATGAGGCTTCTACAATGCCCTCCCGACAACATCGGACACCGCAATACAGCCTGATGAGTCTGTGAGTCAGTACACATGGAACTGCGGGGGATAGGTACAAACGTCTGTCGAGCACAAACTCGACGCCGTTGTGCGGTCGGGACCCAGTCCAGAACATCGCTAGCGGCATCTCCGTACGAGTCTCACCGAGCTGCGTGTGCCAGGCGCAGCGTGCCGCCGCCCTTTGCGAGCTGCGCGCGCCTCATTCAGTTCCTAGACGCGGCGTGTGGCGGTCAGTGGTAACCGACCCGCCACAAAGGCACTGTTAATGGAGATTACTCACCTCACACAGAGCGGTAATACGTGCCAATGTGGTATATTAGCACGGAGACGCAAGTCATGACGAGTTGACAGCGACCGCCACCAACAATCGGGACAGCGGTGACGACGCAGTCCGGACAGACGCATCAACGTTCCCAGATGCACAGGGTAAACTCTAAAATGAACTCTAAAAGCAGTTGTTACACTTGCAATCTACACCTCTTAAGCCGTTCCTGATGCGGGCGCGTTAGACTCATAGCGAAAACGAGCTGCCGTAGCGATCATACTACATACTTCCTCACACTTTACCCACATGTCACACTAGCCACATATGGGTTATTCAGCCCTCCTCCATCGTTTCCACGCCAGCATTCTTCCACCAAGAGATAGGTCCGAGCCCTTGTTCCGACATCGAGCACTGGCGAACGCAATGCATGAGTGCCGCCCGCGCACAGTGCGCTCCGAAGCTACGGGGGACTCTACATACCGTGATAGTGTAGGGTGGCCGGCGATTCTCGATTATTTGCTGTACACCTTCGTGCGCCTTGGGCGGACCGGGCTCATCGTCGTGAAACTGGTCGGATTCCACACGGACCCGAACGACGTCTCCCGCGTCGATGTACATCCGGTCTGTCAGTGGCGAGTCTAGAAGCTCATGGGTAGACGTGGCCTCCGAGCCCGGCAACCAGAAGTGGGCACGTTCTTTCGGATCGCTAATATGCGCGTTACGAGAGCTGAGATTAGCCTGTGCCTGGTGCTGGTCGGTGAGATGGGCACGCACAACGCAGTTGGTTCTGGCAGATACACCAGAGGGACGTAGATGTCATCAAAGAAGCCAACAGTCACTGACAAATGCACGGCCATAAGCTGAGGCTACGAGATTACGTGAACGTGAACGGAACGTACGGCGTACACCATCCTCGTCTGATGACTTCACTTTCGCAATGATGACTTCAGATGCAAATGGCCTGAACACTGTTAATCGAAAGACAACTGCTTTGTGTGAGTGACGCTGCCTTGCACCGTGCCGAAATGAGAGGGGTTCAGCATGAACAAGAATCGACTCCACTGGGCGTGCAACTTGAACGATGATGACAAGAACATCGGCTGCGATTCTAACACAACTGGAGCAGCCCCCTTCATGTTCAGTGCAGTCGATGCGATACAGTTAAAGTCCACCAGGCGCCGGTCTCTTCATCTGATCTGATGCCATGGGGCGACTTGACTATGGAGGCGAAAACAAAATTGGAGGAATCGGAACGCTCAGTCGACTGTGGAACAGATAGATCGGCAGGTAGTCCGAGACGTCGGCGACAGAGCCCAGCGCCTTTGTGCACTAAGCCACAATGGGCTCTCGATGCCGTGGTGGACCCGACCGAGGGACTGACAGAATGGTGGTGTACTAGGTGTCGCCGGAGAGGCGAAACGGCGCCGCAGCAATTGAGTACCGGAGAGCCATTTCTGCAAGTCCCCCTGCGCAGCTAGACTGTCCTATTTACTAGTCCAACCTGAGAGCCTGTGCAAATCTGTCTCCGACTCTAAGTATACACAAGAGGTCTTCTAGACCTCTCAGATATCACGTGTGTCAACCTGGACGCCTGCAGCTCATAACAAATACCATGCGATGTCAATTGCAGGGGAACCATCGTATGGCATAGGACACTGGATCACGTAGTGCGAGGGCTGCGCGGAATGCTCCGGATGCCATTGCATCGGACCCTGGGCAAGGGGAAAGAGGCGGAGACACCTAGTTCATGGATAGACAACTCACCTACCCTTGTACCACAGACAACCATCCCCGTATCGTACCTTCCCTTCTCCTACCTCCGCAAGGTCGAAGACGCATATGCATAGTCCGACGTCATGGAGGACGCGGTTAGCGTACTTCTTGTTGAGTTCGTTTGTGATAGCCTGTTCCGGAGATAGACCAAATTGGGACGGGTGAACAGCTACTGTGTCCTGTATAAGTATAAAGAGCGTGTCAGCATGCGGACAGCTATTTACTTCCTCGGAGGCGCAGGACCTTGATGATTGAGAGCTGGAACATTCCGGGACCACTATATGCACGGAGAGAAGCCCAACGAAAGAAGGCCAAAAAAACTACAAAGGGGAGAAGAGTAAGCTGAGGAACTTGTACTTGGAGTCAGCCGAAGGTAGTAGCGATAACAATGAGAGAGAGAGCTGAGGGAGAGCTATGGAACAGACGGCGGTTCGAGAGGAGGTTGAAGATCAATGAAGTCCAAGGCGTCTATCCAATCTAATCCCCCCCGCTTGACCCAAAAATTACGCGGCACTTCCGACTGGGAGTGCTCGTCCATCTCCACCTCCACCTCATCCGTTTCCTCTTTTCCTCCGCCCGCCCTCTTTCCCTCCTCTCTCCCCATCTCCGAAATGGCCGACACTCCGCCACGCCCGGTTGAGGGCCCCTCGAAATCTAGCTTGCTGCCCGCAAAGTCATGGCACCATTTCGTTGCTGGCGGGTAAGTAGCAACCGAAATGTAGTGCGATCGGCGAAACGTGTCTAATCTGCGCGCGTGCATATAGGCTCGGTGGCATGTGCGGTGCGATTGTCACGAGCCCATTTGACGTGGTCAAGACGCGATTGCAGTCCGACCTGTTCCGCGCGAAGCATGTGGGATTGAGCATAGAGGGGAACGGTGCCGCCACCGTCGCGGTCAGACGAAATCTCTTATGGCATTTCGTAGAGACTGCGCACATCATCCGGTACGTGCGCGTACTCATTTACAAGACCATATTCTTGAACTTATGTGGCTACATAGGGATATATACCGAGAAGAGTCGCCGCGAGCTCTCTTCAAAGGTCTCGGCCCCACCCTCGTCGGTGTCGTCCCCGCGCGCTCTATCAACTTCTTCACCTACGGGAACGGCAAGCAGATCATTGCCAACAACTTCAACCATGGCCAAGAAAACTCATGGGTACACCTTGCCGCCGCCGCCATCGCTGGGGTCGCGACTGGCACCGCGACCAACCCCATATGGGTCGTCAAGACGCGTCTACAGCTCGACGCGCACAAGCCCGACATTGCTGGGGGGAATTCGTTTTTTGGGGGCTCGGTGGCTATGGTGAAGAAGATAATGAGAGAGGAAGGCGTGCGCGGGTTCTATAAGGGCTTGAGCGCGAGCTATCTGGGCGTGACGGAGGGGACGATCCAGTGGGTTCTGTATGAGCGGCTGAAGAAGCTCACGGCAGGGACGCAGGGGAAGGGTGGGGCGCTGGAATGGTTTGGCATGATTGGCAGCGCGGGGACGGCGAAGTGCGTTGCGTCGTTGGTAACATATCCTCACGAGGTGCGTCGTCCTTGAGTCTCGCTGTGACGTGGGGACTTGTTGACATTGGATTAGGTTTTGCGAACGCGACTCAGACAGCCTCTTGTGGATGGCAAGGTCAAGTATACTGGCCTTTGGCAGACATTACGCCTCGTCATCGCAGAAGAGGGCGTTGGGTCATTATATGGTGGTCTCAGTGCACACCTTATGCGTGTCATCCCCAATGCCGCGGTCATGTTCTGCATCTATGAGGCTGCATTGCGTATGACATGAGTTTCTGCTCGGTCCTCTTCGGTTCTGCATTCCACTGGCACATTGCCCTTGGAACTTTATGCTCTCTCCGCACGTGCTATCGACTACACTGTATCCCAGGTATAATGGCCCATCACCGCACCGCTCACTTAGAACGTATCTTAGATCGACACATGTATTATACGTTACACCATCACACTTACACTGGATAATCTTCATCACTGGTACTCGATTGGCATCCATAGGTAGTATATGAGAATTATATTTTCCCGGACAGCGGTGCCAAAGGTACAACGTGCATATACCAGAACCATTGAAGACTGATATCCGTATCACGTAATGTATTCGACAGACGTCCCTGAAAGTATCAGTGAGCGGTCCGTGTGGCCAGTATACGTGAGGAATGTGTATGTCCAGTCTAGGGGAGATATGTTCAATCCGTCATTCGGGAAACTTGTCACAGCATGATTACAATACTACCCAAATCGTCCACTCGCACCGACGGCAACACATGCCCCGCATGTCGTTGTCTAGTTCTCGCCGCGCCCGAGCTTATCGAGAGCGCGCACGCCCTGCTCGAACCACTCCTCCCGGGTGACCCAGAACTCCTCCCGTTGCTTCATGATGTCCGCAAGCACCGCGCCGCCGAGGAAGACCATGTGCTTCCGGCGTGGGGGATCCTCGATGCGGATCTTGAATTTCTGTAGACACGATGGTTAATCGCACGAAGAGCACAGCGAAAGTTAGTCGAAACGACGCACGTTGAGTCGCGATGGGTCGCCGTTGAGCACACGGGTGAGGTATAGCTGTTTCATCTCCTTCTCCAGCCGGCTTGGCAGGCCGGGATACATACTCGAGCCGCCAGAAAGGACGATGTGCTTGTAGAGCTCCGTGCGGATATCGACTGCGGCGGACTGGATCGTCTGGAAGAGCATCTCTGCGACACCGGGCTGCTCGACATCCACCAGGTGTGGCTGGAACATGCATTCTGGCGCCTCGAACCGCTCGGACCCGATTTTGATTACACGGCCATCAGGGAGCTATGGGAAATGTCATAGACAACGCCAACGCCCAGTAAGAACATGCTCTGTAGCAGCTGTATTCGGCTAGGGGGACAGGGTAGGAACTCACAGTGTATGTCTCAACAAGGACCGTCGTCTCTTCTGATAGCCGCGTGTCGAGGTCGAGGTCATAGCTAACGTAGCACAATTTCTCCTTGATTTCTCGTACGGTCTCAAAGTCTGCAGTCCGGTTGAAGGCATACCCGCGCATGAGGAGTAGCTTGATCAGGTAGCGTGTCACGTCGCGTCCGGCGATGTCGAGTCGTCTCGTGAGGTGAGGAAGCGCGAAGCCGTCATACACAGGTACAATGTGCGTCACGCCGTCTCCGGAATCGACGACAACCCCGGTTGTCAGACCTACATAAGGCGCGTGCGGTCAGTACACTCTCGTCTGGTCCTGTGCACATCTTACATGAGACACGAGAAATGCAACGCACCTTGCGCGTAAAGCGTCAGCACGGCCTGGATGGCAACATACACGCCTTGGAAGCCGTACTCTTCAAACATGACCTGCGCCATTCGCTGCCGGTTCGCCTTCGGGTTCATGGGCGGCTCCGTCAGGAGCACCTTACGGCCACGGGTATCGACGCGGAGCTTCTCGTCGAAGGTATAGTCCCATAGGAGCTTCATGTCCTCCCAGTTGCGAATTATACCGTGCTCCATCGGCTGCGTTACTTGTAGGTAGTTGCGGTTCTCCGCTGCCTCATCGCCGATCATGACATCCTTAATTACTGCCGAGCCTGCGACGCGCTCCTCTGCGCGCAAGATTGGTCGGCCGACGATGGAGGGAAACACTGTACGTAGACGCAGCAGATGTGAGCGGAGCAAGGCTGACTTAAGGTGGTGAATGGGCTTGTGAGGCCGCGGTGCACACCATGTTCAGGGAAGTTGGACCCGGCGTAGCCCACTTTCACAAACTGGATGCAGGCGTAGACGGGCGGGGCGCATGAGCAATCGGGTGGACACACGGCGGCCGATTAGAGATATACGCACACCGGTACCGTTGTCAACGACCAAGGGCACTGAGGGGTCCATAGTGGAAGCAGATCGAAGGAGAGAGGGGCGGTCGTTGTAGTCGATGTGCAAGATGCAGCAGGCGCCGCGCGCTTGCCAGGCTCGGGCACGCCGTCGGACGCAGCCCCGCGCGTCGCAGCTGCAGTGGCCATCGTCCTTCTCTCGGCTACCACTACCTGCTGCTGCCTGTCGTTGCGCCGCGCGTGCTGTTGGCTCCCCTATCTACGTGATGCGTGTCCGCTGAACGGCGGCTAACATCTTGAGTCTGAATACTGAGGACTGACTGTGTCTTACTACGATGGCGCGCGGAGTGGCCTCGCCCGCGCCAAACCCGCTGCCAAAAGTCTCTTTCGTGAGGGTGAACGACGAGATCAGCCGTCAAACAACCGGAGTCGCTGATCAAATTGCGCGGTCCTATGGATGTAAGAGCTGCTCCTCGTGTGGTCTGATAGCCTTATTGAAAGCTTCGCAGACAATGGCCCGTCCATGTTTCAGCAGGAGAAGCACTACATCCGGTACATTGGTGTGTACTTCTGCGAGTTATACAGCAAGCATGTAGCTGATGTATACAAAGAACCACTGGAGAGCGATTTGGCAGTCCAGGTTGAGTATGACATGGACGAGCAAGGTGCGCCCTGCGGTCAGTCTCCGTGCGTATTATTCCTCATTCTCCTACAGACCAAGAATGGGTTGATGCGCTCAACGCAGAACGGAAGGCACAGCATCTGGACAAAATCACCTACGAGACTTTTGAGATTGTCATGGATAGGCTGGAGAAGGAATGGTTTGACCTGGTAAGCCTTGCAGCCACAGTTGTCGCGTCTCCTATTCGCGAACCCCGTTCCCCACGCATAGACGAAGAACATTCCCAAGACCGACATCGCTCTGCCATCCGAAGATTCTACATGTGCCATCTGCGACGACTCTGAGGGGGAGAACGCGAATGCTATCGTGTTTTGTGACGGGTGCAACCTCGCCGTGCACCAAGGTACGTTATTCGACTGTTTTCGTTTCTACCGCACTGACATCACTTGAGATTGCTATGGTGTCCCCTATATCCCCGAGGGACAATGGCTTTGCAGGAAATGCACTGTCTCCCCGGAGAACCCGGTCGTAAGTGGCAATGCACTCTGGTGCGCACCATGGGGCTTAACAATCGTGCCGCAGTCTTGCATCCTCTGTCCTAACGAAGGCGGGGCGTTCAAGCAAACCGTTTCCGGCGATTGGGTCCACCTTCTCTGCGCTATCTGGGTACCCGAAACAGCAGTGGCCAACGAAGTCTTCATGGAGCCGATCACGGGAGTAGAGAAGATCTCGAAACAGCGCTGGAGACTGGTAACTTGGACTCTTATGTTTCTCATTGCCTGATGCTGAGATGTTCTAGAGGTGTTCGATATGCGACGAGAAGCACGGCGCCTGCATACAGTGCACCAAGCCGTCGTGCTTCACCGCATTCCATGCCACATGCGCTAGGAAGGAGAAGCTCCTCATGCCCATGAAGGCATCTCAGGGGTCGGAGGCGCCCGTTCTTGCTTGCTACTGCGAGAAGCACCTGCCGGTGAGCGCTCGGTGTTTCGGTGCCGGTCGTTCCTGTGGATAGCAGCTAATTCGTACTGACGATCACAGCCCGAGCAGCAGAAGGTTCGCGCGGCGGCACTCCAAAATGAACCCGATGACGGCGACGAGGTCGATGGCCACACCCAGGCACCGAAGTCTAGCAAGAGCGCACGCGCATACAACAAGACTTACAAACCGGGTCCTCCGCTCGTGCCGAAGATAATCGTGAACCGAATAATGCAATACATCTCTAGGATACATGTGCGGCACAAGCAGGAGTTCGTGCATCTAGTCTGCCGGTACTGGAGCTTGAAACGGGAGGCGAGACGTGGTGCCCCTCTGCTGAAACGATTGCACCTCGAGCCTTGGACCGCTTTGTCGGGCAGCAAGCAGCAGACAGATCAAGAAAAGGCTGTGAAGCTTGATGTGAGTATATTGGCGGCCCTGTGGCGTGACATGGAGCTGGCTCACTGACTATAGTTGCTGCAGTTGATGAAGGTGCTCAGGAACGACCTCGAGAAACTGCATACTATCGCCGACCTCGTCCGTAGGCGCGAGCGCGTCAAGCAGGCTCAAGCTGAGGCCATACAGGACGTCCTCCTGCATTTCCTTTTCCCTCATGAGGGTCCGCTCAGGCTGGCGTTTCAGAAAATTACTGCGTACGTCTCGATGCGTGTGCCACGGTACTTATTAGTCTTCCTGACACTGCGCGGCTGCAGACATGATCGCCAACACTCTTACTTCAAGACGCCAGTCAACAAGACGGAGGTTCCTGATTACTACGACGTCATCAAAAGTCCGATGTGGTGGGACAAGATAGATCAGAAGCTGGACAGGCATGAGTATCTGGACCTGGCAGAGTTTAAGGTGACTTTACAACCCAGGGATAGCCCATTTACGTGAGATTGACTCCCTAGCGTAGCGCGACATCAACCTGGTGCTAGACAACGCGATAACGTACAATCAACCGGCCTCTGCCTACTACAAGACAGCCATTCGAATACGGAACGCCGCGCAGGCGCCGCTGGCGGAGCTGGACAAGCTCGTCCATCACCCTGCTGGGACTGCGCCCGACGCCGAGCCTGTCGTCAATGGGAAGATCGAGGAGACCGAAGCTCAGTCCACCCAGCTTGATGTTCCCATGCCTCAGATCGGCGACCTCGAGCCCCCTTTGGACATCCTCGACCTTCTCATGTCGGAAGAGTCGATTCGTCAGGATACAAACCTTATCCTAACCACGACACCCATCGAGTCCTTGCTCAACTTTGAACTGCCCCTCATCCGACCTCCTGCCCCGCCTCCACCACCAGTCAAGAGACCCTCGTCCGAGTCTCCGCTGGAGCAGGAACGAAAACGCAGGCGGATCGCGAAGGAGAAAGAGGAGAAGGAGAAGGAGAAGGAGATTGAGAAGGAGAAGGAAACTGAGAAGGAGAAAGAGAGAGAGAGAGAGGAAGAAAAGGAAAGAGAGAAGGAGAAGGGCAAGAAGGGCAAGTATGACAGAAGCGCAGCGCTCAAGCGCGCTCGCGAGGAACGGCAAGCGGCGCTCGATGCCTCTCCAGGATTCCGCTTGACTCGCACTCGTGCCGGGGCTGTGGCGGTAGCGGCGTTCGAAGGAGAGGCCGGTGGGACGTCAGAGACTCCGGACGGTGGCTCGGCCGCTGAAGATCAGTTATCTGTGGAGGCTTCCTCAAGTACCGCTCCTCCGGATAAGCCGAAGAGGCAGAGGAAATCGATGGCACCGCCTGGGCAGGATATGCCTATCACTGTGCAGGATGTGGACAGCTGGCAGTCGTTCAAACTGTTTGAGCAGGGATGGATCTTGCCTGCAGATCATAAACGGCGTGGCAGGGCTACTGTTGAACGTCCGCCTCAGCCTCCATCCAGGAAGAGAACGAAGACGAGTAAGTCACCGACGTCGGTTGACATCACTATCAATGGTCTACTCATCAGTTTCGACGACCATGCAGGTCACAAAAAGACTCATAATGCCAATGTCAGCATGGAATCGACAGACGGAGAAGTAACTCATCCCTCTGCGGAGGATGCTACCGCGGGCGATGTTGCTCCGAATAATGCTGATCCCGGAAGTTCTCGAGTTAACGGACCTGCACCGTCCGATTCACAGGATACCACGTCTGCAGAAGCGCTAAGGGCTCCTTCGTCCGAAGCTCCTACAAAGTTATCTGAAATCCCGATACCTGCCCTGCCCGAACTGTCTGCATCTCCAACCGCGGCCGAGGCCATCCGACAACCGTCACCCAAACCTCCTTCACGAGCCCGTAGCAAGTCCCCAGCTTCTGCACCTCTGCAGCTGCCTGAAACAGTTCGCGACCCTCCATCATCTCCGCCGCCATCATCACCGTCACCATCGCCGTTACCACCACACGAACAGCCTGAGCCGGAAACCAGTGCCGCCTCGCACGATCAAGGTGTCCCGGAACCTTCAACAGTCGAAGCGCTCGGAGCGCCTCCCGAGGCGATTGACGAGGATATCGAAATTGACGTGGTCACGGTGAGCAGCCCAGCACCGGTCCTAGCGCAACCAGAGGCAAGCCTACCGCTATCTACGGAAGCGTCTACCCTTCGCAGTGCCTCAGATACTGGTCCGCAGTCTCCGTCTGTGCCCGAGGCGACACTGGAACCGAAACCTGAGACTGCGCCAGCCGCTGAGGCCACACAAGAGCCAAAGTCAGTGCCAGAGCCAAGCATCATCGAGTCGCCTGGTCGCAACGTACCGGAGACGGCAGGAGCTCAGCTTCATGACAGTCGCCAGTCACTACAGGAAGCTCTAGAGCCTCCTGCGAAGCCTTTTGCGCCAGAGCCAGATCCGGACGAAACGGAGGATGAGTTTATTGATGGTTCAGAACCGCCCAAGCCGCCTCAACCCCTCGACATGTCCCCACCGCCTGAACTGCGTATGCGCCAAGAACTGAAAGCGGACCAGCCCGATCGTATGGATGTCGACGAACCGCAGCACATCGAGGTAGAAGGACCGAAGGGTTCGGATGTCGAGCAACAGGTTCCCCTAGAACCTGTGTCCCCGGAAATTGATCTTGCAGAACCTACGTCTCTGGCACCCTCATCCCCGACACATCCAGCTCGACCTACGGCGGTGATCGAGCATCAGCTTCAAACAGCTGATCAGTCTGAGTCCGAGACTCGTCCTGACGTCGACGTACCACAAGAAAAGGCACAAGCCCACGAGGAGACTACGACCGTTCCCGCTGAGGAGTCACAGCCGACACGACAGGAGGAGGAAGAGGACCGTCGTCCACGTAAGATCATCTGGATTGACGTTCTTGACACCCCGGCCATTCGTCGCGAGAAGGCCAAGCAGAAGAAGCTGGAAAAGGAAGCTCGCAAGCGCAGAGGAGTAGAGGCGTTCGTTCCCGCGCAGCCTATCGCGGGACCTTCGCGTTTGGCGAAAGCCTTCGATGCAGACGCGATGGACGTGGATTCGGATTTAACAGACCTGACAGATCTTGATTCGGACGCGACAGAGGACGATGAATCTGTGCCTAGACCTGCATCTTCTGCCCGTCCGAAACCTGCTGCGCCGGCTCAAAAGGACGAACCTCGGGAGCCCGGTATGATTGTATTGGGAGAGGACGAAAAGGTTGAAGGTGGAACATTAGGTGCGCATCCAGTTCAGTGGCGCACAACGGTCCTTGGCTGACCATCCCACACAGTATGGGCGAAGACTGGTCGGTTCCATCTCAACGGGTGCACAATTCATGGTGTTAACTCATGTCGTAGGCTCGTTCCCCTACTGGCCTGCGGTCGTCTTCGAGGAGGACGACCCCGAGGTGCCCCCAAACGTCCTCGCCATCGCTCCGGATATTCGCGACAACGGTATTGCGCTCGTGCGGTTCTATGAGAAAAAATCGAAGAGCAATTGGTACGCGGATTTGTCTACTCTAGTCCTATCCTCGACAGTACTCATGCCGTCTCCGGCTATAGGTCTTGGGTGAAAGTCAAGAACATGCGGTACCTCGGAGAAGATGATGGTAAATCGCAGTCAGCTCCTGACTGATGAGTCCCGCCGGCTCACCAGTTACCTCCCTAGGCCTTGATGCGGCAATGCTCGCACCTACCAGTCGCTATCAGAAGTGGCGAAGCGCCGCCAAGCGTGCGGAATGCAGGGACGCGTTTCAGTAGGCGCCGTACTCGCTTCATCGTCTGAACGACGAGACTGATGATCGTTTGTACACTAAGGGACGCTCTCGCGGAGATGGAAGGAGAGGACGAAACGCAGGCCAACATTCTCATCGGTGCCGGAGCTGCTGTATCTTCTACCGGTCAGCCTCAGCCTCCTATATCAAACACGAGTGGAAGAATGCCACCCCTCACCGAAGAGCCGAATGCCACCATTGAAGCTGCAATGGGCGCCGACAGCCCTATGACCGAAGTGGAGTAGACCCTGGAGACGGTTAGTCTAATAGGTTGTATGTTGTTATGTTTATTTTCATGTTGTATGCTCCCAAGTCTCCAGTCAGACCTAATCGTGAACATCTTCATATGACCATTTTGGAGACGTCGTCCGAAGGCTTGCAAGGAGGTCGATGATTTCTCAGGTTCTCGACGGAGCACAGGTCATTCGGGTGGGGGTTCCGGAGTCTAAGAATACATGATATACGCACTACAACAGTCCATCAAACTACTCACAGCATAGACGACAGCATAAGATAGCACAAGATAAGGGCAAGTCGGAGATCACCTCGCGGTGCTAAACCTCACCGTGGAAGACGGATTGCGAGAACTGCTCATCCGTGCCACCTTCCTTGGTCAACAAGATCTCTTTCACCTGTAAGAATGATTGGGGAGTGAGCATGTGCACGAGAGTAGCTGAAGGAGGTAAACAGCTGACCTCCGGAGGCGGATTCAAACCAAGCGCGTGGGCTCGTTCCCAGCGATCCAGGCGGGATACTCCAACACAGGGACCATATTCGTACGAACTACGAACATTGAAAGCGATTCAGAGCATACCAAGATGCATATATACGCATCACGACTCACAGGTCGAACACCCGCAGGATATGGTGGACCATGGACTGACCGTTCGCATGAACTACGTCCTTGTGGTCAGCTTGTCGCCGCCATTCAGAGCTGCTAGGGCTTACCCGGTTCCAAGTTACCCATCTTCTCTCGTGATGAGCCATACAGCTTGCGCCATCTCGGGTCAGACAAGTTCAAAGGCTCTCTCTCATTCTCCGGCTCGGTCACAGCGGGATCTCCAACACCCTTCAGCTCAGGCTGCTTCTTCCCGCTTCCTAGTCCAGATGAGTCGAGGCGCCGCTTCTTCGGAGCAGGCACAACGTGGATGTCATCGGAAGACTCGTCGCTGTCACTATCCGAGATGATGATAGGCTCGCTAGATGTGGGGCTGGAGGAGGCTCGTGCGGGCTGCTTGCGGGTGGACTTGGTGTTCTTTCCGGCAGCAGCGTTCGTAGAAGTTGTCCGCTTGGAGACAAATGATAGCTTGGCCTGCTTCATGGGCTCAGATGTCTTGGTGCTTTTCGGAGGAGGCATGACAGCGAGAGGGTTGCAGAGTAAGCGTTAAGGACAAGTGAGATACGGTAGTATGTACCAGCCACTCCGAGCATGAGCCGTTCCCGGGACGGCACCAGAAGAGGGAATGTTTCAACGTGGACTAAAATGCATACGGCCGGCTAGCTCAGTTGGTTAGAGCGTGGTGCTAATACGGGTTTGAACATGGGATGTGACCTGTGTGACGCCAAGGCCGTCGGTTCGATCCCGGCGCTGGCCAATTTAACTTTTATTCCCTTTCAGGGAAAGCAATGTAGCATTCGGACCATCACAAGTTCGATAGTGACGAGCGAAACCCTATGACGGGTTCTTTGATTGACGTAGATCACCTCATGGTAGGTACAAGCATGTGGACATGCTGAACCTTTGCTTCTCCAACTCTACAGCATGTCCTCTTGTAGTCTCGTGACCAGACGTTCAGAGCTCCAAGCGGGAACGAAAAATCGGAGGTTCCTGAGCTCCTTAATGTCTGGTGGCTTTACCCCCGTGACTCCCCCATCGGTGACCGATGTGACATTCCCGCTCATCACTCAGCTTCCCTTTGCACGCCTTGAGGAGCATCCCAGTGGTTGGGGAGCCCTCTTCGATGATGACAACAACGATGACAATGATGGCCATGCACCATTCGAGTGCAACAGCGACCGCCTCTTGGACATCTCTGAATGGGGCCTAATCAAAGCTGCGCTCGAGGATCCTGCCCGTCCATTTACCCCGCAACACCTAAGCCATGCGCAAGCGCCTAACCCCACGAGCTTCCGCAACGTCCATTTGCCACCTGTGTGGCTTCCCTCCCATCCTTTCGCAGAGTATGTCCTTGAGCACTTTGTGGGTTGCATAGGAGTTGTACTGCAGCAATGCTTTGGCGGCTTGTTTGGGCAGCTGTCACAGCCAACAAGCTGGGCCACCAGATAAACAAAGACAAAGCTTACCGGTGAAGGGGTTGGTGCTGAGAGCGAAGCAACCACAAGTGACACAGCAAGGAATAATGTAAGCAAGTGTATTCCCTAGACTAGAAGGGGCAGTAGAAGGTAGGGCTGCTAGCTACCTACAGGGGAGATGGGGAATCGACGAGAAGATCAAGTCTGAGGTTCTCTGCCTCAGACCCCCTACTATTTATACAAATACAGTGGTGCACAGACCAGGTACCTATTGTCCCTTGCTTGGTCAGAGTCCGCTGACTCGTGCCTTGCCTCCTGACCTGTCACATGGCGTCCTCATGACTAACACCTGAGTCATGCTAAGTCCGGGCTTCCTCCGATGAGTAAGCCCCCCTGCTAACACGTGAGTCACCTGCCAGTGAGTGAGGCTGGGTGCTCCCGGACCCCACAAGGTCCTGGGTTCGATCCTGGCTCCTCCACTTTCCAATACGAGTTGTCCATGGTCAAGGTGAGCGTCTCTCCTGGTTCACATGACCCCCAGGTCACGTAGCACGAGAAAACTGTGACAAGTATATAAGGACTTCAGATTGCGTCCTCCCTCTTCAGTCTTTCCTTACTGACTGAAGAGTGAGTACTTTGTTACATCTATCTCTAACTTGTAGTTACTTACTTGACCTTTGTAGTCTTGCTTCGACTCTAGGTACAGTTCGTTACTGCAATATAGTCTTTCCTTACTGACTGAAGATCTTGCTTCGGCTCTAGTCGGATCTAATCTTTGTCTTCATAGCCTCGAGTTTATCAGGCTATGAGCCCTGCGCTCTGACTAAAGTTTCGTGTTGACGTTTATCCCTGCGCGCACCCATCATCCCTCTCTGTAGACACTCGGTTCTGCCCATGCATCCCCTCCACTTTCCTAAACTCTTGACTGTGCCCGCCGACACTGCTGCCACGGTGACTTTGCACAGTTGTGCCCGTGAGCGCTTGTAGTCTAGTATCTAGTATGTGTAGCACCCTATT